CTGCTCACACACGCATACTCAGCAAAACATTACTAATTAAACGTTCCCTATTTCGAACACCTGAACACAAAGCAAAACATCAGTGCACCATTACACACACGTATAATACTGCAGGAGAGGAGGATCAAATCTCCCCGATTACACTTGCAAGGAAGAGTGTCACGACTAAAGATTAAACATGAAAATCCTCTGCGCAGCGGATCATGCTTTGACCTGATTTCTACACTTGGCCACTTAACGGTCTCTCAGAAGCTGAAAAGAGCCGGCGGGGCAACATCACAAGCCAAGTTCTCCACCCCTTCAGAGAGGCCACTCTCTGATCTTGCTGGCTTTGACTGAGGCCACACTGAGGATTCCCAGGGTGCCAGGCACTGTGATCAGTACTGCACACGCGCATACGTTAAGTCAGTTCATTTTCACTGATGCTATTTGGGGCCGCCAGGAGATTAATGAACTTGGCAAAGATAGGGCTCCTGGATTTCCCGCTCTAAAGCAATGTGCTAAGAGCTGAAATCTAAGAGGTCAATACCAAACCTTCGCCCGGGACAAGCTGAGACGCTAGGAGCAGCATAGCCAGGGCGGGGTCCCAGTAGCTCTTACTTCTCAATTTCCAGCGCTGCCACTTTCCGCTTTTCATAGAGTTTATCGTTGAGGGCTCGCACGATGTTGGGCGTGAGCGGCGCGAAATCCTTCTCCGGGTTCATGGTGGCAGCTTGTGCTGCGCCCGGGAGCTTCGAGACACCTTAGCCCGAGGCTGCCGGGGCCGCGCCAGGGCTAGGGGAGTGTGCGGCTCGTCGCGGACCCCGGAGCCCGCTCATGGGCTACACCGCCCCGGGCCCGCCTGCCTTGTCTTGTCGTCGCGCGCCGCCTCAGGTATCTTGCTCAAAGCCCTGCTCTCCCACGCGCTACCCGGACCGCCCCACCGCTCACGCGACCAGCTCCCGCCAGGCACCGGCAACGCTCACTGGGCCGCGGCCATGTTACTCAGGTCACGTGACGCCGAAGGCACTTCCGCCTTCCGTCGGCCGAGGGTTCCGCCCCCATGGCCACGCCCCCACACGCTTTCGGCGGCGCATTGGACACGCTCCTCAGGGCTCCGCCCCCTCCCCGCCCGCGGGTCGGGGAGTGAGAGTGGAGAACAGGTGGTGGGAGCTTCTCCCGTGCTGTCAGTTTATTGCTGAGCGGGCTTCTGGAAACGGAATTTCCAGAGGGAGCCCAACTCCGTGTAATTTATGCATTAGTTCTTTAGACACTTCTCACTTTCACTTATGACAGCGTTTCTATTATTCTATTTCCTAACTATTTGTCTTCACATTTATTTGTAGGTATGTGTGTGTGTGTGTGTGTGTGTGTGTGTTTGCACCAAGGTGCGTGTTTGGCGGTCAGAAGACAATTTGGGGGAGTTGGATGTCCCCTTCCACCATGCGGGGGTCCCAGAATCGAACTCCTGTTGTTAGGTTTGGCGGTAGACATCTTTGTCCGCTGAACCGTCCCTCCAATCCAATTATATTTGAGACAGGACCTCAAACTACCTATATAGCTGAAGATAGCCTTGAACTCCCGATTCTCCTGCCTTCCCCTGCTCAGTGTAGGGATTACAGGCGTGCAGCACCACCGCTGATTTTATGTGGTTCTTGGTTTGGAACCCAGCGTTCTGAGCTACACCACGAGATTGTCCTTAAATCACTTTCTCAAATATACTCATATGTGTGCTCGCGTGTGTATAGAGACCTGACGTCTTCTATAGTTCTTATTTTTTTCACTGACTTCGAGACAAGGTCTCATGTGTCTTAGACTGGACTCAAGCTAAGCAGCTAAGGCTAACTGTCCTGGCTGATTTTTATGTTAACTTGATACACGCTAGAATCAACTCAGAGGAGGGATCCTCAACTGAGAAATGCCTCTATTCGACTGGGCTGTAGGCAAGCCTGTAGGGTATTTTCTTAATTAGGGATTATTGGGGAAGAGTGCAGACAATTGCGGGTGGGCCACCCTCGGGTTCATTAAGAAAGCAGGCTGAGCAAGATAAAAGGAACAAGCCAGTAAGCAACAGTCCTCATGGCCTCTGCATCAGCTCCCGCTTCCAGGTTCCTGCCTTGAGTTCCCCCCATGATATAAGCTATAGGTGAAATAAACTTTTCACTCCCTAAGTTACTTTCGGTTATGATGTTTTAATACAGCAGTTAAAGCCTTAGTAAGATAATAACTAAAAACTTAATGATCCTCCAGCCTCCACCTCCTTAGTGTTGGGACTACAGGTGTGTGCTGCCATATGGGCTTATGTGGTGCTGAGGATTGGACCAAAGGCTTTGTGCATGTTGGTCTTACTAACTGAGCTATTTCTCCAGCCCTGACTTTTGTGTGACAAGGTCTCTCAGTGAACTGGAAGCTCCTGGATTTGGCTAGGGTAGCTGGCCAGTGAGCCCAACTGCTGGTTTGTCTCTACCTCCCAGCACTGGAGTTAGACACCAGAGCCGCCCTACCAGGCTTTAAGTGGGTACTAGGGATCTGAAGTCAGGTCTCCAGGCTCACGTGGCTAAACACCCTATAGGCTAAGCCACCTTGCCAGTCCTTCAGAACTATTTACTTTAAAACAAATCTTAAGTTCTCACCTCAGCTTTACTTGTGCTCTAAAATAATAGATTCAAATAGTTCTATGTTTCCTAAAACATATTAAAATATGGGCCATTTAAAAGGGGTATTTTCTCTTAAATTTGGAATTACTAACTGTAACAGGCCCCCAGAGCTTGGTACAACTGACTCCATAATGGAAGTACCAGTCAGGCCATAAAACCCAGCATGTAGACAGCATCCCTTGCTAAAATAAAAACAAAGGCCTAATCCATCAAAATCCATAGTTCTAGAAAATTCTCTAAATGCACTAACCTTGCTTTTTGGCTTCTGTAGTTCTGCTTCTGGAGAACTGTTCTTGTTAACTGAGGTGGGTCAATCCAGGATGTGGGTTTGTGCTTAAAAGCTCATCCCAAGGAAGGCTTGGGGGTTACACTGGGATCTTGAGCAGCCAGTGTAGTCACTGGTCAGCTAATGAAGACTTCCTATTGGCTTAGACCTATGCCTGAATAGTCTTCTCTGGTGGATGCCCCACAACCCTAACTGACCTGTGTGTGTCCATGCTCTGATACCCAGGAGGGCTAGGTTATAGATAGCAGGCCCAAACTTGTTGAGGGCAGCTAGGTGTCTAGGTAGAATCACCAGGAAAGCAGCCGTTTTGGGTGGAACAGAAATTGCATCTGTGTGATGATAAAATTGGGAGGGGATGGCCATAGAGTGATTAAAGAGGCAGGTAACAGGAGGATACATCCAAATTTAAGAAAGCTTTCAGGGTCGGGAACTTAGGAGCAGGAGGGCAAGCTTACCCTTGAGTACTGCACTGAAGTAGGAATTTACTAAATGGGACCCTCATGGCCTCAGAGAGTTCATTTAGCTTCCCAAATGCCTACCTTAACCAGGCAATGGTTTATGGTCTGGAGAACCTAATGAGTCTTCAATTATGCTATTACATTTAGGAAAGGAGAGTCATTCGTCCCTGGAAATTTTGGATGTTCATAATAGTTAGACTTTCGACTCCCACCATTGGCTTCAGAAAGGACATGTGTGTCAGGAGAAAGGACATGCATGTCGGGAACGGCAGAAACAACGCACGTGCCAGACTTGGCATGCGTATCAGAAACGGCATGCGTGGCGGAAGCGACACGTGTTAGGAACGGCACACGTGCCGGAAAGGACACATGTGTCAGGGACGGCACGTGTGCCGGAAAGGACAGAATGCCAGGAAAGGCACACGTGTCAGGAATGGCACGCATGTCAGGAACGGCACGTGTGTCGGATAGGACACGCGTGCCAGAAAGGATATGCATGTCGGGATCGGTAGAAACGACACACGTGCCAGACTTGGCATGCATATCAAAGACGGAACGCGTGCTAGAAAGTACGCAGTGCCAGAAATGATGCACGCGCCAGACTTGGCATGCGTATCAGAAACAGCATGCGTGTCGGAAGCAACACGTGTGTCAGGAATGGCACGCGTGTCAGGAACGACATACGTGTCAGGAACGGCACGCGTGTCAGGAGCGGCACATGTATCAGATAGGACACGCGTGCCAGAAAGGATGTGCATGTCGCTTCCGACATGGAATGGCACACGTGTCAGGAACGGCACACGTGCCAGGAGCGGCACTGTGTCGGATAGGACACACGTGCCAGAAAGGACATGCATGTCTCTTCCGACAAGCGTGTCAGGAACGTCATACGTGCCAGAAAGGACACGCGTGTCAGGAACGGCATACGTGTCAGGAACTGCGCATGTGTCAGAAAGGACACACGTTCCAGAAAGGACATGCATGTCGGGGACGGCAGAAATGATGCACGAGCCAGACTTGGCATGTGTATCAGAAATGGCATGCATGTTGGAAGCGACACGTGTGTCAGAGACGGCACACGTGCCAGAAAGGACACATGTGCCAGGAGCGACATATGTGTCAGGAACGTCACGCGTGCCAGAAAGGGCATGCATGTCGCTTCCGGCACGCATTCCAGAAAGGACACGCGTGTCAGGAATGGCACGCGTGTTGGAAAGGACGCGCATGTTGGAAAGGGCACGTGTGTCGGAAAGGACACGCGTGCCAGAAAGGACATGCATGTCGGGATCGGCAGAAACGCCGCATGTGCCAGACACGTGTGTGTTGGGAGCGGCACGCGTGTCAGAAAGGTCACATGTGCCCTTGAGTCCAAGGAATGCTGCATTTGCTTTTAGATCCAGGATGCTACGCCTTTAAACAAGTGAGAGCACACGCAGAGCACAGCGCACCGTGCGCTTGAAAGTAGAGCGTGAGCTTTAGCTCATAGGTCAGAGACAGCGTGAGTGAGGAGTGTGGTAGGCAGAGTCCTTGAATGGGAAAAACTCTTGTAAACACAATGAACTTCTCCAGAACCAGAGCAGAAGAGATTTTGCTGGTGTAATTAAGGTCCATAACTGACGTTGATTTAAAGGGGAGGGGGGATTATTGTGGGTGGAGCTGAGATAATCAGGTGAGTCCTCAAAGTGGCCTGAAATTTGCTATGAGGAGATTCTCCTGATGGCTCCAGGGGTCATGTTATGAACAGTCCATGGTGGTACTGGCGGTGGTCTCCAGCTGCTGAGAGCAGTCCCTGTCATCGATTGCCAAGAAAGTGTGATTCCATCCTTAAGGCACAGGAAACGACTTGGACAGCACACAGGAGGCACTCAGAGGCATAGCTTTTCTTACTTGAGTCTTCACATGAAGACAAGGCTGGCCCTTGATTTAGCCTTGTGGATCTGTGGACTGAGAATCCAGCTCAGACCGTGTGGACACTCGGCCCGCAAATACCGAGATAGAATAAACCTGTGTTGTTTTAAGCTTCTAGGCTGGTAGCCGTGTATGACGTATCCACAGTAAGCAAACGCTGGGCCTAACCTAAAGCTCAAGAAGTCATGGAGAAATTGACCAACAAATTTCCATGTGTGTGTTTTATTACCCATAGGGTCCTCGCATATGGCAAAAGCTTTCCCAGCATAGCCCAGTGAATGGAGGAAGTAGCCCCTTGAGCACCCCACCAGTATGAGAACCTCAACGTGTAGATAGACTCACACCCTGAGAAAACGTGTTGTCTGGTAGTTTCCTCCTTTTGCCTTGCATCAAGTACTTGTCAAGGACATTCCGAAATGCCGAGCAAAGTTTACGTATTCAGGGTTCGATGGTGGTTGATAAGAATGAAAAAAAAATTAAGCCATGGTAATGGACTAATTTTGGTCTGTTTTCTACAGTGTGCATTCACATCAGGTGAACCTATGTTTGGTAGAATATGTCACCCGTTTCTTTAATGTTTGGGGTTGGCTCCTTCAGAAAGGTGAACTGAATTTCCCAAGGGCCACACTATTCACACTGTGATAAGGGCTTTAATAACCGAAGCTGTGCAGTTTTCTTTTCCAACTAGCAGGTGCTCTTTTCTCACGAAACTACATTCTGAATCAGGTTGCTAAGAAACCAGCTTCTCCATAAAGCCCAAATGAATGCTTTGTCCACCTTTAGGTCAGAAGTTTCTAGAAAGAATCTTCCCTGATATCTTAGAGATGCAGCAGAATTAAGGTCACTCATTCACCCTGGGACACTGGGAATGAAGACTAGGGGCCATTCTTGCTCTCTGCCTGCCTTCCTCTTCTCTGACCCCCCCACTCCCTACTCCAACTCTTGTAGACTCCTGGGTAATTCATATGCTGCGAGCTCACCACAGTGATCTTGCAGCCCCATTTTGGGTGCTTGTCATTGCAGACTTTGGAAGGGTTCTGTCGTAACTGCAACACGTATACCAATGCGTGGAAAGGTCATATCATAATGAGTTGAGAGGCTGCAGCTGAAGTTGTGCCCTAATCAAAGCTGGAGTTTCAGGGGAGCAGCCCAGCATTCTGGTTTTGCAGGTCCTCCCCAGAGATTCTGATATAAACTAAAACCGGGAAACGGCCGACGTTACCTAGCCTCTTTAATCTGTTGGTCATAGCAGCTGCTCGCGGACTTTTCAATCCTCTCAGATTGCTAGCTAGTGTGGTCTTTGCTTAACCAACCACTGGAGGAATCCGCCATCTAATTCTTTGCCTTTAAATCTATTATTTGTGTCTTTTAAATTATTTTATCTTGAAAAACAAACAAGCAAACAAAAATAGCCGGTGGTGGTGGTGGCGGCAGATGCCTTTAATCCCAGCACTTGGGAAGAAGAGACAGGTGGAGATCTTTATGAGTCTGAGGCCAGCCTGGACTACAGAGGAAGTTCCAGGACAGCCAGGCTGTTACACAGAGAAACCCTGTCTCAAAAAAATATTTTATGATATTATTATGTGTGTGTGTGTGTGTGTGTATGTGTGTGTGTGTCTTGGAATATGTATGGAGGTCAGAGGACAACTTTCAGAAGTCACTTCTCTCCTCCCATGTGGGTCTTGGGGATTGAACTCAGGTTGTCAGGAGTGGCAGCAGGTGCCTTCAGCTGCTGGACCCATTGGTTGTGCCTTTACTGGCTATAAAGTGAATTGGTCATGAACCATAGGCTTGAGTTCACAAGCTTTATAGGAAAGGCTTCATTCGGCATAAGTTGTGTATGGCATGTACCGGCTGAGGGTTTTGGGGAGGCGCAAAAAGCTGAAGCTCCTTTCCTGTTGGTAAAACACTTTTAAGGGCATGGGAGATGACTTGGTGGGCAAAGGACTTGCTGCACAAGCCTGACAGTCTACATTTGAAAACAAGGACCTAACTAAAAACTGGAGGCAGTAGTGCACGTGTCTGCAATCCCAGCGTGCCTCTACTGGGGGGTGGGAGGCAGGCACAGGGGAAATCTCTGGAAGCTCATGGGCCAGCTAGCCTGGCATCAGCAGAATTGAGTGAGAGAGACTGGGGCAAGTCCTCTAGGCAAGGACTGACACCTGAGGCTCTCCTCTGACCCCCCCATTCAAGGGCCATGGCACATGCATACCCACACTCTCACATATGCACACACACACACACACACACACACACATACTTGAATTCGGCACATGTGGGCATGCGCACGCACACAACACCACCATTTAAGTCATGCGGTACTACAAACTGTTATCTTAGTACTCACGAGGCTGAGGCAAGAGGAATGGAGGTCAAAGACAATTTAAGCGACATGGTAAGACCCAGTCTTAAAAGAAACAAACCAAACCCCAACCAACCAAAGAGAGCCTCTAGACTCTCCCCTCCGAGCCTGTAACAGGTACTGGTCGTATTGAAAAGCAGATTGCTGGACTGTATTCCACAGATTCTGAGAATGTGGGTCTTTAGCAGCTTCCCAGATGCTCCTCCCAGGCGTGGTCCTGGGAGCATTCAGACATCTTCTTCTTTAGAGACTTAGTTCTTTAGAGACCATCTGCTTTTTTACTTCCTCTCTCTCGCTGGTGGGCTCCCTGGGATAAGAAAAGGGAAAGAGGTGGAAGCAGGGGGACACTTGGTGAGAGGTTAGTGTCTGTAGAAGCAAATCTACTTCAGAGCTAGTGTGTAACCATATTGATTTAACAATGGCCTCTGTAGGTCCGTGGTCCTATTAATATACACTATGAAGCCCCAGGGTAAAGAGGTGGGTATGGGGTCAGGTCTTTGGGTTGAGGTGGGTGCTCCACGTGTCTGCGCAGGTAGAGCTTCCTGTGGGCAGGAAAGACACCTAGACAGTCACCCTTTCAGAGCATGTGACATAGTTGCAGTTTCAACATACAAAATTGGGATAAAGTCCTTACCAGGGAGGGATTCCTGACTGAGATGGAGTAACACAGAGGGATGACTGCTGTGGGGTCCTGGTTCTCACTCTGTGGTCATGTGTGTATATATTCATATCATAAGACTACATGGCAATCTCACTCCACTCCAGCCCCATTCAATCAGTATTTGGGGGAGGGTAGGTTTTGGGTGAGAATTAGGCAGCTGTGAGTAGAGATGAACTAAGAACCAGTGACCTCCAGCTGACTGCTGTACTCAGGGCTGGGGAGAAAGACAGAGGTGGGGTCTTCATTAGCATTCTCCAGGATCCAAAGCCCAATGAGGACTGACCTCCTGCCGTGAACAGAAATGAGATCTGAAGGCTGATGGAATAGAACACAAGAGAAACAGTGAGGGGCAGCATCCCTGAGTTGCCCTCATGTGACCTGTTCATCACTCTGTAGACGATGACTTCTTTAGCTTTTAAGAGAAAGCAGAAATGATGTCACATCAAAATAGAGTCAGTCATATCTGGGGCTGATGCCATCTGAAGGAGAATCAGCAGTCCCCTCCGCTGGACACTCGTAAGTGCCAGGTGAAGACCATGAGCGGGATACCTGTGCCTCCTTACGAACTGGAACCATGGCAGAGCATTTAGCTGTGAGAAACACAACTATAGAGCCTGCCACTGATTCATTTCGCCCCGATGTAGATCTTTATGTGTCACTATTAATGTTAATGTGGAGCGTAAATTTCATATCTGCATTTGTAAAACATAATATAGAAATAACTTTCTATATAACTGAACACATATAAGGAAATCCTCGAGAAATTCCCACATTCTTCTCTAGTCTTTGCGAGGGCGGCACAGTACACGGCTCGTGGCCTGAGAAGATGGCACTAGCTGATAAAGTTTTGACTTACGGGGTGATCCCTTTCAGATAATAAACCCATTTGATTCCAGATTCAGTGCCTTCGCACTGAGGGCAGGTGACAATCAGCTTGGTGGTGATAGGGGTTTTACTGCCTGATGGGTTCCCCTCAAAGTAGACTGTGATATTGTTGATCTTCTTGGGCCGCACGGTGTCCGCAGCCCGGATGGTGAAGGCTGGGTTCTCCACGATGAAGGAGAAGTTTGCCGCATGCAAGAAGACATTCTTGAAGGGAATGACGATGTTGTATCCGGCTCTGATGAGGAAGGGGCCTTGGGGCTTGGGAGGCAGGGCAATTCCGAAGAGTGGGATGATATATTCACCACCTATGAGTGACGACAGGCTCAGGATGCCTTTGGTCTCACCCAGGTGGCTGGGCTCAAAGAAGACTTCCACGCTGACCTCAGTGCCGCCCTGGGCTCCTGGGGCTGCGTTAATGACTCTTTCCGTGTGGAAGTCAGGGCAGTCCGTCTGAAAGGAAAACAGTACCTTGACTCACATAGGATCCTAAAGAGACTAGCAGGAGCCCAGGCCGAGCCCTTCCACTCTGACATTAAAGGACTTATGTGTGTGTGAGGCTGGGCAGGCTGTAATGTGATAGTCTATACACTATGGAGCTGAGGTCTTTGCAGGTAGGTATCACTCATTACTATCCCAACCTTGTTACTAAGGGACGTTAATAATGCACCTTAAGACGTCCAGCTAGATGATGTTGGTGGGGAGAACTGGGACAGTACTCCTCCGTACCTAGTTTTTCTCTCCTTTCAATCCGTGGAAGATGGGGCATTATGGCTTGAATAAAACTAAAAGGCGCCATTCGTATCCTAGAACATTTAACTGTCCGTGAGTCCCACCAGGGTCTTTTCAGCCCTTGAATGCTATGGCCAGAAGCATTTGAGAAGATTGTCAGCAGACTCCTCTAAGTGCCTGTGATAAACAGGGTCTCCTATGGCCCCCAACTGGAGAGCCAGCACAAGCAAGAAATAAACCTTTTCTTTTCCTTTTGAGACACCGACACCCAGATCTCAGGGTGGTTACTACTATATATAACCCGGTCTCTTTGGATTGATATGATAGTCAAGAGGCCTATGCTTCTTGTCATAATCATGGATTCCTGATTTTCACTGGGGACATGATCATCCATTTTAAAAGCCCCTTTTCCTAGTTCCCCTTGTGGCTCAGTTTAGTCCTGTGAAATCCGGTTCCATGGGGCATTGGGATAAGTGTTGTATGTAACTTCTCTTCCCTGTATGAATGTCATGGTAATCCATTTGCTTCAGTACTGGGAAAGAAAGAGTCTGGGTGGCTGATGTCACGGAGTGACCATTCCGGACCAGACGGCTCACATCCAGACTGTTGTGAGAGGCACTCCTTTCTCTTTGCTGTTGTTTACGTTTCCTGCCGTACATTCTAACTGTTAGAATGCTAATGGATATGAAATGCTTGCTATGGGCTAGGTCCTAAGGAGGAGGCTTTGCAGATATAGCGCATGCTTGTAAGTGCTCATGGTACTCCTGTGAGGTTGCAGGCTGCAGGCTGCCATGGTTTGGATGTTATCACTAAAACTCACGTTGAAAATGAGTCTCTTTGGTGAGGTATTAAAGATTTGGGATCATGAGGGCGGCCCTCTTGTATGACTGCATCCATCCCCGGATGCAGACTGACAGGCTAATGGCTTGAGAGTCTATCTATTTATAAAAGCCAGTTGCTCTCCCCCACCATAGATTCACCCCTTATGACTTTGGGACTCCTCAAGAGAGTGCTCACCAGCCAGGGGGCTTACCAGATGTAGCCCTTTGATCTTGGACCACACTCAGCTTCCGAATTGTGAGCTGAATAAACTTTTAATTATTTATTCATTTTATAAGTTATCCAGTCTGTGGTTTTAATTTATAGAAACAGGAAAAGGCTGAGACAGTGCTATTATCTCCATATATAGTTAGAAAAATTAAATTAACCTGAGTCCGTTCACCCTTGCTGTCCGCTCACCCCGCCGTCCGCTCACCCTGCAGTAGTACTCTGTCTTCTGTCGGGTATAATTGGTGAACTTTGCTAAAATGCTTTGACTGCTGCCGAGAACAGTCTGGAAGTGGACAGGTTTCTCAGGAGGTGCGGGCAAGGCCTTCAGAGCAAGCTCATACTGGTAGTAACCCAAGTCACTGTTGTGCAGGGTCAGTCTCCCGAAAGTTTCTCCAGCTTTCAGGGGCTGAAATTCAAACGAGAATGTTCCCTGGAAGAGAAGACAGAGGCTCTTGTCATGCTGGAAGTTTGATCCATCCTCTCCCACCAAGTGGCCTGTCTCCAGCCTTGAAGCAGGCAGTGGCAAAAATAATGCTTCAGAGACAAACACTGAAGCTGACCCTGAGCCTGGGAACTTCAGCCCAGGTTAGCCCATTCTCTCTCCGTTTTCTCCCCCATCCGGCTTTCTCTATTCCAGAGATTTCTCCATCCCAAATTTTTCTGAATCTGAGAAACAGGTGTTGGCCCCTGCCGAGGAAAGCACATTTCTGGAAACCAGCAGCAGGTAAAGGTCAGGCAGCCCCTTCTTTGCACACAGTCAACTTCCTGGGTTCCATCTCTGCTTGAGGAGAAACATCTCTCCATTCTCACAAAATGAAACAAGAACCAAAGGCATTGTTAATAACAACAAAGAGAGAGAAGGACTCAGAAGCACTGCCAATAGGGGATTGGCTTGATGACTTGGGGTTTTCCCATCTCAGTAGAATATTATACAGCCACAAAAGAATGAGGCAGAATTATAATGAGAGGTGTTGATTGTGTAAGTGGAAGAAAGGAGCTCTGAAAAAATACATAAATCTTGTACTTGTTTATTAAAAATTAATTTACTGTGTGTGTGCACATATCCACTCGGCTAGAGGGCAGCTTTCTGGAGTTGGTTCTCTCCTGCTACCTGGTGCGACCCAAGGATCCAACTCAAGTTGTCAGGCCTGTGTGCAAGAACCTCTACCCATTGAGCCACTTTGCTGTTTGTGTGTAGAAAAGAGTCCATAAGAACAGATGTTCCTACCCGGGCAGCGGTGGTGCACACCTTTCATCCCAGAACTTAGGACAGAGGCAGGGGAATCACGGAGTATGAGGCCAGTCTGGTCTATAGAGAGTTCCAGGACAGCCAGGGCTACACAGAGAAATTCTGCAATGAAAAAATAAAACAAAAACAAAAACCAAACAAACCATCAGTGGTCAAACCCAGTGATGCAGGTCTTATAACTCTAGGTAGTTGAGAGCCCAAGACAGGCAGAGCACAAGATCAAGACTTGTCTGGGTTAGAGAGTGAGTTCCAGGTGAGCCTGAGTAATTTAGTGAGAATCTGTCCCATGGCAGGGGTTAGAGGGTATGGGGAAACAGTTTGTAGTTTGTAGTTCAGTAGGACAGAGTGTTCCAAGAATGCACAGGCTCAGGCTTTAATTCCTAGCTCTTCCAGTAGTTTTCTAACTTAAATTCCAGGACAGGGAAAGGGCGTGGTAAAGCACAAGCACGTCACTTGTGAGATGAGGCAGAGAAAGTGTAAGCCTGCAGGCTTCTGTTGTGTGCACGCCTTTCTCCCTTGCGGAAAGCTAGTCTCTGTCCCTTACATCTTTACTCTAGGGAAGTCGGCCATGTTGGAAAATGCTCTAGGGGGGTGGTCCACATAATGACTGAGGTCCAGTCAACTGCCAACAGGGAGCTAAAAACCTTTCCAGCAACCCCATGCCCGGGTCTGGAAGCAGATTATCTAGTCTCAGGTGCGGGGGCTGGGGATGACTAGGTGGTGCCTGGTTGACTGCCTGCATGCCTGCCTGGAACCTCATGAGACACAGCTCCCCACCCCCAGCAATGATGGCCCAGCCAAGCTGCCACTGCAGAGAGCAAGCATTTGCTGTTGGACAAGATGCTAGGTTTGAGAGTAATTTGTTATGGATTGGCAGATAACAGATAATGGAATTCCGTTCAAAATCCAGCGTTCACTTTATTTTTCTTTATTTCTTCTGAGCAATGTGGCTTCAAAATTTACATAGAAGAGTCAAGAATAGCTGACAGATTTCTCAATAGCAACAAGAGTGTAAGCTATCGCTGGAGTTGAACTGACAGCTTTATCTGATGTCAACCAACACTTATCAAAGTATATGTTAATAAAACACAGAAGTATTCGCATGAGAACATAAATGATTTTATCCCAGTGGAACTAGAACAGACCCATGGATGGATGAGCTTGGTTTATCTTATACATGTTTCTGCAGAGCGGAAGGTTTTGTTGTTTTGTTTTGTTTTTGGTTTTTTGGAGATAGGGTTTTAAGTAGCTCAAGTTGGTCTCAAACTCAATACATAGCTGAGGATGATCTTGAACTTCTAATCCTCTTTTCTATCCCTCTGGAGTGCTGGATTACAGGCATGTGCCACCATGCTCAGTTTATTTTTTTATTTTTTATTTTTTGTTTTTTTGAGACAGGGTTTCTCTGTAGCTTTTGGAGCCTGTCCTGGAACTAGCTCTTGTAGACCAGGATGGCCTCGAACCCACAGAGATCCACCTGCCTCTGCCTCCTGAGTGCTGGGATTAAAGACGTGCGCCACCACTGCCCGGCCATGCTCAGTTTAAAACCAGAATTTTAGTTAGTCGGAGATAATTCATATTGACTTAGAAAGCAAAGTGAAACTCTGACTCACGTTATACATAGAAACCTGTTCTTTAGGTTTAGGGGAAGAAGATAATTGTTTAGTCTCTCTTCAAATACCTGTTCTATCCGGCCCTTCCCTCCTACCCCCCATCAGCTAGGCTCAAAATAACAGCAAGCTAACATCCATAATGAAAGCAAGTGTAGGGGCAATCTCAAACGCAAATGTGAGTAGGTGGAGCCAAAGTACCAATAGCGATGAGCCTGGTGTAATATTAGCTCCTGCATGATGCGGGGAGCATCAGCCCTGAGAGCCAAAGAGCTCAGATCCCTGCTGAATTGAGGTGGAAAGCCAAGTGGGACATTCCATTCCAGCAGAAGCTGGAGGAGTGGTTTCAGTTTAACTACAAGTTGTTGTAATAAGATTAACCTAGTGAGGGCAGTAGAGACTAGCTGAAGGCTCAAACAGAGAGCCTGAACTGTTCAGGTGCTGCAACAAAAATAGGATCTTGAGTTTGAGGCCATTCTGGGTGGCACAGTAAGACTCTGTCTCAAAGGAGTTAGAACAAACCCAACTTAAAGCAAAACACCAACAAAAACTGTCGGACTGAAGTCCCCTTCTGAACAGCCTGGCTTGGAGAGAAATCTTTGAGAATAGGGATTACTTGATTACAGCAAAGACACAGGAGACAAAGGACGGATACAATCCTGCCTGCTAACAGTGGGCAGCAGAGCGGAGAAAACTAACCTAGTCCTGAGATGAGGGGAGAGATGGAGTAGTGTGAAGGGGACAGGCAGAACTGGACAAGGGTGGAAGGCAGAGTGGGGACTTGGGGAGAATTCAGACAGTGAGTTTTGGAACAATAAACTGAGAAAACGAATAAAAAGGAAAGCTCGTCTTCCTCCTGGTTCGTAATTCCTGACCATGTCCTCTTTACCATGGTTGGAGGTTCTTGCATGCCTCTTCAGAATACTCTGCACAGAAGCAAGTATAAGCAACAAGTGTACAAGCATGTGTATGTATGTATGTGTGTGTGTACATGTATGTGCATATAAATGTGTATGTAGTGCATGTGTATATGTATGTGTGTGTGTGTTTTATTCTGATACTTTATACACTTTGCTTTCTTTTTCACATGAAGATCCATGGTCTAGGGATTGAACTCAGAATACCCCATGCATGTTGGGCAAGTATTCTGCAACTAAGGTACGCTTCTAGTTCTATGATACTTTTGCTTGTTTGTTTTGTTTTTGTTTTTTGAGACAGGGTTTCTCTGTGTAGCTTTGGAGCCTGTCCTGAAACTTGCTCTGTAGACCAGGGTGGCCTTGAACTCACAGAGATCCACCTGCCTCTGCCTCCCACATGCTGGGATTAAAGGTGCGCACCACCACCACCTGGCTCTATGATACTTCTATAATTAGAAAAGAGATGTTTCTCCTTTAGTTTGAACAAGTCAAACAATGAATAGACAAAGAAAATAGAAAGTAGTCCATTTTCCCTGTCCATACCAAAGCTAAGTGTCCCTAGTTCACACGAAGACTTTGACTGTAGAAGAAAGGAACACAAGGCTGACTATTCCTGCCATTCTTCTTGCCCTCCATCAGGGCTGGCCCACACTCAAGGGTTGCAGAATATAGACCCAGAGGCCCCATGGGTAGAAACCTCTGTCCTAGTCCTCAAGAGTCCCCCGACAGTCAGGTCTTTACCTCAGAGTTTGCAGGCACAGCAAACTGGGAAGGTAGGTTGATGTCACTCAGCTTGCACTCTGTAGAGAAGGTCACGGAATAGGGCAGGGGATTCTCCAACTTGATGGAGGCTGACGCACTCTGGCGGACTGAGCTTGTCATCTGGATGGTTTTTATAATGCCAGAAGGGATGACCCTGAAACTCACAGTGTAGTACAGGAATTCATTGGTCACCTCGTTCCGGAAGATCACCTGTGTTCACAGGGAGGATAGAAGAGGAGACGGGGAGAGGAGACGTTAGCACAGGGTCCTCTGTGCACACTCAGCGTCTCCTGCTATCTGGGAGCCTTGCTGGGCACATGAAGCACACATACTGGGGTGGCCCGGCCAGTCAGTCCGATCCCTGCTAGGCAGCCTTTCTCTTTTGGAACTGTAGTCTGGCTTTTTACAGGTGAGAGATGATTTAAGAATCTTGGTTCACTTTAGAAGGCACTAGAGCAGCTTGGTCCACTGACAAATTTTACCAGTGGGGACAGTTAGGCAACCCCAGAGAACAAGTGAGATCTTCAGACCTTCAAACTGGAGGGGCATTCACGCCTACTGCTGTTGCTGCCAGAGCTGTTAGTGAGAATGACAATGACAGACAGCATTTAATGCTCACTGGGGGTTAGTATATGCCAGGCTACACGATTCTCAAAGTGTGTCTCAATGGCCTCACCCTTTACAGAGGAGGGAATGGACGTGTAACTAAGCTCAGTGTCTTGCTCAAGGTCATGTGCAAAGAGGTATCCTGCATGGGGTGACCTCAGAGCTCACCCTGAAAGCACCAAGTACTCTGCTCATCTGTCGGAACTCTCCAGGGAGAATGGGAATGTGGGCCCCGTGTGCTTGTGGTCGTTCATATATAGCAACTTAAAACACATTTCTGTTGAGACAGGGTCTCTTGTTGCTCAGGTTAGCACACAACTCCAGAGGCAGGCCTCACGCTCTTGAGTGCTGGGACGGCAGGTATGTGCCACTGTGCCTGGCTTTCATACGGTTGCTCTTGTGAAGTAGACTCTATCCAAGCGTTTGTTCTTCTTAATACATAGGAATGTCAATCTTGTCATCATTGGGTGGCAATTTTATTTATACAGCCTGGCGTTTATATACATCCTTCTAAAGACCTTGTCTAGTTTTATTATCTATCTATCTATCTATCTATCTATCTATCTATCTATCTATTATGTATGTATACAATATTTTGTCTGTGTGTATGCCTGCACGCCAGAAGAGGGCACCAGACCTCATTACAGATGGTTGTGAGCCACCATGTGGTTGCTGGGAATTGAACTTAGGACCTTTGGAAAAGCAGGCAATGCTCTTAACCACTGAGCCATTACTCCAGCCCCCCCCCCCTTGACTAGTTTTATACTTTAAAATCTTTCCCTTGGTGATTCCATATTAATGATAACTTCAGAGACTGTCGATAAACAAACAACATGCAAGCCTTCAATCCTGACCTCTCCTGTGAGCTACAAATTTCACATATACTCTCCTACTTCAAAGCATGTATCTCATTAGAAAGTTATGCATTGGCAGAATAGTTCTGTTTCCATCCATTAGTCTGTGCTTCATAAGAATACAGGCCGATCTCTGTGAGTTCGAGACCAGCCTGGTCTACAAGAGCTAGTTCCAGGAGAGGCTCCAAAACCACAGAGAAACCCTGTCTCGAAAAAACCAAAAAAAAAAAAAAAAAAAAAAAAAAAGAATAGAGGCGGCACCTGCCTTTGGCCCTTGCTGTGCTACCAGCACTCTGCACAGAGTGCGGCCTATGCACTCAATGGATACCCATGAAACGAATGAACGGACTAGGCAAGCTAGCACGGAGTGAACTCTGCGGTGTTTGAGGACAGTGCCTGGAGGATAGCATCTGCTGTTCTCTAACACTCCAGGGTCCCAGGGTCAAACCTCCAGGGGCTTGGGAGGTGCCTTTGATGCGATGATACCTTTGCAGTGTACAGCCCCTCCTTGTGGGAAAAGAAGTTCAGCTTGTAGTCTTTCTTGGAGCCAGATAGTACGTCGATGTAATCAAGGCCCTTCAGAGTGACACTTAGGTCTGGTCTCTCCGGTTTCAATATTTCCACAATGACCCGGAATCTGACACAGGACAAGAGAGAGAGAGACCATGAGAAATGATGAGAGACACTGGCATGAGGCTGTCCAAAGGCGGGAAGGAAAGAGGCTGTGTCTAAGGGAAGCTACATCTGCCTTTAACGGAGATTGTGAGGACCTGTGGTTCTAGCCTTCACTCTGTCACCAACAGCAACTGCCATTTATTGAGCCAGGTACCCAGCAGTTCCTTCTCCGTGTTGTTTCCAGATATCCAGCTGTCATGCCCAGAGGAGGTTTGCTTCATTAACACCTCCACTTTACAGAAGGGGAAACAGAGGCCCAAAGAAGGACGATAACTTGCTCAGACAACATGCGTGGCTATTGGCAAAACTGGGGTTCAGACTTAGATCTGAGCTTTAGTCTACGATGCTAGGCAGGCGGTAGTCAGGAAGATGTACTTCCAGCCTCCATTTCTTCTCTGTGGAAGAGAAGGACGAGGCTACTTGCTCTTGATCTTTGCTGGTTCTTTCATCCCTCTCTACCTTCTGCTGGAAGCACAGTTGGAGGGGTTTTCTAGATTTATAGCTAGGCTCAGGCTATAAGCCACTCAACGATAACAAAGACGATGATGGTTAGGGTCATCAGAACTCCTGTTTATTGGGCATGTATTTTGTGGGAGGCAGTGCCCTACAGTCTGTAAGAATCAGCACTGAACAAGATGACTGGGTTTGTGTCCATGAGACACCTGGCTACACAGAGGACTAAGTCTCTGACTGCCCCGGCCTGACATTCTCTGTAAGCTCTGGGCAGGTGAAGGACCAAGTTGGATGGAGGAGGCCATCTGTCCCCCTTCCCTGACTGCTCGCCCCACTCCCTCACCTCTGGGGCTTGTTCAGCCAGTTGCTGATTGGCAGGAGCTCAACATAGGGAGTCTTACACGGAACCTCACGGTAGATGTTGGCAACAGCTTTGGGGAGCTCGGCAGTCCCGTGCAGGGCATACAGCCAGCCAGTCCCATCCGGGAGGGGGAAAAAGAGAGTGCCCTTGAAAGAAGAAGAGATACGTCAGAATGACACAGAAGCTCCTGCCTGACCTGGAGGGTAAAATAAGTCTAACACTTTTACTTTAAAATTTTAACTTTTGGGGTGTGTGTGTGTAGAGTGAACCCATGTTGCATATCTTCCTTCATTGCTGCCCACAGTGTTCCTTTAAGACAGGGCCTCTCACCGAGCTGGTTCCAGGACAGGTTCCAAAGCTACCGAGAGACCATGGCTCAAAAAAAAAAAAAAAAAAAAAAAAAAAAAGACAGGGGTTTTCGCAGAAGCAGCAACTCGTCATATTGGATAGATAGTGAAGACTGAAGAAAATATCGTTTGCTTCTAAGCGCAGAGACCAGCTGCTTTCCTTTTCTCTACGTCACCCTGGCTGTCCTGGAACTCACTACATAGACCAGGCTGGCCTCAAAGTGGGAGATCCACCTGCCTCTGCCTCCCAAGTGCTGGGATTAAAGGCACATGTCACTACTACCCTGCCTAATTTTTAAAATTGCATTTAAAATTTTATTTTTATTATTTTTAGTTATGCGTCTCTGTGCAGGTATGTGCATGTGAGTATAGGGCCTACAGAGGCAGAGAGGGCATTGGAGTCCCCTGAAACTGAAATTACAGGTGGTTGCACGCCACCCAACACAGGTATTGGGAAGTGAGCTCAGGTCCTCTGTAAGAATAGCAAGTGCTTTTAGCTGTTGAGCATCTCTCTCTTTGGCCCTCAGATTACATTTTCATATCATTCATTCATTCATTTGTGTGTATGTGTACACACACATGTGGCATCACATGTGTGGAACTCAGAGGACAACTTGCAAGAGTCACTTTTCTGCTTCCAAAATGCTGATCTTGGGGGTTGCTCTTTTGCAAGGCTTGGTGGCAGACACATCCCTGGGCCTCTTCTGATTTTTGTTACAGATACCATGATGTTTCTGATGCGCTAAATATGAATTTCTTGATGCTTGTTCTAGGGTTTCATTTTAGGACTGAGCTGCCGAATTCTAAGAGAAACAGAGGCAATGGGGGCGCCACTACCTGACAACTGCCACAGCTCCCCATTGTTCCAGGATCTGGGTACTCACGCCTCACTTGAGTATTCTTCCAACTCTGAGCTCTAAAACTGTCGTCTGGCCCCTGTCTACACAGGTCCTTGCTCCCTCTGTACCAGAAAGCAGGCGGGAGGCCTTGGTTTACCTGGTGCTTGCGGTTCTCCAGATTCATGGTGCGGGGCTTGTAGGTGATCTCATAGGGCTTGTTTTGCTGATGGGCCTCCAAGGTGATGAACTCGGGCCCCTCCCAGTGCTCGCCCTCAAAGATGGGGTGCAGATTCCAGGTCTGGTTGGTACGGTTTGAGAGCAGGATGGTCTGGGTGTGCCTGGAGCGCACTTGGCAGTTGAAATTCACCACCTGGGGGAAGCGGGACAATCACCTTCCATGTCCTCTCCTCTGAACATCTTCCAGGGGCCAGAGCCGTGTGTGTGTTTGTGTCTGTGTGCACGCACGCACACACACAAACACATGTGCCAGGGAAGAGAGCTTTTAACAGCGTTTCCCACAGTGAATCCCAGTGGACAATCTCCTTTCCCCTCAGTCACTCCACAAATAGTTTTGGGTTCCTTCTTTCCAGCCCCATGTGTCCCCATACATAGATACGCACATGTAATTTTGAATCTGGTTTCAAATATGAGCAAAAAAAATATACTACTTGTCTTGCTCAGTCTGGCTTACTTCATTAAACATATGATTTTGAGTTGTATACATTTTCCTGCAAAGTCATGGCTTCACTTTTCTTTACAGCCATACACAATGGCATGGTGTAGTGGCTGCACACACGCTGTCAGTCAAATTATTTCAGTGCAGACATGAGGCCCTGAGTTCAGTTCCTAGCATCCATGTAAGAGCCACTGTGGCAGGGTCTGTCTGCAGCTCCAGCACCGAGGGGACAGAGACAGCTGGATCCCTGAAGCTCCCTGACTGGCTAGCCTAGCTGAATTTATGAGCTGTAAAATATCCACCTTCTACTATCCCCTGTGCCTATTGTACCATCCAAGCCACCGTCGTGTCTCCCCTCGTCTCTGAGAAGTGCTTCTCGTTAGTCTCTCTTCCTCTGACATCTGCCAACATCTGGCTTGACTCCATTAAGCACAAATCAAATAACGTCATTCCTCTACTCAAGACTCCAAGTCCTCCTGCTCCAGACGAAGGAACAGAATGCTTGTGCGGCAAGCACTTCACTGACTGAGCTCTGCTCTGCTCCCTGCTCACAGTTCTCCTAACAGAATTTTATCTAGATGGGCTCCTTGAGGGTGTAATGCTTGTACCACAAGCTGAAGAAAGAACACGAAATAAGTTAACGAAGAGGGAAGAAAGATTGTTCAATCAGTGGATATGGTATGTGCAAAGTCCCTGTGGCAGGGAGGAACTGTACTGAATGTTCTATACAGTTGTTGCGGACTGAATTCCTTCATTGGGCTTACTCCTGCCTTTGGCCCATCCCTGGCCAATGCGTACTCGCCTCTTTGATTGCAGGTGGTCCCACGCAGATTCCAGACAGGGTGAGGGACAGATGATTTCCTCCCTGGATGAAGCAGGGAATGTTTTTATAGAGACTTTCCTTTCCTATCTCAGTGGGATGGTAGGTTACTTCTAAAGCAACCTCCATGCCGGAGGTGATGTAACCTTCTTCAGGGCTGATGGAGAAGTGAGGCTTTAATCTCTTCACATCCCACTTAAACCTTTTCCGAGACAGGAGAAGAGAGAGAGATAGTATGTTAGTATTCCGAGGGTTTGCAAATAAAAGACATCATCAGGACTTTTGACAGCTTGGTCCCCACCCTGACTACTCCCTGGGATCTAGGAGGAGGAAGCCCTGTCAGAGCAGAGGTGGTTAGGGAACATGGGCCAAGATCACTCTCGGGTAAGGGGACTCTGCTCCCTCTTAGAGTTGAACTGGGGTGAGAAGTTGGCTGCACTCACTGTCCATGAATGACAGCTAGGGAATGTATGCATGAATATGTTCATGTGTTCCCAAGGTTGCATAGCTAGCAGGTGGCTAGACTAGGACTACAGTTTCTTAAGACCATGACCTTGACCGTCCCATGCACTACCTGTTTAGATCCAGAAGGGTGGTGACAAGGCCTTCATGTGAGAGTTATGTCTGTTCTTGGTGGCACTGGGATCTTGATGAGCCTATAGGGTCATTCCTGTGATCGGGCATTTGGTATGGGCAGAAGGCAGGGGATGAAAAGTGCAGAACAGTCCTTCCAAATCAGGGCTACCATATAGCATCCTCTTGGTGGCATAGCACTGAGTCTATATGGTGAGGACCCCTGGGGTGTGTAGTGGGTACCCGACAGCCATGCCAATACATGAGCACCAAGAGGAGAGAACCTGGGTTCTGGTCCTGTCTTTTCATTTCCTGGCTGTGGAATCCCTAAGCCTCACTTCATCTGTGAAATAAGGCTGTAAAGCACCTGCTCTGGAGACTGCGTTGATTCTAGGTAAGCCTTCCCAGCCTTGCACCCATGCTTACTGATACATATATGATTTGGGAGAAAGTTAATCTTTTTTTTTTACACTTTATTTATACTAAAGCAGATTGTGAATTGTTCTACTGGTGTTCTTTTCTAATTCTATCTGATAGGAATGATGCCTAGAGAACACGTTTTGTCCCCATAATTTTCCCCTCCTCCTACCCTCTTCTGCTTTCTCCACCCCCTTCTCCCTGCCTCCTATTTCTCCTTTTTCTTTGTGATGCTGGGAATTGAACTCAGGGCCTTGTATGTGCTATGCAATTGCTCTACCACTGAGCTTCATCCCCAGCATCCTCTCCTTGTTTAAGCAAGGTTTGATATAGTCCAGGTTAACCTAGCCTTGGACATATATAGCCAGAATAGCTGCCTTGAACTACTGATCCTCCTGCCTCCACTTCCCAGTCCTCAAGTGCTAGAATTATACAAAAGTGTTCGTTCCACCATGCCTGACTTCTTTTCTTTCTTTCTTTCTTTCTTTCTTTCTTCCTTTCCTTCCTTCCTTCCTTCCTTCCTTCCTTCCTTCCTTCCTTCCTTCCTCTTTCTTTTTCTTTCTCTTTTCTCTCTCTCTCTCTCTCTCTCTCTCTCTCTCTCTCTCTTCTCTCCCTCTTTCTCTTTTTTCTTTCTTTCTTTCCTCTCTTTCTCCCTCCCTCCCTCCCTCTCTCTTTTTTAAAGACAGGGTATCACTATGCATTTTAAATCCTCCTGCCTCAGTATCTCAATCACAGAGATTATACGATAGTATAAGCAGCCTAGAGTTGTTGAGATTGAGCTGGGTGAGTCGTGTGACAGGCATATACCAGGATTGCACCAATGTTTCTACCATGTCACCATGGGAGTAGCTGTTACTGTGATGCTTCATTTGAAGCAAGGACAGAATTCAGAGATGCAGATGTCGGCTACTGTCTCGGGTGGGAGACACCATCCCCATCCTACCTTGCACCCACATCGCCTGTGTTCATCATGAGGATGCGCCGTGTAGATTGCGTCTGATACACGACAGGACCAAAGGGAAGATGCTCCTGGTCCAGGGAAATCTCCAGGGCCTGACAGCAGCCACTAAGGAGAAAGAGGGGACGCAGAAGTCCCATCCATTCCATGAACACTTCCTCAGAGAAAGGAGGGACACGCTTCTTGGGGGCAAAGGTAATTTCCAGCTTGCAGACTTCTTTGGGCTTCAGGGTGATATTGTGGAAGGGCTCCAGGGTGATGACCTAGACAGTGAGACAATGTGACTCAGAAGCTGAAGGGAGGGAGGCTCCTCAGGCCTCAGTGCCTCCTGCTGGGGCTCCCGGCCCAGGGATCAAATCTCATCTGTTACCAGCTGGGTCATCTCTGATAACGTTACTCAAAGCTTCCCCTTCACTTGCCCTTCGATGAAGGGCAAGATCATGTCTGTAAAATGTGTGGCTTATGACAGGGATCCAACAAATGTTAATTTCCTGTACTGTCCGGTTTTTCAGCTCCTCTTGGGCATTTCATTCTTCCTTCCTCCATGGTAGAGGAAACAGTAGCAGGAAACATGAAACAAGAAACATCAGTCCAGCCTTTCTCAAATGTTCCCTGATGGGAGAGCATCAGGTTAAGTGAAACAAGCCAGACTCAGAAATACAAGATTACATGTTTCCTCTCATATGCAGTCTGATTTAACTATATATGTGTGTGTATAGATATACGTATATGTGTGTGTATAGATATACGTATATGTGTGTATAGATATACGTATATGTGTGTGTATAGATATACATATATGTGTGTGTATAGATATACATATATGTGTGTGTATAGATATATGTATATGTGTGTGTGTGTATGCCATGCATGAAGCAGGAGAACTATGGACAAAGGGGAACGCAGTATATAGGAGAGGGGAGCAGGAACAAGACAAGATCATGGGGAAAAAGAAATTACAAAACATTGCATACTTTTTATCATATGCCGAATCTATATTTAATATCTATAAACACACACGACAAGAAAGCAGAAGATACACACTGAGAGGAAGGCAATAGGGATAGGGGAGGAGAGTTGGGGATGGTAAGAACAAGGTACAATCACACACACATGTGTAAAATGTCATAATGAGCCAGGTGTGGTGGCACATGCCCTAATCCCAGAACTCAGGAAGCTGAGGCAGCCTCCTGAATTCAGCACTCTGAGTTCAAGTCCAGCCTGATCTACAGAGCGAGTTCCAGGACAGCCAGGACTATACAGAGAAACCCCGTCTCAAAAAACCAAAAACCAAAACCAAACCAAACCAAACCAAAGTAAACAAACAAAAAGTCATGATGAAACTATTATTTTGTATGCTAACTAAAAACACAGATAATAAAGAGGACCTACTGGGACTAATAAAACTTAGACCCCAGGACTTGCCCAGACCAGCTGATTCAGTGTTTGGGAGATGATCTGGAACCTGCATTTTCTAAAGTTCCCTGGGTGACTGTATTCTAAAGTTCAGGAGTTACTGTATAAATTCATATGTGACTTCCTTTTTCCCCTTAGGTTTGGGTAGGAAGCAAACCCAAATCTGCCCTAAGGAAACCAACTCCTTACACTCTCTGTTCAGAGCATGGAGCGGCTGGCAGGAATGCACCGAGGCTGCAGGAGGCTGCAGGAGGCTGCAGGGAGTGAGGTGAGGGACACGGGAGAAAACTGTCCCGGGGATTTCCCGAACGCCATGACTTTGGGAGCTAGCCTGAGGTAAATGCTCAAGACAAGTCACTTTAACAAAACTCTGGTTACCCACTAACGGACAATTTGATATAGCCATCTGGGGGTGAAGTTCACTGGCAGAGCACTTTTCACTAAGTGAAAAATTCTGGGTTCTATTCCCACCCTGTAAAGAGCCCAACAAACCAAACAAGCAAACACTGCTCTGACGGGCTGTTAGGGACCCTGACCCACTGGGAATGAGGAATTTAGTTTGGATTTATGAAGAAAGGGAACAAGGAGTTTTCCCTCTTTGCATGGGATGGTGGGCAACACGGAGTCCTGGGATGAGGTACTCTTTATGTTTCTGGCTTTGGCTGGCCTCTCACAGCCAATTTTTCTGTATCCTGCAACACCCATGGACCCCCCCCCCATTTCCTTACACTGACCTTGGCTTCCTGGAGTTCTGGAATGGAGAACAGGACGGACTGGTTAAAGGTGAGCTGGGCAAGGCTGTTGTTTATGATGGAAACAGTTTTCTTCACAACCTGACCTGGCAGAACAGCTCCTAACTTCACGATCCTGTTGGCTGGATCTAGAACTAAGATCTGGGTGACCAGAAAGAGCAGGGAGTAGATTTTGTCAGTCAATGCGGAAAAGAACATGACGCTTGTGTCCCCTGGAAGCCAGGGCAGCTCCCTCTTTCCATGGCCTCACAACTTCAGGTCAGTGAGCCTTGATTTCATTACTAGCTCGCACCAGCCCTGAAGACAGGAGCATTGGAACCTCTGTAACCTGTAGAAGAGATGTCCCCTCTCTGCACAACTAATCTCCGTCAATGTGCATGTGTGACACATACACACACACACACTCACACATACACACACTCTCACACACTCACACACATACTCACATACACTCTCTCACTCTTTCTTTCTCTCTCTCTGTCTCCCTCTCTTTCTCTCTTGCACACACACACACACACACACACACCTGTGACTTCTTTTTGTTCTGACTATAAAAACTCACACAGCCTCTTGGATAGTGGACCATGTCACTCATGCTAACCCAGATCTTGCTTCATTTTTATATGTATGTATGTCTGGCCTGTGTGTGTACATACGTGCACTGTGTCTGCCTGGTGCTCTCAGAGGTCAGATGAAAGAGCATCTCCTCCCTATTCCCCCTGGGCAGGAGGGCACCTAGACTTTTCCATCAGTAACGCTTGGTCACTCATTTTTGGCTCACAAGGAATTATTTCTAATTCTCTTTGGAGCAAGAGTTGTGCTTTGTGTTGACAAGACACACCAGGTGGTAATGTCCTATTGCTCCTGTGGCTTGAGGGGAGGTGGCCACACCCCCTCCCATTTCTCATTTGTTGAAATATCCTATGCATTCTTAAGAATCTTGAAATTTTTCAGGCTTCTTAAGCTTTCTGTTACAATATAAAACTTCCACCAGACGTACCAGACATAGTTACCAGATGCAGTAACACAGGGGTGACTGTCAGGACAGGACCGTTTCCTACAGATCTGGGTCACCTGGGCAGGAGGCATTCCTGAATGTAATCCTGGGACCCACAGCTGGCTGAGAACATTCCCCAGTGAGGGTCAGCAGGAGGAATAGCTCATAGATGACCCCTGTGTCTGCATAAGACACGCCCTCCAGTGGGACGTAGCCTGTGACACTTCTCCAAAAAGATGCAGAACATTTCTTTGGTGCTTGCAGTTGACAGAGGTCGCCAGTACAGTGAATCTAGGTCTGTCTGGGTAAGAGCTGGGATTGAGCCTGGTTTAAAAATTCCTTGCCACCTTCTATGATCAGGGACACTGTCTTGGTGGAGCCAGATGATACTGGGTGGAGCATTTCCGGGAGCAGGGAAGAGGGGATGTGGGGTGGCAAGAGTCTGGGAAGAAGAAGGAAGAGGGTTCTGAAGTCCCACCCATGTTCTCTTACCTTCATTTCTGTGCCTTTGCCTTTGATCTCCACTGTCTGTTGAGAGAGCCCATTGATTTCAAAGGGGATGAGCTCTCGGTAGCTGATAGCTTCCCGAGGGTAGAAGGTAATTGGGATCTCCAGTGTCTTCCCAGGCTTTATCACGTCCACACTGAAGTTCACCTCGACATGTGGGGTGTTGGTGTATAAACAATCTAAGCTGGGGAAGACGCAGAGGAAGGGGTATAAGCACCAAGAAGGCAGAACTGGAGGGACTGATGGGTCCCCTGTGATTTCTGGGCTGAAAGGTGACAGATTTTCTGTCCTGCTGTCCTAGAGTCAGGGGAGTCACCAAGGAGCTGGAAGGAATGGCAGCAATGACCAGCTCATGCTCCTTCAGGTGCAGTCAAGTCACCAAGTCTCAGTCACAGCCCGAGGTGCAGGTGGGAGCTCATACACTCAGTCCACCGATGCTCTTTTTCTTGAAAATTCCTCTCAGCATCTTACACTCTCTCACAAGGGGGCAGCCCTTCAATCACTGGCTGACAAAGCTCGGCGGAGTGCAGCGCATGTTCTAGAGTTTGGATCAGGATCTGCCAATAACTAGCCACGTGACCTGGGAAGATTTGCTCAGGCCACTCAGATCTGCTCCCTCACCTGTGAAATGGGGTTAGTAGCAGCTACCTCACAGGATTGTTAGAGAAATTAAATGGGATAGTGATGAAGGCACTTTTTTTGTTATTTTTTTTACTTATTCTATCTAAATTTAAATTTATTTAAAATTTAAAAATATTTGTCTTCATTTTTATATGTATGTATGTCTGGCCTGTGTGTGTACATACGTGCACTGTGTCTGCCTGGTGCCCTCAGAGGTCAGATGAAAGAGCATCTCCTCCCTGTTCCCCCTGGGCAGGAGGGCACCTAGACTTTTCCATCAGAACTGCCCTGTGTCTTCCTGATGCGTTTTTGGAGAAGGAATTCAGCTAAATGGGTGCCCGGAGCTCAAGGCCTTCAGTAGGCAGAGATGATATCGAATTGTAAAAGGAGGACTGTAAGTAGATGACATTTAAAGCATTTATTTTTATTTTGTGCATGTAAGTGTTTGCCTACAATAATGTACGCATGCCATGTGCATGCCAGAGGTCAGTGGAGGGTGTTAGAGCCCCTGGAACTGGAGTTATAGATGGTTATGTGGGTGCTGAGAATGGAATGTGGGTCCTCTGCAAGAGTAGCAAGTGCTCTCAACCGCTGGACCACCTCTCCAGCATGTTAGATAAGATTTTAAATTTATTTAAAACTAAATAATAGTCTTGGGATTTAATATCTAGAGTAATATCAGCAACAGCAGCAAGCAGTTACTGAGTCCCACTGTTCTCAGTACTGAAGGACACTGTTCTCAGTATCCAGATGTGGTCTCCTGCTTCAGGCAAGGAGATAGGCATAGAGAATTTAAAAATGTAAAATATATTTGCATGGTGGCGCATATCTGCAATCCTAGTACTCAGGTGGCCGAGAGAGGAGGGTCATGCGTTTGAGACCAACCTGGGCCATACAGTGAGACTTCATCTCAAAACTAACAGACCATACACTGCCCACAACAGCAAAAACAAGAAGAATAAAACAAAACAAAGTTGCTCACTGTCACAGCTATCACAGCTAATATTTGAACTTGGATTTATGCTATTTGATATGGTAGTGACAAGACACACACAGTAATTGAAATCAATTAAAATTAAATTAAAATGAAGTGCTTTGGTTGCACCAAGCTACTTATAGCTAAAGGCCATCACATTGGACAGTGAAGATAACAATATTTTTCCATGGCAGAATGTTCTCTGCAGGACTGATAAAGAGATCTGTGCATGAACACAGGTCAGTGGCTCAGCCAGATTCTCTCTCATTAGGTCTGAAAAGAGCTGTGGAGACCTGGACTGAAACATTCCACAGGGCTGATGCAGACAGCCTGGGTTTGGTCTGGAAGATTTAGGCTGAGCACAGACCTGCTGTTTAGTGCAGAGCAATTCAGTTTTTAACTCTCCCAATCTCTTTCCAAGGAAACAAAACAGAAGCTGCAGGACTTTGAGAAAGTCAAGAAGAGGTGTTCAGCAGGCAGCTCATGGATGTCCAAGCATTTATATGAATGGTGGAGACCGGGACCCTGGATTCATGCCGCCTGTGCCGGACCTTTCCCACCATTTCTGTCTGGTCAAATGAACTAGCTAGCATTAACTGTCACCTCAACACTGGCTATATTCACCTGGAAAAAGATTCTCAGTTGAGTAAGTTTCTTTAGCAGGTTGGTCTGTAGGTGTGTCTATGGGGCATTATCTGAACTGTTAACTGATGCAGAAGGGCCCAGCCCACTGTGGGTGGCACCATCCCTCGGCAGGTGGTCCTGGGCTTTATAAGAGAATGGGCTAAACGTGAGTCTGAGGGTAAACCGCGAAATGGCATTTCTCCATGGTTTCTGCTGTACTTCCTTGGTTGTGAGTTCCCTGGTTGGAGGCAATGCTCAACCGAGTAGCAAGCAGTCCAGGCTTCGATTCCTGTCCCGAGTTCCTCTCTGAATTCCCTCAGTGATGGACTGTGACCTGGACGTGCTAGGTGAAATAAACCCTTTCCTTTCCTAAGCTGCTTCTGGTCAGAGAGCTTCGTTACAGCAGCAGAGGTGAAAGTAGAAGACAGGGCTTCCCCTGCATGGAGTCCTTATGTAGACTCAAGTTGTTCTCTCTGTGAAGACTGCTTACCTCATAGATGTTTCTTCTTTGTTGGTGACAAGGAGGGTTTGCTTGTATGGGGGCATCCCAGCTTGGTAGATGAAACAAGTCCCAAAGTTGTAGCTGGTGAAGGAGAAATGGACAGCTGGGCTCACAGCACAGCCTAAGATGCTGCACACGAATGTTGGGCCATGGCTGATCTGCAAGGAGGGATGGACCAGAGGACTGTACTTAGAGGCAGGAAGACAGGGCAATTGCAGCCACAGGGTAAGAAAGAAAGTGGTTGGTACTTTACGAATTCTAGGTCTTGGGATGCCATCTCCAGAGAGTCTGTTTCTGTAGAACTGGCTTTATTTGTTTATAATTAGCAATTACAATTACAGTTAGCAACTCTAACCAGAATCCACACTGGCTCTCAGCAGTGGTTCAGCTTGAAAACAGAGTGAGTGGCAAAAGTGGCTAGTTATCATACAGGGTGGGACTGTGGTTGCCAGCAGGCCGAGGCGAAAGGCCCAATTTCTCACCTTCCCTTGTGTTTCAGGGTAGCAACTGGATATAGTTCTGTCATTGGATTATAAATAAAAGAGAAAAAGGAAGCTGGGCGGTGATGGTGCACGCCTTTAATCCCAGCACTGGGGAGGCAGAGTGATCTCTGTGAGTTTGAGGCCAGCCTGGTCTACAGAGTTAGTTCCAGGACAGCCAAGGTTACACAAAGAAACTCTGTCTCATAATAGTAATACTGGTACTAATGATGATGATAATGATAACAGATAAAGGGGGTCTCCTGTCTTGATTAAATGGGCAAAGTCTTTATTATCTGTCTGTCTGTCTGTCTGTCTGTTTATGGTGTATGGGTGTTTTTACTTGCATATATGTATGTGTAGCACATGCATACAGTTCCTGTGGAGGCCCTGGGGCAGGGGTTATAGACAGTTTCCAGCTGTTCCAGCTGCCATAGGGGTGCCAGGAATCAAACCCAGGTGCTCTTAAGCACTAAGCCTTCTTTCCAGATGGTTCTTGGTCTCAGCCTGGAATGAGGGAAGAACTGATGGCTTCCTCAGCAGTATCTCAGCCCCAAGATATGCACATGTTCATGTGATGCATGGCTGTCCTGATGCCAGGGAATATGCCGAAGGTTTTCAAAGCCCCCTGAAAACACCATTCCACTAACTCGTCCCTTTGTTTGTCCCCAAGTGCAACTGCCACTTTAGGGGGCTGCAGCTGTTCAACAACTGTTACTGGTTATTCCAGACAAATGTCCTACAAGGAAAAACAAGTGTAAAATGGCCAAACTTTGATTCAGTTGAGACAGAAATAAGTCCTATGAATAGAGATTCCCATTGGACTTCCAGACTGGGGACTGGTGAGAGGGCTCATGGGTAAAGGGCCCGCGCACACACGCGCACATCTAGATCGGCACAGTAACGACAGCTCCTTTGCAGTGGAGCTTTTGAGGCAGTGCAGACCACTCTTCCTGCTCCAGGGGCCAAGAGGTTACCGGTCTGCGTGTTCACTGCAGAGCTCTCGACTTCTGAGACTGCTGCAGAGACTGGGGGATGGCGGAAGGTGGGAATAGGGCAAACCGAAATACTGTACACCTCACCGCTTTTACGGATTGCAGACATTCTGGTATAAACGCTTCTTGGACAGTCAATTTCCAGAGTTTTGAGAAAGTTGGTTTTGCCAGTGCTGTCCCTGCTGTCTGATGCCCTTATCTGATATCACCGTTCTTGAAATTTCATTTAATACCGTATCTTGGAGAGTATTGTGTATTTAACGTCTCTGCCTATCCAGCTCTACCACTTATTTTAATGTCGAAATAGTGTCATGGTGTGTGGGTGGCCATTTGCTTTCCGGTTGACACTGCCGAGGCGTCTGTTCCAGAGTTTGTCTCTGAAACAACAACCGGGTAGGAATTGCCGGAACTAGCCGGCTGGGCCAACACACCATAGATTCTTTCAGCGTTTGGAAACCATTAAATGGTCTCACCTTGATTTTGAGCTCCAGGCCCTTCAAGACACACTTCTGATATGGTTGGAAAGACAGGTTGGCAGGTTCTGACTGCCCCACATCCACGCTGCTGTCGGTAGGCGTGAAGTCCAAGTACTGCAACAGGCCTTTAGGCCCAGAGAGCTCTGCCTGGTAGCTGAAGTTGAACTTGCCAGTGTTGATGAAGTTGAATTCACACTGAACACATTCATTTAACTCTACCTAAGAGACAGAGGGAGGCAGAGCAGTGGTGAAGAAAGCATCACTCCCTTGTCAAGGGAGAAATGCTCTTTGGGAGATAAGGATAGAGAGGGATATTGATAAGCTGGGTGCTATTAGCTGAATGGCATTGGATATTCCAGAAAGACCCACCAAGTGTTATAGGGGTCCTCCTATATCTGGAGTATAAGTTGGTAATTTAATTCTTAGATCTTTCTTGGCTGTGAAAAACCTTTCCTGTTTGCTTAATGCAAGTGTTCATGCCCCTTCCTAGCATATTCATCCTCTAAAAAATAATAAAAACATTCACATCATAACTACATAATTCTGGGGATGGATTTATTTGTCTGATCTCTCTGGTATTTGAGACAGGAAGATTCAGCTCATACTCCCTGTGCCATGTTCCCTAGGTCAAGGCAGAGAGACAGTAAGGGTCTTGTTACCCCTTACCTCGTAGAAGTTGATGGTGTTGACCTGGTTGGACATCAGGAGGAAGGTGGAGCCCGTCCGGTCCCTGCACTTGACCTCTGCATTCATAGTGTAGCCCTCGGCCTTAACATTGAGTGTCAGAGGGTGGGCTTTCCTCTTTACATTGCAGATCAGATTAAAGTTCACATCTCCTTCTTGCTTTGGTGTGAAGAAAATTTCAATTGGGAAACTGACAAGGAGACAAGACAGCGGATTAACTGACTAGTCCGACCTGCGAAAACCTCCTAAGACAAGCATCCACGGGATTAGTGGGTACGCTCTGAGCAAAGGACACCAAAAACACCGCTCCAAGTTAAGTGAATTTTAAAGATTTTCCAGGCAAAGCCAGGTACTGTTTTGTGGATTCATACACACAAGACAACGAGGAAAATGCTATGGACATGAGAAAAAAAAATACTGAGGTGGAGATTTAGAACGAGGGCTCAGCAGTTAAGAGCACTGGCTGCTTGCTATTCTGGAGGATCAGGGTTCAATTCCCCAGCACCCATATGGCAGCTCACAATTGCCTGTACCTCCAGTCCTAAGGAATCTGATGCCCTCGTCTGACCTCATTAGCATTTCACACATACGGTGCACAAACATATGGGCAAAGCACCCATACACACATTAAAAAAAGTTAGGATGCCCCATAATTAATCAAGAAGGAAAAACACCAGGGAGTCAGACAGGATAGTTGAGAGAGGTTTTACTTTTATTTCTTTAGTTTTTTTTTGTTGTTGTTGTGTGTGCATGCATGTATATACATCAACAGTATGTGTGTGTGGAAGTCAGAGGACAACACGTGGGAGTCAGCTCTCTCCTTCCACCATGTGGGTTCTGGGGATTGAACTCAGGCCATCAGGTTTGGTGGCAAGTGTCTTTACTACTGAGTCATCTTGATGGCCCAGAAGAGATTTTGATAGATGACAGGCCTGGGACCCTGCCATGCATCCCGAGGACTTCATTTTTTTCACTCACCTGGACAGCGGTGGGATCCAGCCTTCCATGGGACACACGGTCAGGCTGTTGTTGAATCCTTCGGAGAAACGGGAGTTATCCTGGAATGCAAAATTGAACCCATGCTCCTCCTTGTTGATAATCTTCACCGTCTCTCGGGCTTCTCTGCCTGGGGAGGAAACACCAGCCCTCAACAAAGGCCTCTGCCTAGTCAAGGAGATTGTAGTTGGTAACACCCCACACACAAGAGGAAGGCTTCACAGAGCAATCTTGGCATCCCCGACCTCCGCAGCCTCGAACTGCCTCACTTCCTTCCTTCTGCTTTTCCAGTGACCTTGCTCCTGCAGGGATTCCACATCTCCCTTTGGAATATCTCTTCCCTAACTGACTGTTCCTTCTAGAGGGTGGATTCTCTGACCTGGCTGCAGCTATGCTGGGACTCTGCTAATACCTTTCTCTTCCCTTGCTCCTTCAGTCAGGAGCTGTAATGTCTCCTTGGGTCTGTAATGGGAGTGCCCTCTCATTCTCTTTGAGGGCGCATCTCCATAAAGAATCTCTATGTTGAGTTCTTCTGAATTTGACCTTAGATGACCCTGGGCTTTCCTATGCAGGATTCTGACTCATTATTCTGTTTTTTCTTTGGCTAACATTAAAACATTTCTCCACAAAATTTTAGGATCATCTTTTTAAGTCCCTTCCTCAATCCTGAGGAGAATGAGGCTATCAGATTTCACAAATAACTTTTATTAGCATAAATGTGAACAAATATTACTTGGGACATATCTATACTAACATCAAGTCTATCTGACATTAAACTCTAACTGTGAATCCTGTGCACTCCTAGCTGGGATTCTAATTGAAATTTGATTAAATTTGCATTTAATTTTGGAAGAACTAACCGAATGTTTAGCTCTTATTTGGAAGCATTTTAATGTGACTTAACTCTTAACACAGAGGTCTCGAGAACTGGATTTATCTTTGGATATTGTATATTTAGTTAACAGTAAATAGAGTTTTTATTTTTGTTTTTGCTTCTAGGTATTTACAGCAAAAAGGGATGAAACTGTTGATTTTTGCACATTGGTCTCTCCCAGCTTACCAAATTATCTTGATTCTAATTGTCTCTCTCCTGACTCTTGAGACTTTCTGTGTACAAAGTGATCCTCCACAGCAACTTAGATCATTTTTCTTTCTCCCTTAAAGTTAGTGCCCATTATACTTATTTTTTGACTTTCATGATTGTTACAATTTCTAAGAAAATGTTCAGTTATAGAGGTGATAATAAGTACCCTTGCCCAACTCATTTTAATTCCAACAGCTTCAGTAGCCTTATTTACGACAGGACACTGTTGGCTGGTCTCTTGCTATAGCTTAATATTCTTTTTGTTTTTCTATAACCCCAGTTTTATTACTGGAGGGTTTTTGAGAGTGGGGATAGGGCAGAACTTCTGATGAATTTTAGCAAGGACTTTTTGGTACATTAACACGATCGTATGGTTCTTCATTACTGACATAATGATTATACTGAAATCAACATCATTGCATTCCTGGGTTACACTCTTTATATTGTCTGACTTACTATCATGAATAATGTTGTCAAAATAAACATTAACTGATCACTTAAAAATTCTCTGGCCATAGCCGTATTTTACGTACCCACTCATATCCATATGAGAGACGCAGAGTTCTAAGGCATCTGATGGTAGCTTCCTTTACATCACAGGTCTCTGCTTGAATGTTACCTCCTTAGCACCTACAACATTCCAATTCTTTCTATCCTCCTGAAATCTTTCTTTCTTTTTTTTTTAAATATTTATTTATTATGTATACAATATTCTGTCTGTGTGTAGGCCTGAAGGCCACAAGAGGGCACCAGACTCCATTACAGATGGTTGTGAGCCACCATATGGTTGCTGGGAATTGAACTCAGGACCTTTGGAAGAGCAGGCAATGTTCTTAACCTCTGAGCCATCTCTCCAGCCCCTGAAATCTTTCTTATAACATGTATCAATCTCTGCCTTACTATGTGTTTTACTTGGTTTTGTTAGTCTCTTTCCCATGATTAGAATGTAAACCTGAGGACTTTGTGATTTATTTTAGAGTATTCCCATCCCATGGAGGAATATTTGGGCCAATCTGGTATCTCCCTACCCTCTGTGTTGGAGGGTGAACCAGGGCTTTAAGTGTGTTTGCCAAGAACTCCACCACTGAAGCCACAGTCCCCACCAGCCCATCAATAACAATTTCTGAACCCAATGAAAAGAAGTTAGAGGAATCTGAACACTGTAGAACAGATCAAGCACCAACCAAACACAGCCCACAGCCTGGAGGTGGAGAGACATGTACAAGACCCAGGGTTCTGATGATGAAGAGTCCGTGCAGGTCCTACAGGAACCTGCCCAGGAGACTCTGTGACTCTATAACAAACCTTCCAGGTATTCTCAGGGTGTTAGGGTGTGGCTGCCAAAGACAGCTGATGGAGTTGAGATTGAGAGAAAACTACCATATGGCTCTCTGATAAGTGACAGAGGCTTTCTGACATATCTCTTCTGGAAGGCTCCGAGAGGCCTGCTCCCGGAATCCTTGATGACCTAAGGTCATGCCAGCTCAAAAATGAAAAACTGACTGGACCACCTTACCAATGAGGAGAGAGCTGAAGTTGAGATGTGACTGGTCAAGAGAGATGAGGGGGTCTGTAGTTTTGCCCACCAGCAGGAAGGGGACTGAGATATTGTGTTCTGGGATACAGAAAGTCCAGAATGCTTCTGTGATATCCAGGTGAGCAGGCAGGAACTGGAACACAATCTAAGAAGACAATTTAAAAAGGACAGTGAGAGGCACTTCTTCCTTGTCCTGGAGACCTACTAGTGTGAGGCGACATTTTCCCAGGTTGTTATTAGCTTCTAAAGTAGGTATGGCTATACGAGCAATGGCAACCAGTTTGCCCCACCTTTTGAGAACAGTCATCTATCCCATCCACAGACTGTGCTGATGATACTGTTGTACTCCGTGCCATTCTTTGGATGGCATGGTTGTAGCACAGTGGACCGAACTGGCACCAGTACCAAAGAAAGACAACCCACATATCTGTCAACAATCTGGCATATAGCCCAATTCAAAATCATCACCAGGGCAACAAGATCTCTCTCTCCTCTGCCTGCCTGCCTGTCTCTGAAGTTCAGAAGACAATGAGTGACTGGGCTGGATGGCAGTGGCACTGATGGGGACGGATACCATGAGGGTGAGCTGGGTCATGGCATGCCACAATCTGTCTGTTAAGTGAAGACACAAAGGAGCAAAATCATAACAAATAAAGATGGGAAGAAACCGACTGGAGCAGATTTCTAGAAAGAAACAGAAAGATCTGGAAGAAAAGTCTGTTCTTAAAAGTTACTGTAGGTACTTCCCCCGGGGGCTAACATGAATTTGTACTTGATCAACCAGGACTGAGCAGAAGAAGAAGAACATTTGCCGAGGTCCATGCCAATGACACGATGATGCAGGAAAGCTGTTCTGGAAATGTGCCACACCAGGGACACTACTGTCACCCCAAATCAGCACAGTCTTGGATTACAGATTCTGCAACTTACCTCTCCAGGAACTGGGCAGGGTCTTTGACACATTTCTGGGCTGTGGAGGAGTACATCCAAGAAGGACCACAGCTATGGCAAACCTAACTCCTGGATCCTATGCTGAACTAGTTGGCTTTGGGAGCTGTCAATATGTAGAGGCCAAGTGGAGACTCTACAAATATGTTTCATTTTGTTTGGGAAGGGTTAAAAATAATGAGCTTACTACCAATACATAGGATGGAGAGAAATACAAAAATTTGGTGTTTTCAGAAAAATGTAGAAGAGGCCAGCCTGGGGCTATTTGTCTGTGTGGTGATCATCTGCCAGAGGAGAGGAAGAGCCAGTGGGTCCTGGTATCATCACTGCCTATCATCCCCCCTCCCACTTGCTTTGTTCATTTGGGTGATCTTATGGAGGAATTAAATATTTTTTAAAAAAGATTTTATTTTTTAATTATGTGTATGCATGTGTCTATGTGTAGGTATGTGCATATGATTATAGGTCTCCAGAGGCCAGAAATGACAGATTCCTTTGGAGCTGGAGTTATAGGCCTGCTATAGGTGCTGGGAACTGAACTTGGGTCCTTTGTAAAAGCAGAAAGCACTCCTAACTGTTGCCTCTCCAGCACCAACACCAGCATTTTAATTTATTCTTACTTATGTATCTGTGTGTGTGCATGTGTGTGTGTGTGCGTGTGCCAATGTTGAAGGTCAGAGGATGGCTTGTGGGAGTTGGCTTTCTCTATCCATCATGCGGGTCTCAAGTTTGGCAGCAATCACTCCTACTTGCTGAACAATCTTGCCAACTACCAGAAGGTATTTGAATTCATAATTTCCATTTCATGGACTTATTGCTACATATAAGATCCTCTATAGAACTTACTGGCCATGGAGCCTACATGTGTGCTTTGACTGTCAAGTTCATACATAAATCTGACCCTCTGCCCTATATTATTGTGAAGACATTTAGGATCAAGTCACAAGTTGGAACTCTGTTCTTACTTTTTGCCTTTCTCACTGGGAAAGTAAAGACATGTCCCTTTGCTGCTGTCAATCTTTTAGATATAGATAGTTCTTAACATCCTCATACCACAAGCCCAGGAATCTCCAGATATTTATGTCTGGTTCCCCTTTGCTCCTTTAATATTCTCATAAAATCCTGGCAGATACTAGGGCTTTCTCCACAGTCATCCAAGAAAGCACAGATCTATCTTCTTACTGGGGTTGTACTTGATAGCCACTCAGTAAATACTTGTTGATCAATGATTCTTATCAATGTTATTCTCTCTTCACACACTTGCTATGCAGAGATGGCTAGAATTTCGGGGTTCCCAGCCACACACACCTCTGCTTTCTTTTCAGGATGAATGATACCCTTTTCTGTAAGGCACACAAAGGCTGGAGGGTGCTGCAGGCTTTCTGCTTCTTCAGAGGTCCAGCAGAAAGAGTAGGTGCTATCGGTCGGGTTCAGGATGGTAAAGGTCCTGGCCAAGGGGTAAAATTGACAGCAGAAAGTGAGGGAAGGCATTAGAAAAAATTCAAGAAAGTGTAGGTAGACCCCAGAATTGTTACAGTCTCCTCCTAGAAACCAGAAATGGTCTGAGAACTTCATTACTGTAGAAATAAAAATGCCACCTCCCCCTAGGATCTAAAGGATAATGGGAGTCCTTGGCTTTCGAATGATAATGCTCCTAAGGCCATATGTGTCAAGGGATGCTCTGTGGTCAAGGTTGGGGGGTGAGGGAATACACTTTTATACATATATACAAATATATATATATTTCATTTCACACACATGTATATGTATATATGTCCTAGAAATGCTAAAGCATGCATGGACAGCCTGTATATGGTGGTTCTGTTGAACTTGTTCGTATACTGGATTTCATTGTTTAAGTTGATGAGGACAACTGACCAGGTCTCTTCCTCAAGGGGGCACCAGATCTCATTACAGAGGACTGTGAGCCACCATGTGGTTGTTGGAAATTGAACTCAGGAAGAGCAGGCAGAGCTCTTAACTGCTAAGCCATCTCTTACAGGATGGCTCAGCCATTAAAGGCTAGGCTTATAACCAATACACACACACACACACACACACACACACACGGATACACACACAAACATACCAAAACTCCCCCTCTGTCAAAATTATTGACACAGGATCCAGCTTCATTCATGCACCAGTTCTCCGATATTTTATCTCTAGAGCAAACCCGAGGACATCAAAGCCATGTCTAGGTATCAGTATAGCTGGCCTCTCTAAATTCTTTCTCTGAGTTCTTTAGAAGGGCAGATGGGTATGAATTCAGCCAATGCCAACCCACATGACTCACCGGAGATTCTTTCCTCCTATACCCACACTAGTGAACTCGATCACTCGGGTGTTTGGATCGAGAGGCCCAGAGCCTGGTCCTCGGAGCTCTGGGTTGCGCCGATGCCCACTGATATAGTCTGATTCCTTCAGGTCAAAATGGCAGAATGGCAGGACGCTTCGCCCTCTTGTGACCAGAACAGGGCCTTGCTCTCCTGATGGCAAGTTGGGAATTCTGAAATGACAAAGTTATTTTAATTTGATTTTATATCTGTTGTTGCTTTCTTAGTAGGTTGGAAATGGATATTCTGTCCAGCAGAATGTGAGTTCTGTATGAGCAGAAGGTGGCGTTTCTTGACTGGCAATCATATGTGACTTGACTGGCAACTCTACATAGTACATATTCACTAAACGTTAAATGGATGAGTGGCTTGCGTATGAGGATCCCGAGTATGGGCCCCTCTGTGCACTTACATGTGGCTCCAAGCTTTTTCCTTCTATCAGTGTTAGATGCTAAAAGGAGTGCTTACACTCTGGGTCCACTCCTGGGCACCTAATAGATTACAGAGAAGGACCTGGAAATCCTAAAATGAAATTATCCTAAGACCCTTGTAGACTGGGATGCACAGATTCAGCCTCAAGGCTGAGCAGAGGCGACCCTAGTGTGGCACAGGTCTCTGCAGTGGGAGACGGGACTCACAAACTCTGACAGCACATGTAGGCCTCTGTCATCCTAGGACAAGGCTTACAGAAGAATTCCCACATCTGGGACTTGCACTGATGTCTTTGCTTATTTTTCTCTCACTGGACACCAAACCAGACCAGTTCCCCCAACCCATATTCCCCTCCTATGTTTGTTTATTGTGCTACTGTGGGCCAGGCATTGCTCCAAGTTCTCTGCTTAAATTAGCTCATTTAGTATTCCAAATAATTCTGCATTATAAGGATTGCTGCTTTCACTTTGTATACGAGATAGAGGAGTCTCAGAGAATGGAGAAGGAAGCTTTCTTTAAGGGTAGAAGGTGCCTGGTTGCAAATTACTCTTATTCAGTGGAGCACTGAACGTGGCCGGGAAGGGAGCAGTAGACAGGTGGAAGCGATGGGCGAGTTGATAAGCGGGGCTTAGATAACATTCTCCTTCTTCTCTAAAGGCTGGCCCTTTTAGACTCCCAGGCTCCAAGGTGACCAGGGTGGGAAGGAAGGACAGAGGTGGGAGGGAAGAAGAGGGTAAGAACTAGAGGCTTGGGGAACACATTTCCTTACTGGCAGTACAGGGTGCTCTCGAACTCCCCAGTGTCCATCGGGGAGAACTTCACTTTGATCTTCTGAGTCTTCCCAACAGGCACAAGGCCCGAGGAGGGTTCCACGGAGAAGGGTGACGGAGAGACTTCTGGCCAGTGGTCCAAGGCGCTGTCCAGGGTGCTGCCCGTGCCCTGACTAAGCTGATCTTTCTGACTGGAGCCTGAGGGAGGATGGAGAAAAAGTGACAGTCTGCAGTGGTCCTGGGAGGCAGCCACTCACAAGTGCTTAGGGACCCTCTTTGACATCTGGGGACCCATCTCTTATAGCAGATATACTTAACCCTGGACACAGTAGAAAGGAACCAACTCATTTCCCAGGTGACTTGTGAAAAACACATTAATTTTATGGTGTTTTCATATTTATTTTCTTTTGGTTCAGAGAGGGTAGGTCAAGAAAGGGTTTGTGGATCTTCTGCATCAGGGCGATGAGCTATGAACAGAATTTGTGGAGAACCATTGCTCTAACATAGGGGTTTACAAAGCGGGAGTCCATGGGTAAGGGCCCATTCGAACAGTCTGTGAGTCTCCACAACTGAAACAACGGACACCTTACTTACCTGCCAGGTGCAGGGCCCTTTGCTAGTGGCTTTGTGTGTAAAAGCTATACACTTTGGCCTAGGTATATATTCTTTCTGGAAAAATAACTCAAGAGTTTTCACTAGGTTTTCTTTCTTTCTTTTTCTTAAAGAAGATTTATGTGTGTATGTATGTGCACCACATGCGTTTCTGGTGCTGCAGGGAACAGAATGGGATGTCAGATTCCCTGGAACTGCAGTAACAGTTGTAAGTCACCTTGGGGATGCTGGGAACTGAGCCCGAGTCCACTGCAAGAAGCAGCCAGTGCTCTTAACTGCTGGGGTATTTCTCCAGCCCCAGGACAGTTTTTAAAGTGGTCTGAAATCTTCCAGGTTGAGAACAGGAAGATAAGATTCCTAGTGATAAGTGATATGAGCCATCAATCTGGAGGGAAGGAATCCGGGAGGGGAAGAGGCCCACATGGCTATGCAAACCCCACAAAGTCCATGCTCTGCCAACTCTTAACTACTTAGAAAGCCCTGTCAGCACAGCTGGCCTTCTATGAACAGGTGACTCGGGTCAAGCCCTGGGGTTTATCTGGCATTGAATTTACCTTGATTATCTGGCATGGCAAAGCTGACTGCCTTGCAGGTATCTTCCGAGGTCCAGTTGAATTCTAACAGCACATGTCCTGTGTTAATGAGGTCAAACCTGTGGGTGGATCAGGACCAGATTTCAGAATGTGCTGTCCATATTTTTGCCCTGCCTGACTACCGGCTGCACTGTTTTTCAAAGGCAAGTCACTTCATTTCTTAAGGTTTTTTAAAAATGTCTGAATTATATTCTTTTGTGCACATACACGAGTATGTCACATTTTCTTTATTCATTTGACAGTGGACACCCAGGATGAAGCTCTGGGGGCTATGAAGAGTCCACACGGGAGGGAGAGCAAACATCTCCTTGACACGTGGATTTCCTTCCTTCGGACATAGCCCGGAAGTGAGCTAGCTGGGTCATGTGGTAGGTCTAGTTTCAGTTTCATTTTGGGAAACCTCTTTACTGTCTTCTATAAGTCTGTCCTTTTCAGCAAGATGGACGGAGCAGGAAGACATCATGCTGAACAAAACAGACAGAGAAAGACATGTATCATGTTTTCTCTCTCAAGGGAAGTTAATACATTTAATCTCAAAGTAGAAGAGCATAGCACAGTGAGGACTGGGAGCTGGGGCGGGTCAAAGGGAAGGCATGGGCAGAGAGAGGCCGGATCAAAGGTATCAAAATGCAGTGCAGCGGGAGCAAGTGAGTCAGTGTGCTACAGTCTACAAAAGCCTCCCATAGGGCTGGAGAGACAGCTCAGAGGTTAAGAGCATTGCCTGCTCTTCCAAAGATCCTGAGTTCAATTCCCAGCAACCACATGGTGGCTCACAACCATCTGTAGTGAGGTCTGGTGCTCTCTTCTGGCCTGCAGACATACACAGAGACAGAACATTGTATACATAATAAATAAATAAATAAATAAATAAATAAATAAATATAAAAAAGCCTCCCATTTACTTTATAAGGAACTAGGGGAGAGGAGTCTGAAGGTTCTGTCTCCAGATAAATGTTAAGGAATGGAAATTCTAATTATTTTGATCCAGTCATCACATACTGTATGCTTGTATTGAAATAGCACACTCTACCCTGTAAATATGCAACATTATTACATGTCAGCCAAGAAGCAAATATAAAATAAAATGATTAAAAACAAATACAGCTAGGTATTGTGCACACCTTTAATCCCAGTACTTGAGAGACAGAGGCAGGCTAGTCTCCGTGAGTTTGAGGCCAGCCTGGTCTACATAGTGAGTTCCAGGCTAGGCAGAAACACTTAGTGAGACTCTGTTTCAAAAAACACATTTTGAGACAGAGTCTTGCTTCTTATAGATGATTATAGATTGGAGCTCAAAATTTTCTGGTCTCAGCCGCCTGCAAAGTGTATTACCATGCCTGGCTGAAAATCTTTTTAAAAGTAATTTTAAAAAGCAATTTCATCAGAATTCACTCAGTTAATGTACTTTTTAAAAAAAAAAAACAGATTTATTTATTTATTTATTTATTATGTAGACAACATTCTGCCTCCATGTATGCCTGCAAGCCAGAAGAGGGCACTGGATCTCATTACAGATGGCTATGAGCCACTATGTGGTTGCTGGGAATTAAACTCAGGACCTCTGGAAGAGCAGGCAGTGCTTTTAACCTCTGAGTCATCTCTCCAGTCCAAAGCACTTCCTTTGTAAAAGATGCAAAATATTTATGTAAAGAACAAAGAATTTTACAACGCCACTGTTTAGCCCTTAATGACAGTTTTCCTGGCCATCTTAAGCTTCTGGAGACTTACTCAAACACTCGGGTCTGGTAGACCAGTGTTTCCTTAAAGAACACGTCATTCGTATGGCACTGATAGGACGCAAAGTCCACGCTGGCACTGATCTGGATCCGCAGCTCTCGGTAGTTTTCTTCTACTACTGAGTGCGCTGGCTCAGGGTCTGTCTCTATCACCTGAAACAAAGGCAGCCACATCCTCAGCAGCACAAAGCCAGCAGCCCACTGGACCTCGGGGATGGCACACTACTTTAATCTCCCATGGAAACGAGCATGAACCCACAAATACAGCGTAGGGAGACACGACTGGCAAACCTTCAATAGGTCGGGATGAAAAAGAACAACCAAACAACAGGTAATTACTGAGAGGACTGGAACCATGTGGGCATGGGTTTTGGATCAGATGGCCTCTAAAGAGGACAGAGGAACTGGGCATGGTGATGCACACCTTTAATCTCAGCACTCAGGAGGCAGAGGCAGGTGGATCTCCGTGAGTTTGAGTCCCGCCTGGTCTACACAGTGATTTACAGGATAGTCAGGGCTATGTAGAGAGACCTTGTCTCAGAAACAAAAACAAGGACAAAAACAAAGGATAGAGAAAAGAGAACCATAGCTAAAAGAACAGATATTAATTAAATAGAAAACAAATTGCAAAAGGAAAGGACCAACAGAATTGTTTAGTTGTGCAGAGATTTGAAAACTTTTGGTGAGATGGATCAAGGAAAGTGCAAACAACAGGAACCATTAGTTAAAGGGGTGCATCACCAGCAACCCCACAGATCTAAAATATGTAGATGATTTTTTTAGATTTATTTATTTATTTCTTATGTATACAACATTCTGCCTCCATGTATGCCTGCATGCCAGAAGAGGGCACCAGATCTCATTACAGATGGCTGTGAGCCACCATGTGGTTGCTGGAAATTGAACTCAGGACCTCTGGAAGAGCAGCCTGTGCTCTTAACCACTGAGCCATCTTTCCAGCCCCCTGTAGATGATTTTTTTTGAAAATATACATAAAATATGGAGGAAAAAGAAAAATAATTTAATAAAATTCATGCAAGAACAAATTTAAAAGCATTAAATAACTGCATAGTAAAAAAATCTTAAAGTAAAGGAAGTTGAACAAGAACGTTAAAGAAAACAATGGAAAAACTCTATTGCTACTAGATGACTGGATAGTTGCAAGTCTTAGAGAAGACCTAGAAAAGAGAAGCACCTTGTTAACAGGAAAGACAAGTTAATAATCTAAAATTGTCATTTGTTCCCCCAGTGACTGAGAGCTGCAATCCAATTCCACATTTCTGTTACAGATTTTAATAATACGTGGCAAATGGATCCAGAAATTATACATGAGAATAAAAGCATTAAGAATGACCAAAACATTTAGAACAAAACAAACGGGGTAGGAACTTCCCTCCAAACATCAAGGCTGATTATGGAACTATAGAAATTAAGCTAATGTCAAAGTGTCTCTGGGATGGACAAACTGACAACAGAATGGAATAGAGAACAGAAATGATCCAGGCACATATAAAAGTGGGCTATGACACAGAGTCCCAGCAGATCACGAGGGAGTAGAAGGGCTGACCAAACTTGGCAAGGCAGTTATCTCAGTGGAACACAAGAAACTAGAGCCTTGTTGCACATCAGACAGAATTCCCACATGCATGAAAGGCTTAAGTACCAAAAGAAAAGCTCAGATTTAAAAATACGTAGAGTGGTGAATATATTATGGGGTGGGGGAGAGAATGGATTTAAAAATAAGACACAAAAGTAATAAAAGTAACCAAAAAAATAAACCATGATAACTTGACCTCATAAAAATTAAGGATATTTTCCATGCTGAAGAGATGGCTCACTGGCTAAGAGCACTGGCTGCTCTTCTGGAGGACCCAGGTTCAATTTCCAACACCCACATGACAGCTCACCACCTGTAACTCCAGCTCTAGTTGATATGATAGCCTCCTCTGGTTTCTGTGTGCACTGTAGGCACATGGTGCACATACATATAAGCTGGCAAAACATATATCCATAATCTAAAAATAAAAACTCTTTAAAAACTTAAGAATAGGTTTTGCTTATCAAAACGTAAAGGGACTGGAGAGATAACCTAGTGGTTAAGAGCGAATGTTGCTCTTGCAGAGGATCTCAGTTTTGTTCCCAGTACCCATGTTGGATGGCTCACAATTACCTGTAACCATAGCTCCAGGGGATCTGATGCCCTCTTCAGACCACTGAGGGCACTTGCACTCATATGGACATACCCTGACCCACACATGCATATTCAGAATGAAAATGAAGAAAGATCTTAAAAATCATATGATGTGGGATTCCCCTCTGTATGCTGTGAATATGTTTTATTACCACAGGTTAATAAAGAAGCTGTTTTGGGTCTATGGCAGTGCAGAATATAGTCAGGCTGGAAGAGATATATAGAGAGAGTAGGTTAAGTCAGGGACTCGCCATGTAGCCACCAAAGGAGACAGACGCTGGAACTTTATCGGTAGGACACAACCTCAAGGTAAAATATAAAATAATAGAAATGAATTAATTTAAGATGTAAGAGATATCTAGAAATACGCATAAGCTAATAGACCAAGCAGTGTTTTAACTAATACAGTTTCTGTGTGACTATTTTGGGTCTGGATGTCTGGGAATGAACAAGCAACCATTCACCTACAAACAAAGAAAAAAGTCAAGCTATAAATTTGTTGATAATATGTATGGACACATAACACAAATGGAATTTCTTGAAAATAAAAAGAACTTAAACAAAGGATAAGCACTGTAACCAAAAAAAAAAATGGGCAAAAGGCACAAAAGGCATTCATGTAAAAGGTACCCTGCATGGTCAATACTCAAATGAAGAGCTATCCAACCTCATTAAGTAGTTAGGAAAGTATAATCAAGCTCATAATCAGAAAATTTCCAAGTTATACAAATGATAAAAGCCAAAATGCCTTGCCTATGATTCACAAGACTGTGGGCTTATCTCCAATATCCCATAAACTAACAAACCAACCAACCAGTCAACAAAGCACCAATAACCAATCAACTGATCATCTAATAGACCAACATCCAACCAACCAACCAACCAAGCAACAACCAACCAACTAACAACCAAACCAATCAACCAACTTCCCAAAAGTCTAACAAAGTCCAATGCTGGAAAGGAGGTGGCTCACAAAACTCCTTTTCTGTAAGAGTGAAAACTGGTATAGTGAGTTTGGAAAGGCTGAGCACTCACATATCCCCTGACTTAGTGACGCCACTTGTAGGAATGTAAACATAGATGCCAACATGCACAGAAATACTGCCCGTAAGAGAAAAATTTGAAATTTCAACTTTCAGGGAAAAAGATAAAAAGACTGGAATGTATACAGTACTGAAGTGGATTCACAATAGCCACATGTAACCATGATCACATACAATAACTGATGTGGAATTCCCCTTTGTATGCTGTAAAGATATTTTATTACCATTGGCTAATAAAGAATCTTCTTTGGGCCTATGACAGAGCAGAATAGAGCCAGGTGGGAAATCTGAACAGAGATGTAGAGAGAGAAACAGATGCCCCGAACCTTACTGGTAAACCATGAGCCTTGTGGTAAAATATAAAACAGGAATGGGTTAATTTAAGATGTAAGAGTTAATTAATAAGAAGACCGAGCTAGTGGCTGAGCTGTGTTGCAATTATAGAATGCTCAGGTCAACAAGCCATCCATCGAGGGAGTGACGTGGATAGGGATTACCTCTAGGAGGGAGACAAAGTGATGGAATGACCAGAATCACACAGGTATTCAGGGCCTAGTTCCCTTGATGGGTATGGGTTAGTTTACCATAGAATTCAAAAGAAAATGGCAAAGAATAAATGCAAGGGGCATGTGTGGGCCAAAGATGAGTTCTAACTACTCTAAGTCCAGACACCTGATGGAAACAGGAAAGGATGACTAGCGACGGCTTTTCTGAAGAAAAAGGAGAAAGAATTTGCTGAAGCCATTATCAAGACTGCAGCTGGTCTGTCAACTAAGACTATGTGTGTTGTTCGTGAGGGCGATGGGTATGGAAACTTAGTTTGCTGCTTTTGGAACTAAAGTCAGATGCAAACCTTTTTCTTTTCCACAACGAGACACTCAAATTGAGAGCAGCAGGCACCCAAGCATGGTGGACTGGGCTCGGTCTGTATTTCATGTGCTCTGGATACTCACTTTTCGTTTTGTGGTCAAGTTCCCTGGTGTGTTTCGGGGCGCATCCACCCACTTGACTGTGCGCATGCGGTCATCCCAGTCAGGGACCTGGTCTGCAGGGAGCTGAAACACGATCTTGGAAAGCGTGCACTTGACAGTCATCTTCTTCAGGCTGATGGGCACATCTGACTTCAGGGTCACCACCACGTCCTTGGAGCAGCCAGGGTGGAGATGGCCTACCTAGGGAAAAGTCTGGTATTTATATTTTGGGGAATTCAATCCTAAGGTTCTTTGGTGCCTGATGGTGACTCGAAATACATGATCTAGGCCTATATAGGAGATCGACTTAAACACATACAAGAGATTCTTTAAAACGTCATCACAAAGTGAGGCACAGTGGCTCGTGCTATGAATCCTGGCACTTGGGAGGGTGAGTTACGTTTGCCATGAGTCCGAGGCCAGCTTAGACTACAGAATATGTTTCAGGCAAGTCTGGGCTACAGAATAGACCATCTCTCAAAACAAACAGGCACACACATCATTAGAAGAGCAATATTAATAGTTACCAATCTCTTACTTGCCTCAAGTACTATTCTAAACTCCTGAGCAGTTTTTCCAATCCCCAGGACACCCTCTGAGAGCTCCAGAGCTACCACTCCCACTTCACAGATGACAAAACCTGAAAACTGCTTAAGGTCTTTGACACTAGCGATCTGGGTTTGAACTCAAGCCCTAGGACTCCAAATGCCGCCCTCAGCCACCTGATACTCATTATGATTCATACAAATAGCTGGTTCAATACAGTAAACTAGTTTCTAGAAAGTGATCTAACGAGCCCTGTGTCCCCAAAATCTCTCCAGGGTACTGTAGAACACAACTTTCATTATAATGCTGAGATGCTGCTGGATTCTTTGCCCCTCCTTTGCTCATGAGTGCAAACGAGTGCAGTGGAACTTACTAGAAGTTAAAGATGACGATGCATAGTCAGACTGAAGTGGAGAGAGCAGAGCCCATATGACTCTTACTAAGCCAGATATTAAAGACATTTATAAGTATGTAAAATGGCTGGGTGTGGTAGTGCCCGCTCATAACACAGATATCCAGGAGCCCAAGACAGGAGAGTAAGAAGCTCAAGGCTAGCCTGGGCAACATAGAAGAGCCTATCTTAACAAGAACGGTGGAAGGATTCTGCCCTTATCACACACATATTTGAAAATATAGCTATTTTTATAAAAATATGGTATTTGAATTAAAATATAGTTGATCTATTGCACTTTCAAACAAGTATGTTTAAAATATTCTTAATTTTGGGAACTAGAGAGATGGGTCAGTGGTTAAGAGCACTGGTTGTTTTTTCTAGAGGACCCAGGTTTGTTCTAAACATGCATATGATAGCTTACAACTGTCTGTAACTCTAGTTCCAGGAGATCTGATGTCCTTTTCTGGTCTCTGTGGGTACCAGGCACACACATGGTGCATAGACATAGATCCAGGCAAAATACTCATACAATACAAATAATAAAAAGAAAACATTCCTAGTTTTAATTTCTAATAGCTTAACTATCAATTATTATAATTCACATGGATAAAACTTCTTTGAGAGTTCTTAATAATGTTTAAGAGTATGAAGGAGCCCTGGCATGAAAACGCTTTAAGTTGCTCAAATATACTGGATGTGAAGGAGATCCCATTTGGTAGAATAAATAGATTTGTGATTTATCGTAGATAAAGACATACAAACCAACACCACCTACATGCATACCATACACATGACAGTCCTCTGACAGGGAAGACATTCTCTCTCCTGCCTCCGGACCGCAAAGACTGATTAAGCTTTGGATTGCTTAAGCTATATGCTTGGGTGCTCTGTGCACATACAGGAGTGCACAGTGTAAGGGAGCTGCTGGAGGCCTAGCTCTGTCCTTGGCAACTTAGATTATTACATCCATTATGCGCTCTCTGCATCCTCATAGGCCAAATGTGGATAAGAAAGACTGCATGAATTTGGCAAGGCCTTGGTACTGGATAAGGGATACAGTGTGTGATTAGTTTTCTGTAGGGGTGGATTTGGGCTGAGATTGTGTTGGAATCTATCAGGAGCCTAGGCTGGCTTGGAACTCACTATGTAGCTCAGATTGGTCTTGAACTTGGAGTATTTCTGCCTGAGCTTCCTATGTGTTAGGATTTGCAGATATGAGGCAGCATTCTTGTCTTGCTGAGGCCACTTCTGAAGGCCATACTCAGAGGGACACAGGGCTACACTCTGGAATAGGAAACTAGGGCCGGTAGTCATTTATCCAGGCCTCCAGAGATTTCCTTAAGTTCTTCCCCACAGCGGGATTTGTTAATCTCCTCTTAGACCATGGGGCCCTGAGCAGTGTCCTCAAGCACTGGGTCTGAGTGCAGTTTCTTAGTTCAAGATGCATGTGTCCCATTCCATGTACCCACAGGGATGGGGTGACCATCAGACGGGGGTTGGCTTAGGCCAGAGGGAGTCTGGAACCCAGTGAGTGACTTCTGCTTACCTGTGGGAAGAAAGACAGCGTAGCTAAAAGGGGCCACTCGAAGCGAACCACATTCCCTTGGCTGTGGTTGGTGATGGTGAAGCTCACGTTGTAGCTGCTCCCAATGTGGCAGTACCCGAACTGGATGTGATCCAACAGGGCAGCTAGGGGGCAGAGCAGAAGGCTGGTGAGTCCTCCCTGTCGCCTTGAAGAACTTGCTTTGTAAGGGAGGCCTATCTGGATAGAGACTCAGTCACAGTTACCCTTTCCTCTTTGGATGGTTATACATGAAAACCTTTGGATCCCTGGGTAGAAAGACCTGCCTCCCAGGGATTGATCAATTTAACCATCCATCCATCCATCCATCCATCCATCCATCCATCCATCCATCCATCCGTTCTACCTATCCACCTACCTTGGCTCTTCTATTTGTTTAAGAGAAAATAAAGATCCTAATGTCATTTGTTTGGTGGGAAAATACAATGAAATATTAGATTGTTAGATAAAATATAGGATTCTCAATTAAATTTGAATTAGAGATAAACAATGAGTAATTCTTTATGATAAACATGTCCTATGCAATACTTTAGGGACATATATATATATATATATATATATATACTAAAAGCTATTGATTGTTTATCTGGAACTTAGTTTTCTCTGGAATACCTCTATTGCTAAGCCTGAGAATCCCATAAAGGTATGGAATCTGATTTCTAGACCTGGATTACTGCCAGCTTCTGTTTGACCCTGACTAGAGCAATGCCACTGCACAGCCTCAAACAGGAGGTTAACACCAGTTCCAGAAAGAGTGCTGATTTCACCCCCAGGATGTACATTCCAGGACTATGATAAGCTCCTGTGGGCTGCTTGATGAGCAGGCCAGCAGCCGACAATGTCACGTCTCCCAGGATCTTAACAGACCTGCCCTGCCCTTCAGGGTCATCATCCACTTTTGAATCTGATTCCTGGGTGATCACGTGCGTGTTAAAGCTTAAGACATGTGGTCTCTAAAGCACTGAACCTTCCACTTAGGGACGGACTCTGCACGGGGTTCAAATCACAATCATTACCAAAAAGCATTTGACAGAATGGCTGACTCCTTTAAAGTGAATTGTAAACTCAGCTTCAGAATTCCCACCCCAAGACCTCACTTCTGCGTCTCCCACCTGCCACCAAGTCCTCCATGGCACTTTCCTCAGCGATCTCTATGACCTCAGACATATCCGGGCCCTCCAGGATAGCGGACCCCGTCAGCCCATGGATGTTGTCCAAGGTGATGTCATCCTCGTAGCTTTCTCCCACCAGGTGAATCATGGTCTCCTCATACTGGTTGTTGATCACCGACAGGTGGATGGTGCCTGTCATTCTCCCAATCTTCTTGGAGTGGAAAAAGACATCGAATTCAGCCGTGTCTCCAGGAGAAACAACCAGGGAGGCTGTGTGGGCTTTTTTAACTGTAAACAGAAGACAGAAGTTACCATTCGGAAGCAGTTTAGGATGCATCTCCAGGAAGACTTTGGCTAGAAGGAAAGCATCCCCTTTTAGGGCACTGGGCTACTGGTGATGTGACCGAGCACCAGCTGTGACCTGGTCCTGAGAGGCCCTGGCAAACCAGCTTCTGAGAGCCATCACCCTTCTGAGGCACCCACTACTTGCCTTTTTCATTCGGTATGTTTTCCTCTATGATGTAGATGTAGGAGGTGGTGGGTCTTCCTTTGAGAGAGAAGACTCCTAGTTGGTCTCGCAGGTCCACATGGAGCTGGCAGGAGGAAAGCCGGGTTGAGTGGTTGGGCTTACAGGCTGCTCGTGAATTCTGAGTCTGGGTTGTGATACTGTGCTGTATTTTGGGGCAAGAACCTCCGAAGTCATTGTATGTAGTATTCACTTTTTATTTTCTCTTTCATTGCATGCATATGTGTGAATGACATGTGTGTGTAGGTGCACATGTGTGTGTGGATGTGCATGTGTATGGAGGCCTGAAGTTGACAGTGTGACTTCCTCAATTGTTTTCCTCTTTGTATATAAGCAGGGTTTCTTGCTGAACCCAGAGCTCACTGAGTCAGGCGAGTCTAGCTAGTCAGTCTGTCCCGGGGATCTTCAGGCTCTGCCTCTTGAGTGTTGGGATTACAGGTGACTGCCACTCCTTGTCCTGTTTTGATGTGGGTTCTGGGGATCTGTAGCCTGTTCTTTATATGTGTACATTAAAAGCTTTTCCTATTGAACCACATCCCTAGCTCCAGCATTCATGGTTTTGAGAGTCTTAAGAGATCTATGTAATAAACATTAGACCTGGATAGGAAAAGTGGGTATTCAGTCAGGGTCATCCTTTAGCATCTGAGTAGGAACTGGAGGCCCAGAGGTCATAGGTGACCTTCCATACTACACAGTGCCAAAGTGGATTGCCAATGTGTCTGTTACACAGACAGACGGCTGAAGATATCTTCCAAACTAATGAAATGGAAATGAATACCCATAATTCTATAAAGTATTATATAACTATGATTTCCTAGAAGCTAGAATCTCCTAGGTACTATGCATTTTCTAGCACCATGGTAAACATACTAGCAAGATCGTAGGAAAACTAAGGTGGACATCTGACCAACTTCAGGAAAACAAGTGGTTTCTGGTCCATTGGAAAGCAGGCAGGGCTGAAGCCAGGCATTGATTTTAGGTGTAAGAAATCTGACTTTTATTTTTTTTTAGAAGGCAGCCATACTGACTATAAAAATTAAAGTGGCCTAAAGGAGGAAGAAACAGAGCCACTGCACTGCAACAAGAGATTATATATTTATAAATAAACCTAATAAGAAACAAAATGGGGGGCACTGAGAAGGCTCAGTGGATAAAAAACGCTTGCTGTTGAGTCTGACAACCAGAATCAGATCCCAGGGCCCGCAGAGTGGAAGGAGAGGCCTGACGCCTGCGGTTATCCTCTGGCTCCCCATTCTCATGTGTGCACAACATAATGAATGAATGTAGAAAGGAGAAACCACATGGAGGAACTTACATTTTAGAAATACGGAGATCAAGGTCTAACAAATGGACAGGAATCCTAAATGTTGCCCCGGTGGACAGTTAACTCTAAAACCAGGAATTCTCCCAGATAATCCAAAGATTTCCATCTTGATTCTCATGAAATAGAACTTTTTTGGATGTATTTTATTATATGTATGTGGATGTTTGGACTATATGTATGTCTGCACACCATATGTGTGCTTGGTGCCTGTGGCGTTCAGAAGAGGGTGCTGGGAACCAAATGTAGGTCCAGTGCTCTTAACCATTAAGTCATCTCTGCAGCTCCTCCCAAGGAGATTTTTTTAAAGGAACATTACAAAATGATTCTTAAGCTTATATATGAGCTGAATATACAAAAAAAATCTAAGAAAAATTAAAAGAAAACTTAGTGGGTGGCAGGACTTCAGTGAATAAGACTGTAGAATAGCATTTTTTTTTCAACCTGTGGGTCGTGGCCTCTTTGGAGGTCAAACAACCCTTTCACAGGGGTTGCTTAAGACCACCAGAAATATTCATTATGATTCATAACAGCTGCAAAATTACAGTTATGAAGTATCAATGGAAATAATGTTATGGAGCTGGAGAGATGGCTCAGTGGTTAAGAGCACTGGCTGCTCTTCCAAAGGTCCTGAGTTCAATTCCTGGCAACCACAGGGTGGCTGAGAACCATCTCCAGTGGAATCTGATGCCCTCTTCTGTCCTGTTTATGTATAGAAAGACAGCACACTCATTTATATTAGTACATAAATCTTAAAAAAAGAAAATTTGTGGTTGGGGTCACCACAACAAGAGGAACTGTATTAAAGGGTCGCAGCATCAGGACCGGTGAGAACCACTGCTGTAGAGCATTTATAAAGTCCCCGCCATGAGAATCATGTAGGGTGGGGCTGCCATATGGTTCTTTCCTGCCATGGGCCTGAAGCTTAAGAAGCTGCAAGAAAAGATAAAGCAACATGGTCTGGCTAACATGTCACCCCATGTGTCACCCTCAGCTGTTACCTGGGCAGGGATGGTGCCATTGTTCTTAAGGATGAGAGGCAGTTTCTCTGAATGGCCCAGCAGAAGCCTCTTAAACAGGAGCAAGGGGTTTCCATGTTGGTTATATAGAGTCGGTCGGATGACAGTCACTCGAGGGAGGGTCCCCTCGCCAACGATATCAAACACCAGACCTCGGCTCCTGGCCAGGTTGCTGCAGGGGAAGAGCAAGGCGGGCTGAGACCAACCTGGCAGCAACACTTTATTACAAAGCCACGGCAGAGGGGCTAGCTGGTACCTGGGCAAGCCATCCAGAGTAGCCTCGAAGATGCACTGGTAGGTCTGCATGGTCTGTGGTGTGAACAGCACTGTGACGAAGGCATGTGAGCGACTCCCAATACACATCTTGTTGGGTTCCACATCGAAGATGTCAGTGATGCGGGCGGCTGCCTGTGAAGCGGAGCAGCACCAGATGGCCTTAGCTGCTTTGCATGCTTTTTCAAAGGGATTCCCTTTACATCTCAAACTGGAGAGGAGGAGATGTCCAAGTCCACTATCATAAAACTTGTCCCTTTGGAAGTCAGGTTTCCCAGCTTTTTGTACTTTTCATGCAGAATGAGGATGAGCAAGTCTTCGGTGCTCTACAGTATCATTAGGGAACAAAGACTGGCTGTTGCCAGTGTCTCAAGGTGGTGATGAGGGATTACATGGTCTCCTAACTCTCTCAGGTGACAGTCTTCCAGAAATGCACACAGCTTTTGGCTGAGGACAACCTTGGGGACCTCCTCCACCCGCATCAGCCATGAACAGTGTGAGGTCTGGGGCATGAGAGCCACAGGCCCAAATGACACATTGTTCTGATAAAGCTAAGAAGTATTTGAAGCATACACTGAAAATTTGGGATAAAGCAACCTGTTGATTCAGTCCTTTCTTGTGCTATCTTTGAGTTTTTTTTCTACAGAGAGAGAGAGAGAGAGAGAGAGAGAGAGAGAGAGAGAGAGAGAATGGTTTTAAGCTTAGCAGACTCTGAAGTGGGGTTCATTATTTAATATGAATCCTAGCTATATAGTCCCACGGCATGGAATAGAGAAAGAACTGAGCTTTTCTGAGCCTTACTTAGTTCCCCTAGCTGTAAAATAGGAATAACAACCAAGTCTGAAAGAGATGTAGACCTGAAAGAAAGCAATAAATAGGCAATCAGCTAGCAGAACGCCTGCCACACAGGAGGGCCTCAGTTCACATTCTCTATTCCACCCGACACCTGTAGCCTGACACTCCAGACCTCCAAAGCTCCAAGTCTCCCTGACCAGAAGAATGGGAGATTGGAGGCTCACCTGCCTGAAGTTGGTGGCCATCTTTGGTTTCTCTTCCAGTGCTTGTACCTATCAGTTACACAGTGAGTTCAACTGGGCAGACACATGAGTTGCCCATTAGTATGTACCAATTTAGTACAAAGGTATGCACAGGACACACACATACATATATAGTCCCTGGCCTAAGGGAAGTGGTCTTGTGACCTCGCAGAACTTCTAACAGGACTTGAAAGCCTCATGGTTTCTATCTAGGTGCAGGCGCTCCAGAGCAGGGCCTTCCCAGGGTTCCTTTAGTGGCTTTATGCCAATCAAAGAGGGCCAGGCCACAGGGCACCTCCTACCTTGTTGGAGACGGGCTTGACTATGATGTTGATGTCGCAAGCGATCTTTCCCACATTGCTGATCTTGAAGCGAGCCTTGGCCTGATAACCCACCAGCACATTGCAGAAGATGAACTTGTTTTCATCCTCCACATACAACCCGCCACTCTGTATGGTCTGGAGGATGTGGTACAGGTTGGAGCTGGTGCAGATCTGGTGTTCCTCAAATATCAAGACGCTGTTGTCAGTCACAAAGGCTAGGGAATGGAGGAGGAACGTGAGACCGGCTGGCTGCCAGAATCCTGGCCTTCTGCTCCCTGGCATACTAATCTGGATTAAAAACTTTAAAATATTACATTTATTCCCCTCCCCCCCAACGAACGTGAGTGAACGTATCTCCTTTGTGAAGCTCATAGGACAACTATCAGGAGTCTATTCTTTTCTACTACGTGGATTCTGTGGATTGTGCTCAGGATATTCGGATTCTGACAAAGGAGAATCACAGGCTAGGGTTACAGCTTAATGACAGATTACTCGCCTAGCATACAGAAGGCCTTAGGTTCTATCCCTTGCATTTCAAATATACCACACACTGGGAGGTGACGGGACAAAGTCTGTTGGCCTCCTCATTTCTGATTGACACATCTCAATTAGCCTTTTTCTTCTATTGGCAAGCAATGGTGAGAACCAAGGTCTTGGATGGACTTTTAAGAGGGAGGAGAGAGTTGGTATACTTTGGTTTGAGGCTCTGGGGAGCTTAGAGCCAAAGCTTTCCCTGGGCTCTTGCATGTTCAGTTACTACGCATTGCTCTGTGAATGTGCTGTCCACAAGGAATTGCCTGAGGGTGGCACATCCCGTGCCAGCTCGTTTCTCAGAGCACCACTCATCTGGGAACCCAGTAACAGACCCCCAAAGGTTAAGCGTCTGGAGAAGCAGATCCTCTTCTATACATGCCAAGGCTCTAACAACAAATATGGCTGAAGACCCCGGAAGAGGGTCTAAGTTTTCATAGAAAACAGTTTAGCCTTGTCTGTGGGACATCTTTAGAGGGTCTTTCCTGGAGGAGGAGGAGGGGCTGGCAAGTGCCAGTCTTTTAGGAGTGTTTTCCAATCCGAGTTGCAGTACCTGGCAGGCATGCTTCAGCAAGGAGGGTGTAAGGAATGCCGGCAGGATTTTCTCTAGGGTCTCGGTCAGAGATATCAATGGCCAGAAACTCTTCACACCTCCCCACAGGGTCAGCCACACACTCCACGGTGATGATCTGCTGTCCTCCAGAAGGGATAGAGCCAAATCCTGGGTATACAGTGAACATGCCATGGGAGAAGCGGGCCTGCAGAACAAAGATGGGCAGGGCCGGGTGGAAGGAAGCAGAGTGAGTAACAGAGCCTGAGACTTCCCAAAGAGCCGAGATAATGAAACGGGAAACAGTGGGGCCTCTCTGCCTGCAGGGGCAGAGGCCCTGGGTCCTCGTGGTTTTTTCACGAGGCATGGGTTTTCAGGGCTTCCTTCTGAGCAGTCTCAAGGAAACAGATAATGTGTACATTATACAATACTTATCTAGATGGGGGAATCTCAAAGCCGTGTGGGTCAGGTGGGGTGCAGAATGGACCAGCAGTTGAGACAATGGGTTTGGAATAGGATACTGTGGGTTTGAATGAGAACGGCCCCCACGGGCCCATGTATTTGAAGGAATGCTTGGTCCCCAGTTGGTAGAACAGTTTTGGGGAAGGATTAGGAGGTGTGGCCTTATTGGAGGAGGTGTGCACTGGGGGTAGGCTTTATGATTTCAAAAGACCATGCCAGGGCTGGAGACATGGCTCAGCAGTTAAGAGCACTGACTGCTCTTCCCCAAGACCCTGGTTCAATTCCTAGTACCCATACGGCAGCTAACAACTGTCTGTAACTCTAAGATCTAACACCCTCACACAGACATATATGCGGGCAAAATACAAGGGCACATAAAATAAAAATAAATAAATTATTAAAAGAAAAGCCCATGCCAGGCCCAGTCTGATTCTTTGCCTCTGGCCTGTGGATTAGGATGTAAGCTCTCAGCTCCTGCTCCAGTGACCCATGCCTGCCTATCCGCCAATGTGTTTCCTGTCATGATCATCATGGACTAACCCTCTGAAACTGCAAGCAACCCTCTCAATTAAACGCTTTCTTTTATAAGATGCCTTGGTCATGGTGTCTCTTCATAGCAGTAGAACAGCAGCTCTAAGATGGACAATCTGGGATTTGAACGCAATTCCCAATATATATTGTTTGACGCTGGGAAAATGGCATCTCTGAGTCTCAGTTGATCTCTAAATGTGTTTGGCATGATGGATTGTTGGAGGGTTAAAGGAGAAAATACCCGTGAGCACACACTATAGCATATAGTACAGAATTAGTGCTAAGGAGAATGTCATTATGAGAGAAGCCCTCTCATGTCCCTGCAGACCCCAGCCCTTCACCTCCCGCTTGTGGTTCTCAAGATAACTGTAGCAAGTACTTGGAGTACAATGTCCCATGAGAGAGAAAGACTGTCTTAGCTAGCCTAGTCTCCGTCCTCGCATTTAGAGATGTTCTGTGGTACTTTAGCTCAGAGACCCAAGTGTCTTCAGGGGTCTGAAACCCAGAGCAGAATGAGTTTGGGACTGCAGTGTGAAGTGGCCATCCACATGCAAGACTCCACTGCCTGGGGCAGCTTCTTGGGTCCTAGAGGATAAGGCCCTGGATGTCAGCTGTTGCCTCTTTGCTGTGTGAGGGATGCTTGGTATGACCTGGGCTGTGAGTGTCCCATCTCGCTGAATCCATACTCTGGCAGCTGGAGTCCTGATAGATCTAGGAACTTCAGCAGGAGCTGGTGAAGGTGCTAGGATACCGCTGCCAGGTGTGACGCCAGCGCATGATGCTGGGAGGTGCTCGTAATCCTACCCTAGGCTGACCAATGCACAGTGCTCCCCACCTCAGGGAATGACCTCGGCGCAGTTTACCACAGACAGCTCCTGGTTCTCAGGCTTGTCCCCGCTCTGGTCCAGTTTCACAAAGCTGCCCGAGAGCAGGCAATCTGACTGCAATGTCTTGTCCAATGCCCCTGCTGCCCATCCTTGGAATCCATAGGATCTGGGCACTGGCGCGGGACAACTCTCAACCAAATTCCGCCACTCTTCCCCTTGGAGATAAACTTTTCTTACTCAACCCCACTTTCACCGCCTCCAAAACTCTTTGAATGTGTTCCATAGTACTACTGCAGTAGAGCATGCATCAGTCTGACAAAGCTCAGACTCCACTTCTGGGTTCTTCAGGATACTGTCCCTAAATTCTTACAGGATAGGCTGGCACCTTCAATGAGCACAAGCCATACAGGTACCTGGAGGATGAGCCCCAAGTGTGGTGAAGTGTGACTTCACGGCTCTGCACGGAAGTTTCTAGGAATTTAACCCAGTACCTATCTACTGCCATGTGCTAGGAGCTCTACTGAGCCCTAGAAAGTCCCAGGTAAGCTATTGGGATAGAGAAGGACTTCTTTCTAGATGTCTGTTTCCTCTAGACAAATGAATCTTTTTTATATAGTTTAAGTTTTTGAACCTACTTGTGCATAAAAGTTTTCTTTCTTTTTTATTTTTTCCCCAACTAATATTTTTATTAATTATTTGGGAATTGCATACAATGTATTCTGATCACATTTGCTTACTACCATTCCTCCAAGGTCAATCCTCTGACCCTTGTGCCCTCCCCCCCCAAAAAAAAACTTCACCACATCTAATTTGCGTTGCCCATATATTCACTGGAGCACGGTCAAACTCCCAATGGTCAGTCCTTAGAGAAAACTGAGTCCTCACCCTGCCCCCAGAAGCCATCAACTGTGAAGAGCTATATATTTTAGCATCTTTATCACAGTTGTTTTTGTGTGGACTGTGACAAATGAATCTTGATATAAAAATGTGTAAAGTATTTAATGCAGCAGGGATTCAATGAAGGTTTTAAAGCAGGAGAGAATACTCAAATAAAATGTCACGCCTCAGCTCAAAAAGTAAGGATTTCAATACGACTCTATGTCCCTGTCACAGAAGAGCCAAATTCTGGGGCTGGAGAGAAGATTTGGTGCTTAGGGTCATGAACTACTCTTGCAGAGTTTGGTTCTCAGAATCAATGTCAGGCCTTGTGGTGCTCTGAATAAAAATGGTCCCCAAAGACACATAGGTAGTGGCATTATGGGAGGTGTTGGAGTAGGTGTGGCTTTGCTGAAGGAAGCATGCCATGGGGGTGGGCTTCAAGGTTGCAGAAGCTCAAGCCAGGCCTAGTGGTTCACTGTTTTCCTGCTGCCTGTGCAGAACCTGTAGATCCAGATGTAGAACTCTCAGCTACCTCTCCAGCACCATGTCTGCCTGCGTGGTGCCATGCTTCCTGCCATGATGACAATAAACTAAACCTCTGAACTGTAAGCAAGCACGATTAAATGTTTTCTTTTATAAGAGTTGCTGTGGTCATGGTGTCTCTTCACAGCAATGAAACCCTAACTAAGCCACACCTGCAAGTGTAGCTCCAGGGATCTAACACCCTCCTCTGAGTGCGTCGGCACCTGCACTCATGTGCACAAGTCCACACACAGACACAAAACTAAAAGACAACAACTGTCATACTAGGGAAGTGTTTGGTGACAAGAGCACACTGGAAGGTGTCCTTGCTGTGTTTCTGCGAGGAAGGAGGGCACTCACCTGGTTGGCTATGTTCATGTCTTTCTGGACAGTGTCCGAGAACTTGGCTGCTTTAGTAGCTCCAGACTTGAAGAAGCTTTCACTCTCCCGGGTTCTCGTGTGTCTGACGTGGCTTGCTCTGATCAGAGAAGAAGGGTACAGCCTCAGGTTTGGATGGGGACAGGAGACACTACCTGTCTGCTTGAGGACCTTTCTTGGCTCTGGGGGTAGGAGAGGGCTTTCCTTTGTCCAGGAAGGTACCAGAGTGGCACCGTGTCACCTTGACCTCACTGAACAATTGTGAGGAAGTGACACGGGTAATGACACTTGTGGAATACAAATCACAAGGATTTTGAAAAATACTTCAAGCAAAGTCCACGTGTTCAGGCTTGGTTCCCCAGGAAGACACTATTGGGATGCCCTTAGTTCACCGATATTCCCTCTGTGGGTTGGAGGACCCCAGCCCCTTCTTCTCCCTCTCTTTTGCTTCCTCTGGTTGACAATTCCAAAACTAGGGGCACAAGTCACTCATTCCTCTTGTAAATTTCCTATCTGAGCTCTTTGGTTACAGCAAGGGAAAGCTAATGACAGAAACAACAACAACAAGAAAACATACAACAGTAAGGAAGTGGACAAACAGCAGGCCTGGTGGGTGCAGGCCCGCCAATTCCAGCTACTTGGGAAGCTGAAGCAGGAGGTTTGCAAACTGGAAGCTTGCCTGGGCCACAAGCAAGTTCTAGGTCAACCTGAACCACTTCATAAGATGCTGTCTAAAATGAAATAAATAAAAGGTGGGCTGTGGGTGAAGCTCAGTGGTACAGTGCTTGCCCCTGTGCTCACCCCTCAGCACCATGAACAGGAAACAAGGTTTTAAGGGCTGAGTTCACTGAGAAGCACTACTTTGGAAATTAGTCATATATATAAAAGCTTTACCCGATGTCATTGTATACATGAAATGATGAATTGCGTCTCCACGTTTTCATGTTTATAGCCATGACATGTATAAATAATATGCCAGGATAAATAATAGCTAGGTATAGGTTTTGGTAACTTGACATCACTTGAAGCCAATGGACCCAGTTGTTGGTTTGTCCAGAGACTACTGTACCTAGAGTGTGTAGCTATATTTGAGATGAATCTTAAATATTTTGAAAATCTTATGTATTCATTTACTTGTTTGATGATAGAAACACATCTGAGCTTCAGCCCCCTCATGTGTTTTGAATTCATGCAAGCTAAAGTGAAAACAACTAAATGCTAAATAAATTAATTAAAGTATTTTAAAATATTTATTTGCTTCATCCATTCTTCCATTGAAGGACACATTAGAGTACTACTCTGCCATAAAAAACAATGACTTCTCGAATTTTGCATGCAAATGGATGGAAATAGAAAACATTATCCTGAGTGAGGTAAACCAGATCCAAAAAGAGGATCATGGGATGTACTCACTCATAATTGGTTTATAGCCATAAATAAAGGTCACTGAGTCTATAATCTGTGATCCTAAAGAAGCTAAATAAGAAGGTGAACCCAAAGAAAAACATATAGTTATTATCCCTGCTATGGGAAATAGACGAGATTGCTGGGCAAAAAATTGGGATCTTGGGGGTGGGGTGGGATGGGGGTAAGGGGAGATGGGGAGAGAAAAGTGAGAAGGGGAGGATGGGGGGAACTTGGGGAAACGGGATGATTGGGGATAAAACAAGGTTGGATAGAGGAGCAGGGAATCACATAACTTAATTAAGGGAACCACCTTAGGGTTGGTAAGAGACATGAACCTAGAGCGGCTCCCAGGTGCCCAGGGCAATGTCCCCAGTTAGTTCCTTGGGCAGCTGAGGATAGGGAACCTGAAATGACCCTATCCTATAGCCATACTGATGAATATCTTGCATATCACCATAGAACCTTCATCTAGCAATGGATGGAGATAGAGACAGAGACACACACTGGAGCATCGGACTAAGATCCCAAAGTCCCAATGAGGAGCAGAAGGAGGGAGAACTTGAGCATGGAAGTCAGGACCAAGAGAGGTGCACCCATCCACTGAGACAGTGGGGCTGATCTATTGGGAGCTCACCAAGGCCAGCTGGACTGTGACTGAAAAAGCATGGGATAAAACCGGACTCTCTGATCATGGCGAACAATGAGGGCTGATGAGAAGCCAAGGACAATGGCACTGGGTTTTGATCCTACTTCATGTTCTGGCTTTGTGGGAGCCTAGCCAGTTTGGATGTTCACCTTCCTAGACCTGGATGGAGGGGAGAGGACTCTGGACTTTCCACAGGGCAGGGAACCCTGACTGCTCTTCGGACTGGAGAGGGAGGGGGAGAGGAGTGGGGGGAGGGGGAGAGGGGCGGGAGGAGGGGGAGGGAAATGAGAGGCTGGGAGGAGGCAGGAATTTTTTTTCAATAAAAAATATTTATGTGCACAAGTGTTTTGCTTGCATGTCTGTGTGAGTACCATGTGTATGCCTGGCACTCATGGAGGCCAGGAGAGATTTTCAATCTGGAACTGGAGTTACACACAGTTGTAAGCCATCATGTGGGTGCTGGGAACTGAACCCAAAACTTCTGCAAGAACAGCAAGTGTTCTTAACTACCGAGCCATCTTTCCAGCCCCCAAATAAAAATAACTTAAATCAAATATAAATTATGGCCACCAGAAGCACTACTAAATCACAACAAAAGAAACTGTGAGGTGGTTGAAACCAAACTCGGAAGAAAGAGATTTTAGGCAATTTAATCCCAAATTTCTTAATATGTTCACACTTTGCCAGTATAGAAAAATTAGAGCTGAAGAAAATAGAAAACTAGCAAAAGCAGCAAGAGGAGTAGGTCTGTTACTAAAACATCAGAAAGTAGAAAAAAAGAAAGAAAGAAAAATCCAGGTCAATGCAGTGTGGGAACTAGTCACCATGCAGCGTGGGAACTGGTCAAAGCTACCTTCAAAATTTGCTTCTGAGGAAAACAACGAAGCAGTTGGAGCCAAGTGCCCCCAAGAGCTGTCGTTTTCTGCTTTCCTGACAAGAGACACACGTTGAAGAAGAGAGTGTTGCTGTGGCAATCAGCTGTTGTCAAAGGGCAAAGGCAGGAATGGCACTTGCTGGGTGAAGGCACTATTCTGCTTTCTCTTGCCTACATTTCCAGGGTACCCATTGCCACCCCCCCATAGTGAAGGCATAGTTAAACCTTCTTCTGGTGTAATTTTCTTCTGTCTGTAATCATCCGTCAATGCCCTGCAGGATGGCGGAGAGGGCAATGGCTTACCAGTATTTTAGCACACCAGAAACACCAGGACAACACATAAAATCCTGTATCTTTCCATGGAAGACTTTGCCCCATCCATGAGAAAGAGTCTCAGGTAGCTCAGGCGGGCCTAGAACTTGCTAGGAAGTCAAGGATGATGCAGAACTATGCATCCTTCTGCCTCCACTTTCTGAGTGCTGGGAGACAGGGATGCACCATCACACCCACCCCAAAGAGTTGACATTGCTCATCTAAAACTTATCCTTTTTGTGATGGCAGCTAGAAAATGCATGAAATCTGACCAGAAAATGTGGTTCAGAACCAACTCCTATCGGTGATTTTCCACATAATTTTTCATGAGACAGTTCTAAACCTGAGCGTCTTCATTCACACAAGGGGATGGGTGGATGGAGTTACGTAAAGTATGTCACAGCTCTTTGTAGCGGATAAAGCGCCAAGCCAATAACTTGTCTTACATCTTCTTTTGATGGATCGGACTCTCCCCTGTCAGCCTGTAGAGGGCATATTTGAAGTCTGTTATGCCTTGGTTTTCTATGGTGAAGGTGGTGCTTTTCCTGGTCCCACAGATCAAAGCCCCGAAGTTGATGATAGAGGAGGGGCTGATGGTGAATTTGGAGTACACTGCGTTCACAGAAAACTTAATGGGGATGCTGGCAATAATTTCACCTTCTGGGAGGCTGGGGTCAATAATCTATAGTGGGAAGAAGGTTAGGGAAGACGTTAGTCAGTGATGCAGCAATAGAATTCCCATTAGCATCCCCTTGCCTGCTTTCACAACTGGTGCCCTCCCTGAGGTGTGTCTGACCTTTGGTATGTCCATGGGCCACATTCAGCCAAGGAGAGTTATGAATTTTCCCTAACATAAAATTATAAGCTTACTTTAGAACATCATGGAATTTTAAAAAGCTTTTAAAACTGTTTTTTGAGAATGTCCTACATGCCCACAATTTATTTCAACCACATTCATCTACCACGTCCCCCTCCAACTCCTCCTAGACCCTCTCATATCCACTCCCCAACTTCATATTCTCTCCATCTTAAAGAACCCTTTGATTCCGTTAGTGCTGCTCACAAGCATATGGGAGTGGGCTATCCATGGAGCATGGCCAGCCACTAGAACTCAGACCTTAAAGACAACTGACTTCCCTTCCCCGAGCAGCCATCAACCGTCAATAGGTCCTCAGTTAGGGGTGGGGGCTTGTTTGGCTCCCATATATAAAAAACACATTTTAAATATAAAATATGTAATATTAAGAAATATATTACATACATTATATATATTCCTGGTGACTTCAGGCTGCTGTCCTGACCTACCTGTGCCTGTTAGTTGGACTGCCCTCTGGTGTAGTGTCTTTGGTTGTCACCCAGGCTATCCGCCCTTCACCCCTTCTTTTCATCAGGATGCCGACAGTCCTGACAGCAAGTCAGCCTGTTTCTGTGTGCTCTCTCACCTGGCAGCGTAGAACAGGTTGGTACTCAATTTTCACTTCCTTTTTGGCACGAAAGAACACCTGGACGGTTGTGGGCTTATCTGCTGAGGTCAGCGAACCCCTTTTGGGTTGGACTGAGATCATGGAATTTAAATTTGTTGGCAAAACCCCTAAGGAGTCCACAGAGAAGCTGGAAGATAAGAGCAAAGAATCAATTTAAACCACTATCCAGGGATCCCATGAAGCCAGAGAGGACAGACGGATCTGTTGAGGGCCTGCCTGTCTCTAGACCTTTGTAGCTATCATGCCAAGCAAAATCCACTATGCTTTGTATGTGTATATGAATACATGTGTATGTTCTTGCATGTGAGGGTACATATATATGTGTGTGTGTGTGTGTGTGTGTGTGTGTGTGTATAGGTGTGGAGGACAAACATCAGGGGTCATATGATCAGATATGATCAGGGGTCATATCTGAGCTGGTATCCACCTTTTTATTTTTTCAAAGACAGGTGGATGACCTTGGCCCTCTTCTGCCTCTACCTTGTGATGTCTGTGCTATTACACCTGTTTCCACACTGTTGGAGATCAACCTCAAGGCCTTGCGCAGGCTACCCAAGCACTTTACCAACGGAGCTGCACTCCTAGCCCCTGGTTTTTATTTGTTTGGCTTTGTACACATGCTTGTGATACATGGGTGTATTCGGATGTGTGCATGCAGATATGCATGTATGTGTGGAGGCTAGAAGGCAATATTAGATGTGTTCCTTGATTGCTCTCTACCTTATAAGACAGGGTCTCCTAGTGAACTCACCACTCACCAAGTTAGCTAGACTGGGTGGCTGGAGAGTTCCCTCCTATGCTAGGCCTACAGATGCCTGGATTTTTAATGTGGGTACCGGGGATTTGAACTCAGGTCCTTACACCAGGGCAGGCACTTTACTCACTGAGCCAGCTTCTGGCTTCTATTTCCCTCCCTCCCTCCCTCCCTCCCTCCCTCCCTCCCTTCCTTCCGTTCTCCCTTCCTTCCTTTCTTTTTAAAAAGATTTGTCTATTTTTATGTGCATTGATTTTTTTTTTTTGCTTGCATGTATGTTTCTGGGAGGATATCAGATTCCCTGCATTTAGAGTTACAGACAGTTGTGAGCTCCCATGTTGTTGCTGGGAATTGAACCGGGTCCTCTCGAAGAGCAGCCAGTGCTCTTAACCACTGAGCCATCTTTCCAGCACCACTTCTGATTTCTTTATAAAAAAAGTTCCCAGACATACTCTTTTTGTCAAGAGTGGATGTGGACGGTTGCACATGCTCCACGGGATTCAGGTTACCTGTACACGATCTCGTATTTCCCACGGTTCTTCAGTTGAAGGGGCTGCTTGACTTCCTCCATGACCTTCAGAGTCCCAAAATCCAGACCTCCTTCAGCTCCTACAGAGGCCAGGATATGAGGTAGGGGTGAGTGGGCAAGGGAGCCAGAGCAGGGGTTTCCTTATCAAGTTTACATGGACAATCATTCCATGGTGAAGACTTTAGAGACCTTCTTTTCTGAAAATTCTGTGGCTGGGAACACCCTTTGTAACACTAAGTCTTGGCAGATAAATCAAAACCTCCTAGTGCATCCACACTGCCCCCTAGAGTTTCTGTCCCGAGGAGCCACTGGCTTTTCCTGACTTTCATTAGCTAAATTATCTTGAAACTTTATTTATCTATTATTATTATTTTTTAATTATGTGAATGTATGTGTATCTGTGTGTGGGTATATGCAAGTGAGTGCAGAGGCCAGAGATGTGGGTGGGGTCTTTCTGCAGCTGAAACGACAGACAGTTGTAGGCTGCCTGCTGTGGGTACTGGGAATCAAGCTTGGGTCCTTTGGAAGAGCAGTGTATGTTATTAATGTTGTTGTTGTTGTTATTGCTACTATTCTTATTTTGACAGGGTTTCTCTCTGTAGCTCCGAGGGTCCTGGATCTAACTTTGTAGACCAGGCTGGCCTCGAACTCACAGAGATCTGCCTGCCTCTGCCTCTCGAGTGCTGGGATTAAAGATGTGTACCATAATGCCCAGTGTAGTGTGTGTTCTTAACTTTATTTCACATGTACCTGTGCACTAGATACAGGTGGACCCATCAGAGGCCAGAAAAGGGCACTGGAATCCCTGTGCCTGGAGTTATGGACAGTAAAGATCTCTCTAGGTTAAGACAATGGCACCTGACTAACATGGAGCTCTAATGATCTTGCTGAGGAAGAGACCCATCAGAGAGAGGGGGTGTCATGGAGAATCAGATGCTCAGGGGAGATACACAACCCAGGCACTAGGAAAGCATTCAGGCAGCATGTCACTGGACACCCATTCTAATCCCTGGGACCTGTGAATACACAACGAAGGGGACTTGATGCAGCAGGTGGACTTGAGGCTGGTGATTGGCTGCCATTAAATGTGGAGACTGACAGGGATTATCCTGATGGCCCAGTGTAACCACGAGGATCCCTGTAAAAGTAGAGGGGGACAGCAGAAGTGGAAGAACCAGGGAGATGGCAGCATGAGAAAGAAGGGCCTGGTCGGATATTGCTGGCTTTCTAGATTCAGAAAGGGGACATAAACCAAGGGATGTGCGCAGCCTCTCGAGGCTGCAAAGCTGTATCCGTCATCACCTTGATATTCACCTAGTGAGACCCAGTGAGACCTGCTTTTAACTGACCTCAAGACTATAATACACTGTGGGTTTTTTCCTTTTCTTTTCTTTTTTCTTTTCTTCTTTGGAGACATTGTTTCTCATTAGATAACCTAGGCTGGCCTTGAACTCAAGAACCTCCTGTCTCGGTTTCATTAGTAATTAGTGTAAATTGTTTTAGGTCAGGAGGTCTGTGGCAATTTGCTACGGTAGTGACAGAATAAAAAATGCAAGCAGGAGGAGAAGCTTTTACTGTCAGCTTCTCAGAGAAGAGCCCTGAAGGTTTGATACTGACGACAGTCCCTCGCTATCCTCCACCAAGGATACTGTCATTTGCAGTGACGTTGCCAACATCACTTTAGAGTATTACATAATTGTTCCCTCCCCCATCAACCCCACCACCCTACTAACAACACACTGAGGTCTCTCCACCTGGGACTCTCTACACAGACAGAGGCAACGTATAAACAGCCCCCTTTTAAGGGCTCAGCAAACCTTTGGGGAAGGTGATGTCCAAAGCAATATCATAGGATTCTGCAAAGACCAAGATGTTTTCGATCTGAACAACACCGACAAGATTGTCTGCATCCAAAACCTGCCAGGGAAAAAGAATTCTTCAGTGAATTCTGAGACCCACAAAGTGTCTGGAGTCTGAAACACATAGCATGTAGAGGGAACTCGGCAGCAGACATGGTAGGAAATCTAAGTTCTGAGAACTTCAAAGTCAGATTTTCTAACCTTACATTTTAAGTCCTCTTTCTCTGCTCACTTAAAAAAATGCGACTCTTCTGTTCTTTGTGACTCAATCTGTAGAAAAGTGACTAGATTCTTCATGCAGAACACATGCTTAATGTTTCTGTTTTGGAAATTCACAGTGTTTTAGCTGTGTGATCATGGCCACCTTCAGATCTGTGGCCTTTAGTAGCTCACTGATTCTGTTCTTGTCACTGTTGGGGAATCCATCCTCCCTGCCCCCAGGAGCCACTGAGTTGGTGCCAGATGGCAGAGCAATCTAATTCTCTCTAGTAGACTGTCAACCTTGGACACTAACCAGGAGGTGGTAAAGGGCCCCTTAGTCAGGGCAAGAGCTTCTGGGGTGATCCAACACTCTGCCATCTTGCTCAACACTCCAGTTGAAAAGCAAATCCACCAGTTTGCATTCTATGTGCTTAGGTGCAAGGAGAGATTTGTAATTGTCACTAAATTTAAGATTAAAAAGTTTATTTTTAAAACTATGTGTATGTGTGTGGGTATGCTCATGTGGGTACAGATGTTCACCGAGGCCAGAAGAGGGTGTTGGACTCTGGAGTGGGAGTTACAGGCTATTGTCAACCACCCAAAATGAGTGCTGGGGACAGAACTCAGTTTTTCTGTAAGAGCAGCATGTGTTCCTAACCACCAAACATCTCTTCAGCGCCCAAGTATCAATTCAGAATTTCTATCTTTTCTTTTGACACACATTTGCCAATATGGTTGTATCTGTGGGAGGAGAACTCATTAGTACAGTGGACTTCCTGTGTCTCTCTAAGACTATAGGAGACAGACAGGAGGATGCCCTCTGATGATGGAGACAAAGGCCGGAGGGACGCAGGCACAAGCCAAGGCATACACTCGTAGGCCCCCGAAACCAGAAGGGACAAGCGAGGGTTCTCCCCTGGAGCCCTCAGAGGGAATGCAGTCCTGCTAGTTAGTCTTCAGAACTGGGAGGAGGATGGTCTGTTGTTTTGAGTCATCTAGTTTGTGGTGGTTTGTCACAGTGGTCCTCAGAGACTAAACAAGATGATGCACAAATCAGGGGAGATCCTGCATGACGGAGCTCACATACCAAGGTCAGCAAGCGGATTGACATGAGAAAGGAGTGGGGCTCTGAAGGATGGAAGGCACTGAATGGTTACACACACAGCTGATTCCCTCAATGGGACATAAGTTAAGCCCACTTGAGGCAGCGATGTCTCCAGATCTTCAAGCAGGTACCAACGCCCCACAAGGCCTAGAGAAAAATCCCCAGCAGGGGTGTAGCGGTGTCAGGGGCTTCAAGCAGGAAAGAGCTTACACCACATGCTGGGAGTCGATGATTAAAGGTGAGGGTGGAGCGAGATGCAGCAGAGACCAAGGCATGATCCTCGCTGCTGAGAGAGGAGAGCACGATGCCCCGAGAAGTGTGAGCAAGCCCATCTGCTTGCAAAGATCCTTGTCACTTGTGGGAATACAGGAAAGGCCCAAGTCCAGGTGGCCTGACCGAGGGTGGCATCAGCAGTGCAGACCAAGATGGCGGTGGGAAGGAGATCCCCTCGGAGACAGAACAGGTGAGGATAGTTGGGAGGACTGGATTGAAATTAACCCCACCAGCACGAGTAGGGCATTGAGATGGCTGTCAGGTACCAGCGGGGAGCAACAGGTGAAGGTGAAGGTAATGAAAGCAAACAGGATGGATGACCAGGTTTGGGCTATGAAGTAAGGAAAGTAATGTTTACTTAGATAGCGTAGCATCGTTCATTCATTCATTTCACATTCTGTTGAGTATTCTGTTTTTGGAGGTAAGAAATCAGTTCTGAGTGATACTGCCTTTATTGAGCTTGCTACGTGCAGAGCAAGATACCATAGACCGAGGTCAGTGGGAGTATTTAATAAGAATGTGTGTGTGTGTGTGTTTGTGGTGCGCGCGCGTGTGCACACACATGCCCATGCATGCACATTTGATATTCAAGTCTGTGGAGATGCCACTTCTCACCTCAACCCGAATGGCCTTCTTAATGTTGACAGGTTTGGTGGGCTGGAAGTGCACCTGCAGCCCAAACTCTCCCTTGGGTGGGATGCTGGCCTGCAGCACAGACACAGTGAAATCGTCGCCAAGGTGCTCCAGGCTGGAGATCCGCCAGGCCACAGATAGGGGTGTGACATTGCGGAGAACTACTGTCCTGGATTCTTTTCTGCAGAAACCAAAAGAGATTTGATCAAGTTCAAATAATTTTTCAAATGTCAATTTATCTCTCTCTGTTTTTCTCCACTAAAATTATATAATAGGGAGAAGAATCAATAACTTTTTTTTAGATTTTGGAGACTGAGTCTCATTATGCAGCCAGCCCTGGCTGGGACTCACTATGCACACCAGGCTGGTCTTGAACTCACAGAGATCCTCTTGCCTCTGCCTCTTTTGCTGGGGTTACAGGTGTGTACCACCACTCTTGACCCCAACAGTTTCACTTTTAACGGTGATTGTGTAAATCTTCTTTAACTCGTCTTGTCTTTTTTAAAAATTTAAGCTGCTTAGATCATGAGGGATGGGCAGATTTACATGATTTTAATTTTTTTCATGAAAAAGCTATTTCAAATGATCTCAGATTAACACCATTTAAAACTTAGAGAAAAATCGCAAGAATCCCTCTTCGTCCAATTGATCTCGCCTTCCTTGTAGCCTCATATTCTCTCTTCTCTATCATTTTCCAGAACCATTTGAAATGAAACTGCAGGTAGTCTTCAAATCACTGGGTACACATTTTCTAAGAATGAATAAATTTAATAAATCAAGGGTTTTCACCATCATAAAGACTTTTTATTTGGTTCATAGTTCAAGTTCAACTTTTATCTTTTTTTCTATTGCTATTCCAACCCCTTTTTATTTTTCCCAGTCAAGGAATCAACCTATAATCATGTATTTTATATAATTGTCAGGCTTCTTTACACTTACCTTTCTTTAGTTTTCTTGGCTTTGATGTTTTGAAGAGCACAGGCCAGTTAATCTGTTGACTCTTGCTTACATCGGGTGGTCTGATGCTTTTTTTATGCTTAGATCTTTTGGCGGGAAAAGACCTAAGTTGCAAGCTGTGTCCATTTCAGTGCATTGGGGCAGGAGATCCCTTTAGTGCTACTTTTTCTGATCCTAGTGATGCTGTGTTTGATGCCTTGTTTAGGTAAGGCTCACCTGATCACTCCACTGTGGATGCAACCTCCCCCCCTTTTTAATTAATTAAGTACTTTCCAGGGAGATACTTTGAGAATATGCCCTGTTTATTTTATTTTATTGATACAGGGTTTTATATTTTCCTGGGCTACCCTTGAATCCACTATTTAGTTAGAGGATGACCTTGGGCTCCTGATCCCTTTGCCCCCACCTATTAATCACCAGGACTCCAGGCTGTTTCAGCACAGCTGGATAGATGCCCTATTCTGAAGCAAACAGCCACAGGCTAGTGTTAGTACCCATCAGTCTCTTTCTAATACCATCAATCTTTCTATACTTAGCTGGCATTCTGCTGTCAGGAACAGAACTTCATTCTCTCATGTGTTTATTCCTATACTTATGCCAGTAGAGTTATGGGTTCTCATTCAATATGTCATAGATCAGTGGCTCTAAACCCGTGGGTTGTGACCCCTTTTGGGGTCAAACAATCCTTTCACAGGGTCACTCATCTAAGGCCACCAGAAAATACAGATATTTATTTATATTACAATCCATAATAGTAGCAAAATTAGTTATGAAGTAGGAATGAAAATAATTTTATGGTTGGGGATCACCACAATATGGAGAACTGTATTAAAGGGTCACCACATTAAGAAAGTTGAGAAGCATTGTTGTAGGTCATTATATTATAATTATAGCATTGTTTTATTTTGACTTTCAAATTGTCTCATATTTAGATGGTGGGAGGCCCTTTGAGTTGGTTCTTCCTGTTATGTGTTCATAATCTTTAAGTTCTTCCTGGTACAACAGAAAATTCCCAGCTCTCCTGGAGCTTCCTTCCTCTACTTTACCTGTATCAGTACCAGAAAAGTCCTTTCACCAAGGATCCTCACCATTGCCTGGAGAATGATGTTTAGATACCAAGATCTGGATGATGGGGTCCTCATTGCTACTGGTGTAAGCCTGTTTTCAGGTCTTCCTGGTGACAGAGCTAGGAAATATGTGTATGTTTCTATACATATCTGTATATTAAAACCAGGAGTCTATATTGAGATCTCCAATTCCAGTTTAATAATAAGATACACTTAAAAAGGTCTGTGTGTGTGTGTGTGTGTGTGTGTGTGTGTGTGTGTGTGCATATATGCAATTGTGGTCAGAGGACAACTTATGGGAATCTGTTTTTTCTACTATGTGGGACCTTGGGGTCAACTCAGAATGTTAGGATTGGTGGTAAGTGCCTTCATCTGTTGAGCCATTTAAATCTCATTTTCTTCAACAATAAGAAATCTGTCTACAATTTAATTGTGCCAAGGTTAGGAAATATACTGAAGACAATTTCATTAAGTTGAAATTTAATGAGCCTTGTTTCATGGCTTTGCACTGTATGTTTTATGTGTGTTTGAAATAAAGATGCATTTTATAGTTGGCAGGCACTCAAACAACTCTACAGAGGATACTGGAAGGAAGATTTTAGTCTGAAGAGAAGGGTGAGCACACTCAAGACATCACATGGAATAAATAAGCAATGCCAAACTAGCTAATCAAAAGAACTCTAAGGAAACAAAATTTAAAAAACCCAGAAATTAATACACATAGTTAAATAATAACTCTTAGTATTAGGGGTCTTAATTTCTCAATAGAAAGATACAGACTAGCAGATTAGATTTGAAAACAGTATCCATCTTTTGTTACTTCCAAGAAACACAACTCAAAATCAGAAACAGACACCACCTTAGGGTTAAAGGATGGGAAGAGATATTCCAAGAAAATGGAACTAAGAAATAAGTGTGCATGGCTAGTCTGATATCTGACAAAATAGACTTCAAACCAAAGACAGGACTATCACTTCACACTCATTGAAGGTAAAATCCACCAAGGGGATATTACAATTCTGAATATATATGCACCAAACATAGGCACACCCAATTTCACAAAAGTCATATTGCTAGACCTAATGCCACAGACTAGTTTGGTGACATAATTGAAAAGATTAACAAGATTGACAAATATTTATTCAAAGTAACCTTGAAGCTTTCCCTCTGACCCCTTACTAGTTTCCTGATTTTAATGGGTTCTCCAATTAAATACATACCTAAATAGTTAAAGCAAGCATTTACATATGAGAGGAAGGTGCGTGGGGAGGGATTACTTGATGTGGGATGTCTCTCTGCATGCTGTGAATACGTTTTATTAACATTGATTAATAAACAAGCTGCTTTGGCAGAATATAATTTAGTTGCAAGAACTAATTAAGAATAAGCCTGAGCTATTAGGCCAAACAGTTTGTAATTAATATTAAGCCTCTGAGTGATTATTTTAAAAGGGCCTCAGGACTGGGAGGGACAGAAAAAGCTTCTGTTTACAAATGGTGTACCAAATTTCCATAGGGTCTAAGGAACTTAAAAAAATAAATGAAGGTTCTAGAACACATAAGCAGAGCCAAAACCAGCTTCCCAGTTGTGTCTCTCATGTGGGCCATGGTGATACACAGATGTGTCTCCAAGCTGTGCACTGTGCTGTGTTGCAGATTGAGGCTTTGTTCATACAGACAAAAAAGGCAGGCAGTAAAAGAGGTCCAGATAAAAAACTCTAAATAGGTTCCAGTGTGTTTTACAATGTGCATAGGCTTAAAAAAAGAAGACAAATGGGCACAGACAGTTATAGAAGAAAATATATATTTTTAAAAAATAAAACAAAATCTTTAAAGAGACAATAAAAATAATATAAAAGAAAAAAGCCATGTAAAGGTGGGAAATATACAGGGAGTCTGGATCCTGTACATTATTGTGTTGATTTTGAATGTTTTGATTTAATCAAACCAATTCTCCAATACACTGTATCATTTCTTTTAGTGTGTTTTAGTCCTGCTACTATGAGGAATGAGTTAAGGATCCTGGATCTGTCTTGTGATCCACTTTTCTACCAATTCTGGTAGATGATTCTGAGGAACGAATAAGGGCAGGTGACTCGGTCTAATCTTCTTGTAAACCTGATGTCAGTCAGATCTGGTGATAAACAGACTAATGATATTCCTAAGAAAATGGCCCTTGTGTTTGGAATGTTAGGAACACTTCTATAAATAAACACAGACTCTGAATATATGGCAATGGATTCCCTGGAGGTAGGCGAGCACTTGCCATGTGAAATTATGTATGTTTCCAAACCACTTTTTTTCCTGTTGACTGAAGTTATCAAAAACACTTTCTTAGAGGTTGAAGTGGATTTTTTTTTTTATCCAAAACAGGGTTTCTCTGTGTAGCCCTGACTGTCCTCGAACTCTCTCTGTAGACCAGGTTGGCCCCTGAACTCAGAGATCTGTCTGCCTCTGCCTTCTGAGAACTGGGGTTAAAGGCCGGTGTCACTACTTCCCACCTGGGCCTGCGTTATTAATTTGGGCCAGAAAGTGTAAGACTGCTGTGGTCAGGAAGTGAGGAATCACGAAAGCCGCCCCTGTCATCTTTCTTTCTCTGTGTTTATTGCTTTCATCTTTGAAATAACTAGTTGTTCTAGTTTGCTTTCTCTTTCTGTGATAAACACTGTGACCAAAAGCAACCTAGAAAGGGCAGGATTTGTTTCATCTTGTACCTCCTAGGTTATCATCTATCTTTGAAGAAGGCAGGCACCTGGAGGAAAGAACTGAAGTGGAGACCACAGAGGAATGTGGATTACTGGTTTGCTCCTCATGGATTGCTCAGACTTTTTTTTTTTTTTTCAGAATTCAAGACCATCTGTCCAGGTGGACTGCCCACAGTGGGTTGGGACCTCCCTTATCAATCATCAATCAAGAAAGTGCCCCACAGACTTGTCTATAGGTTGGTGAAATATGGGCATTTTCTCAACTGAGGTTCCTTTTTTCCAAATGGCCCTAGCTTGTACCAGGTTGACAAAGACTAACAAGTACACTAATCCAGATAGATGCTGCTCATCTGGGGAAGTCTGATTTGGCGACCCAGCTAAATTATTATATTATTATTATTATTAATACCACTATTACTTTGGTGGTCTCTGCCATCTCTGCCTGACACATACTTCTGAAGGAATTGTGAAGGAAAACGACATCAGACATATTCAGAGCCACAAAAAGGAAGCATATGAAAAATTCAAATATATGGAAAAAGAGAGAATGTTTGACTTTTCTTTTCTTGATCAAGTATGGCCCGGGAGTATGTGTGGAGGAGCTCAGGGCCAGAGTCATTTGCCTGGAAAGTACAAGGGGGAGTTCAATTCCTAGTGACATACACACAAACAAACCCAAAAAGTCCAGAGTAACTTAAGATGAGTTCGTTACCCTAGAGCTAAATGTTCTTGAGGTTTCCTTCCTCTCCCCGAGTCACCCAGAACTCTTACCTGTGAAGCAAAAGCCGTTCAAAATGTAATTGCCTGGGCTCCACCTCAATTTCTGGGCGAATTCCTTGGCAGTTTAACTTAAAGATGGCTGGCTCTGGGTTCTCCTTGATGCAGCAGACAATGCTGTCTTCGAAGATGCCAATTGCCGTAGGGTAGGCCCACACATTTAATATCTGTGGAAAGAATTGAAACAAAGTCCATTTCCACTGAGGACATCAGGTCTTGACTTTCCCAAGAAAGCCTCAGCCTTGACTTCCCCCTTGGATGGTACCTGCTTTTCATTGGGTTTCAGAGTCATGTTGACGGGCTCTAGAAAGTAGGTGCTCGCTTTCACATCATTCTGAAAGCAGAAGTATGCCTCCACCACCATTGGAGAATTGTTCAGGATCGTCAGGGACTCCATGTTGCCGGGGAACAAGGATGACTTATACCTGGAAGTGAATGGCAATGGATGAGGCTGTGGTGACTGAGTAAGGATTTTTGTGTAGGAGGAGCCTGTATGACTGTGCGGAGGCAGTGGCAGGTGGTGAAGGTCATGACATCTGGAGTTGTTCACTTGCCTCGGAGAATACTGTATTGTGACGTGATTCCCCTAAGCCTTGGTCTTCTTATCTTTAAGAATGGGGTGACAGTGTTGCTTAGGGACACAAGAATCCAATTCTCCTGATTAGGAGTTCAGGATAAAATGGGGGCAGTGTCAATAAAAGCCATGCTTACATAAGAACTGTAATCGCAGTGTTTGTGAACCCAACCCAGAAGTCTGAAATTGACTTTGAAATAATCTAACACTTACTTGTCTCTTGACTTTCCACAAAGCAGTGGCCCAAAGTAAAATTTCTCCATACTCATTATATACTTCTTAAAGATGACTTCATTTAACTTCATGTCTTTCTTCCTCTGAGGGAACACAACCCTGAACACAGGGAGAAAGAGGCAAAATGACCACACACAAATAGAAGTTCAATGCTGCCACCTGATATGTGCTACGAAGGGTCCAGGGGTTTGAAGACAGTTAACCCGAGCATCTCTGGGGAAGCTTAACTCCTGCTTTCTAAGAGGGGATGATATGGTTGGAGCTTGAGACAAAGCCTCCTAGAGCCGGGCTGGATTTCCTACTCCTAACAACCAGATATAGAAATTCCACAATAATCATAATGGAAACTTATTAAATAGTTCATCCCGTGGATATCAATCAGTTTCCGACTTCCTTGGTAAAACAGGGGTCCTTGGTGAGCACTATGGAAAGGGACAAGCTACAGAAGGTCCCTCCTTCGGCTGGGAGTCACCTTGCTAGTTTGCTCACCCAGGTGCCTGTATTTGAGACCTAAACTGCACAGTGATGTTGAGCAGGTCAGAGAAAAGCCACCCAATGAGCTTCACGCTTATGTTCATTTCACAGGAGGACAAATCTTAGAGTAAAAGTCAAAGTGGTTTTAATCAGCTTAATAGCTAATATGCAGACTCACTTGCCAGAAGACATTTTTTCTCTCTTAATGTAGTGTTTATTTTGTCTCAGTGGGGGGGGATACCCTGTAGTATGACGTCATCTCTGGTGCTCTTGAAACAAGGTGTGATGCACTGAAGCCTGGTACAAGAGGGTCTGGGATGTGTTCCCAGTTCAACGGTATTGTTGTTGTTATTATTATTGTTATATTTAGTGTGCGTATGTGTGTGTGTGTGTGTGTGTGTGTATGCACGCATGCTGGGCAGCAAGCATATTTTACATTGAGCATTCTCGCTGGTCCCCATGTATTATTAATATGTACCTTGCTCAAGGTGCCTTGGGATGAGGGGACTCAAAAACATAGTTTTTGACCTTTTCTTTGAAAATTAAATCCACTTACTTTGGATCTTTGCAAATGTCCGGGTAGGTACAGACTCCACGGCAGTAGAGCTGGTACTGGCGGCGGGTCCCAAGAAGCTCGAAATTAAACGTTTGGTCATAGTTGCCAAGATCAACAGAGGAGAAATGCACCTTCAAGGTCACCTCTCCATTGGGGGGCACAATCCACCGGAAGTGATTCAGCCTGAAACAACCACACAGGCTTTTAAAGTAACCATGCTTCTGGCTGAGGGAGGACAGGGGAAGCGGGTGGGACAGGGACTGTGCCACTGGGGTTAGGCATGGCAGGCTGGGAGGCCTTAGGCAGGGCAGCCCCGCCCCTCTCTGGTGCTGTGATGGCTGTGCACCCTCCCTCTCCCTGGTTGCTGCAAGGCCTACTTGACGAACTTTTCCTGGGAGTGCTCCCCATCGAAGCTGTTCTGGTCTATGTCAGACATTGGTGTGTTAGTCCCTGGCGGTCCCCCGGAGAGGCCTTTTCTGCTGTTCATCCGACGTTTTTCCTTCTGAGTTTCACGAGCTTGTTCTGATTTTTCTTTCGTTTTCTGCTTGCTCCCCTTAGATAGAGAGGTCGGTTCATCTTGGGCCTTAATTCAAAAGGAGCACAAAGGCTTAAATACCCCTGGCACACAGCAAAGACAGAGGTGCCTACAGCATGTCTGCAGTCTGGGTGGTGAGCAGCAGGTGCTGCTGGCCTCAAGGAAAGAGTAGTGCCAGCTTCGTGGGTTAGTGACAAGGCCAGTGTTTCTCTGGGTACTCTGTCCCCTGAGGAGGAAGTAGAAACCCTAGAGCAATCTTGAAGCTGACATGGAGCATATGGGATAAATTTCAGCTCCTGGCAGGGTCCCATCATAGCCAGCTGGGCATTCAACTTCCTTGGCACCGCCTGGGCCAGTTTCTCCGGCCACCTGCCACATGATGGTTAATATTTTATCGGCATATTCTACTCCCCCATCATTTCCTTTCTTCTTCTCTTTGTTCTTAGGGCTTAAAAAGGATTTAAAAGAATCTCTTACTATTTTGGGATGGAGTACAAATCAACACTTGTATCTAATTGGTCACGTTTAATAAGCATCTCTCATGCTTCTTGATTCTATTTTTTTCTTTTATTTTTAATTTATTTGTCGTCTTAACCTTTATGTGTTGCTATGATGAAAAGCCCGGCAAAGGCAACTTAAGGGAGGGTTATTTGGGCTCCCACTTTGAGTCTGTCAAGGCGGGGGAGCACGGAGGCAGGAGGGCAGGGAGCTGGCCACGCTGCCCTCTCAGCCAGGAAGCAGGGAGACAATGCTCACACCAGCTGCCTTTCTCCTTTTCCTTCAGCTCAGGAGTTACAGAACGGCATCACCCACATTTAGGGTCAGTCTTTCCATCCCAATTAACCTAATCTAGAAAATTCCCCCACATATGCCCTGAGACTTGTCTCACCAATGGTTCTAGAGCCCATCAACCTGACGCTCTGCTTCTAAGTACTTCAGCTCATGGCTCCTCAGAACAAGGACTGTCTCCTGTACTGCCACAATGGAGTCAACCATTGTGTGTGAACCATACTTCTGTAATGCACAGTGCACACAATATACATGCATACTTCCCTGCGTGACTTAGGCATGCATTTTTATAGCTATGTGTTTCTGTGGTGGGCTGAAGGAGAATGGCCCATAGCCTCATATATTTGAGTGCTTGGTCCCCAGCTGGGGGGACAGTTTTTGGAAGGATTAGGAGGTGTGACCTTGTTGGAGGAGGTGTGACCTTGTTGGAGGAGGTGTGTCACTGGGAGGGCTTTGAAGTTCAAAGGCCCATGCCAGGCCCAATCTTTCTCTCCCTGTCTTTAACTGGCAGATAAGCTGTAAGTACTTAGCTACTGCTCCAGAGCCATGCCTGCCTGCCTGTGGCTATGCACCCAGCCATGATGGTCCTGCACTCACCCTCTGAAAAGGCAAGAAAGCCCTGCATTAAATGCTTCCTTTTACAAGCTGCCTTGGTCATGGTGTCTCTTCACAGGAACAGAAAAGCAATTAAGACAGTTCCCAAGTGGTCATATATTATAAATATTACATTGCATTTTTAAACTACATTTCTGTAGTAAATTTTAATCAAGTTCCTCTGATGTGTATCCAAGTATGATGCTCTAATTCTATCAAAAATTTATATTTTCAGCTATTATTTTTCTAGCCAAAGAATAAAATTTTCCTTGTCAATTGCAAAACAGTTAGAGCTCCTCCTCAAATGACAGGTGGAAGATTGCTTAGCTGTTTCTCTGACAGGGTCGGTTTTCAGAAGGAGGGGTCGGCACAGGAGCCACTTCCGACGGTGCTCCCTCTCCCTCTCTACCTGGTCTCTGCAGAGTCACCACCGGGCACTCTGCTCTGCCGAGGCATGCCCACCAATGTCACGCCCTCATTTTCACCTGGTACTGGACCTGCACTAGAGCCTCATCGTGAGGCGGACGGGGCCTACAGGTGGTTTCGTTTCCTGCTGGGCAGTGTGTGGCTTTGTAGGAGCTAGCATTTACAAAGGGGCTAAATGTTGGGTCACCATTCTGCCCTTGGTATAAAAGGCCCTGGATATAATTTTAATATGCATATAATCTACACATTATTGCTCAAATCTATTTCTTTCTGCCATATCTTTCATGAATTGTATGCATAATTTCTTCTAGTTTTACATGATTTCATTTTATTAACTTAAAAAAATTAGTTCAACTAAAGTTTATCTTCACATATTGTTAGGCAAGGAGATTAAGAAGTGACTTCATGCATAATATCCAATCTTCCCATGGTAATTTCTTTAATAATCTAACTTTTCCCTGGTGGTGTGTGTTTCCTTAACCCATATCTTTGTATTCTTGTACTGTGAATTACCTTAGTTTTAGAACAAATCTATTTACCCTTTGAAAAGAGCCAGTTTTTCAAGATTAGTATCCACAGTATTGTGTTTCATTATGGCTTTTCAAACGACATCTGTTTCTGCTGATTCTTCTCCCTCCTCTTCTTTATCATCCCCGACAGCCCTGTACACTTAGCCCCCTCCCCATAGCCTCTTTTTCTGCTTCATGTGTCATGTCACCCTTCCTCAATACCTTTTGCCCCTCTAGTGGTATTGTATTCTTTCTAATTTCCTAGCCTATATCCATACTACATTCGCTGACACACATTACCTTCACCCCCACTGATACATACACATTATACCCACACTCACCCCCACTGATACATACACATTATACACACACTCACACCCACTGATACATACACATTATACACACACTCACACCCACTGATACATACACATTATACACACACTCATATCCACTGATACATACACATTATACCCACACTCACCCCCACTGATACATACACATTATACCCACACTCACCCCCACTGATATATACACATTATACACACCCACTCACACCCACTGACACACATACATTATATACACATTCACACCTGCTGATACTTACACACATTATACCCACACTCTCACCACTAACACACACACACGTTATGCATACATTCACACCCACTGATACACACACATCAACAATAAGCTAGTTTCAGTTGAAGAAAGGAACTGAAGAGGACACTAGAATACAAGAAGACTTCTCGGGATCACAACCTGGCAGAACTAATATTGTGAAAATGGCCACAGTTCCAAGAGCCATCCACAGACTTAATGCAGTTACTCTCAAAATTCTGATGCCAACAGCCTCATGACAGAAAATCATCCCAAGTTTCCCATGGAGGCACAAAGATCCTGGATCTCCAAAGCAATCCTGAGGAAAAGAGCAATGTTGTGGTATCGCCCCACCCGAGCTCATGCTACACGACAGAGCACGCTAACAAAACACCCAGACCGGCAGAAGGGAATAGACGACCAAGAAACAAGTCACCTCATTTTGTTAACTATATAATGCGTGCTAAAACATCTACTGAGAAGAGGCAGTATCTTCACAGGATGGTGCTAGAAAAATTGGGTACCCATGTGTATAGGATGAGACTACCTACACCCATCTTTTTCACCAAAAAGCAATTAAAAATGTATCAAAAACCTTAATGTAAAATTTAAAACTTTGAAACAAAGAAGAAAAAGACAGGCAGAATACTTTGAGATACAGGCATAGGCAGGGGCCTAGAGGGGCTCCAACGGCTCAGGAAGTCATCTCAAGAATGAACAAACGGGATCACCTGAAGCCAGAAGCTTCTGGCTAGCTCAGGAGGCCATAGGTAGAGCAAAGACAAACTCACAGAACACGAGAGAATCTCTGCCAGTGGAGTAATATCTAGAATAGATGAAAAACCCAGAAACTAAATACCTCCCCCAAACATTAATCAATAAACAGGAACATGAAATGAAAGTTACTTCTCAAAATGATTGACACTTGAAAAAAGAAAAAGAAAAACAAACAAAAACCCCAGAACCTCAGCATGAGGGAAATGCAAATCAAAACTACACCGAGGCTCCTTACACACTGCTGGCAGAAATGTAAACTAAGGAAACCAGTATGACAGCTCCTCAGCAAACAAAGAAAAGACTAGAGAACACATGATCCAGCTATTCCACTCCTGAGAATACACTCATAGGAACCCATGTTAACATACTACAGATATACTTGCTCATCCATGTTGAGTGTGGCACTGTTCACAAGAGCCAAGTTAGGTAGTCAGCCTAGGTGTTCAGTAACAGATGAATAGAAAAAGAAATAGCACACACACACACACACTGGAGTTTTATTCAGCTATAAAAGGAGTGAAATTATGTCATTTTCAGGAAAATGAATGGAATTGGAGATTATTATGTGAAAAAGCCAGAACCAAAAGAACAAATACCTCATGCTTTCTCGCGTGTAGAACCTAGATTTTATATATATGTATACACACACACACACACACACATGCGCGCGTCATGAAAATAGAAGGGGCACTATTTGGGAAGAGGAAGGGAGCTGGTGAGAGAGGGCAGGAGGATCATGGGGAGTATGGTCAGTGCCCACAATCCAGCTGCTCAGAAGTGCATGATGGACCCCATCACTTAGTATGAAAAAACCACACTAATAAATAAAAAGCTATTTTTCCCATTTTTTTTCTTGCATATGAGTTTCAGAGTAATGTGATGTATTTCCTGAAGTCTCCTGGGGACTGGAAAAGAGGAGCAGCATCATTCTCAGCATCCTCCCGGGTAGATGGGACACACACGCACACACACGCGCGCGCGTGCACACACACACACACACACACACACTCTACACACAGTGATGGGAGTTCGTGGAGGCTCCTCAGGCAGGACGCCAAGAGAAACAAGTCTCATACCAGATTCAGACTGCTGCCATGGGGGATGGCCTTCCTCCCCATCCTGTGAACCCTACCAAGTGCAAGACCAGTCACGGATTCCTTACCTTGGATACCGTGGTGTTGAGGAAGAGATCAGAGTCTCCTTCTAATTCTTTTTTCTCGTCCAGCAGGGTGAGGTCATCATTTGGTGGAACCACAAACACAAAGTGCTTCAGGATCTCAGTGGCAACCGAAGACTGCCGCTTCACTGGGTAAGAGATGATGGAGAACAAGGCAGGAGCTGGAATGGGTGGTCCGGAGGACCCCAGGCCTAGGAGGTCCAGGACCTAAAGGAAAAGGTTTGCGTTAATTACCTGTGAAGACTGTGCGCCAATGCCACACCCTGTCAGAATGAACAAGGGTGGTGACCCATGCAACCTTCCCTGCCCTCAGTCCTCTGAGAGACTCCAAGGGAAGGATGGGCCTCCGAACTGGCTGCGCCAGGCTTTTCAGACCTCCCTAGACGCTCTTGCTATGGGATGCTTATACTCTGTATTTCTCATGGCCTTTGTCACACTTTATTGTGACAGTTTGTCTGTCTTTTATAGAACTATAAACTCCATTGGGGCAGGAACTAGGTTGATACAGTAGATGGCCTAACCCTCCATAGGGCTGTTTAATTTAAACAGATCAGCTCTTAGCATTCAGGTGTCTGTAGCATAGATCTGGTTCATTCATTCTCACACTTGATGTTCATTTTGCTTTAAATGTTTTTCTTTCCAAAGATAAACAGAAGTTGGGTTGGGGGCAGGTTATATACAGCAAAGAGAGAAACCTACCAAACAGTAAATGTTCCGGGTTTTCTCTCACTGTACTCTGGATCATACATGAGTCACCTCTAAAGCAAGGGCCTGGAAAGTGGGCAGCAAGTTCCTTCCCAGCATGCAGAAGTCCTTAGAATAAGTACTCAGTGTTGAGATTGTCATTGCAACAGTATAGGGCATATACAGCCTGTTCTGTGGACTAAGCAGCCTGGTAGGCCTACCAAGTCAAGACCTCTATGTAATCTGCATCCCATCCCATGGACCACGAAGCATCCTAACACGAAACTGGAGTTACTTCTTAGGACTTACAATATCCACAGAGAAAGCCATAAGTAACTAAATTAACAGCCTAACCAACCTATGGATTCAAATATGGAGGGCACGAAAACTATACAAGATGTTCTTGGCAAAAAGGAAAGAGTTTCTGGCGTGTTCACTCCTGAAACAAAACTGTGAGTCGAGTAGAGGAAGTGTTGTGTGCTCTTCAGCCTGCCCTGGACCCGCTGTGGCAAGAACAGCAGTAAGGACAATGGCATAAATTTGCCTCTGTGAAGAACTGCTTTTCCCCTCCTCCAACTGTTACCTGCCATTCATCCCTCTAGGGCTATCTTCTGTCTTTCTAAAGAGTCTACCTGGTTTCTGATGAACCAGAGGTCAGCAAACTGTGGCTCTGCCCGCTCGCTGACAACTTTGGCCTGCTGTTTGCTTTTGTAAATAAAAATTATTGGAACATGGCCATGCCCACTGTATTGTGTCGGTGGTTGCCTTCACCCTCCGAAGGCTGAATTGAGAAGTTGTTGGAAGACTGTATGCTCTTTAGCCTAGAATTTTACTTTCTGATCTTTTACAGAAATAGTTCCCAGACAGATATATATCCTCCTCCACCTAAACCACCAGTTGACATTGCTTTTTAAGGCCCAATACTTCTGTTGGTAGCGGTGAAAGGCTACCTAATAGACTGATTCCCATCCTAATGGGAAGTATGTGGGAAAGACATTTTGGAATAGACAAGTCTCTTGATTGACCCCCAAACACCTCTCTAGTTCCCTGGGTACTAGAGTTGTCAGTATTAAAGATCAACAGTTCAGATGGCTTTTAATGAGGCCAGATAGATGGAGTAGAAGGGTCCGTTTAGGCGTTATTGTTGTATATACAAGGAGGCATCAGAGATTCATCAAAGGGGATACTGACTTTCAACAAAAAGAAATAGTCCCTATGCCTCATTTTGTTTTATCCCACAGGAGTCTTTGTACCTGATCTCCTTTGGGAAGCTTCTCACTCTCCAGGGCATGCTTCCAACTTATGCCTTCAAAGTCTGGAGTGTGGATGTTGATAAAGGGCACCCCCAGATCCTTCTTCCCCTCGTTTTCCTCTTCCCCTTCCCCCTCATCGCTCCGCTCCTCCATTGCCCGCAGCTTCTCCAGTCGCTCTCTCTCAGCCTTCTCCCTCTCCAGGCGCTCCTTCTCTGCCCTCTCCTTCTCCAAGCGCTCCCTCTCCCGATCCTTGCGGCCCCTGCGCCCGCCGCCACCTGAAGGAGCCTGGCGCTGATCGTCAGGTTCATGGGGCATATCTTCCATGCCTGCGTGAGGCATCTGGACCCCTTGCTTGCGGTCCCAGTATGTGAGGATGTTTTGAACATCCTTCAGACAGAAGTCGTAGACTTTAAACCTTTGGGCCAGTGTCTTGTCAGCATCTTTTGGGAAGTCTCCTTCACTGTCCTCTTGATCCTGGGCAATAGGAAATCCAAATGCGTTGTCGGTTGTGGGTTTCTTTCTCTTAGAGGGGTCTTCATTTGTTGGCTGGTCTCTGACAGAAATTTTCCTTTCTATCGTTTCCATCTTTATTTCTAACTTGGCAGTAGTGGTGGGAACCTAGAAGGCAAAACATATGAATTATGCATCAAACAGCTTATTAAAGACACGCAAAACTGCATGCTGGACAGTGAGGGACATCTTGTTGCACCAGGTGGCCTACGATTCAGGTACTTCCCTAGGTCTGGGAAGTTTGGGAAGCACTTTGTGTGTATGGTGGGAGCTGCGTCGGAACTTCTGCCTCATGGTTTTACATTGCAGATGTGGGCTCTGCCTCATGAATTTTGAGATAGGTGCCCAGGCATTTTAGCTCTAGGACCACTGGTCTGAAGGACCAACAGGAAAAGGCCAGCAAAGACAGTTTTCTGACATGCTTTCAGGTGCTCCGGGAGAGGACAGAGAGGGTGACAGTTCAAGTCCCGCAGTATTACAGCTTTGTGACCCTGCCAACAACCTAGTCCTCTCTGTGTGTAATGGGTATAGCAATAAGAACGTCAAAGGACTGTTACTGACTGCGTGTGCAGGTTCCCACGAGGAATTTATGACAGTGTCTCCCCTGGAGTAAGGGTTCTCTTAACGTGAAGTTATTAAAACTACACAGCTTTTGTATTATATTTCTGGGGACAAATGGGAGTTTAGAATCTGGTCACACTTAAGACTTTACAAATATTTATTTATGCTGAGTGGTAGTGGTGCAAGCCTTTAATCCCAGCACTTGGGAGGCGGAAGCAGGTGAGTCTCTGTGTGTTCTAGGTCAGTCTGGTCTACAAAGTGATTTCCGGGACAGCCAGGGAGGGAGACACAGAGAAACACTGTCTTGAAAAAAACAAAAACAAATTATTTACTCAATGAACTTGGTAAACAGAAACCAAGCCTCACCCCCTCTTCTTACTGTGCTTTCGAATTTCTTTTGTAGGCTCTGATTTTTTTCTCTTTGCCTAGATGAAATCCTGAGGTGGTTCTATCACTTTGGGGGACCATTCTCAGGTGACAGCAAATCCAGTCCGACCTCATGATCACTGCCTTCAGTGTCCCCCTTCCTAGCTAAATTGAGGGGTGCTTCACTCATGGAGTCTTGAGTGACCAAGGGCTGGCTTTTCCTCTCATCTCACTCTGCTTCTTTGATTTATTCATCTTGAACCCGGCCCAGCAAGGTGGCCACGTGAAAGCACTTGTCAGAGCTCCCTTATAACTAAGAATTCCAGCATCCCACTTGAACACATGCGAGAAGAGGCCTCAGTTGTCAGAGCCACTGTGAGGACATGGGGGTTGGAGTGGGATGTGGTACCAGGCTGGGAGGGGGGGCTTTCAGTTGTGTTTTAAAACGGGGTGGTTCTCAAGCATGCCAGTCCTTCCCGTCCTCTGGCATCCCCTGATATTGATATTTCTTTCCACTTCCAGAGGATGGATCTGGTCTCAGCTGGTTTTCCCCTGAGCTAGCATTTTCAGACCGGATGACTACATTAGACCAAGAAGGGTCTCAAAAAGCTCAAGAAGTCTTTCCAAGGAATATGGCCAAATGTGTTTTGTGCTAAGCTCAGGCGATACACACACAACTTGTCCCTAAATAGATGGCTGGTCTATGGTCCTTCCTGCTTCAGTGTGAAGTCATCAAATCACATTTGAAGCTACTTGCCCTCTATTCTGTGCCAGGGACATAGGAGGGGCAGGACGCATGCCACAGCCACTTGGGTTAGAAAGGATACACACACACACACACACACACACACACACACACACACTTTCACTTAAAAGCCCCAACAGATTCCAGCTAAAGACTATGAGGAAGTCATTGGACAGGCTTCTAGGCTGACTGGGCTCTGAACAGTCTTTTTTCCTGATGGTGTGTGAAATGCTATCTTTAAGAAGTAAGTTTGGGGGATGGCGAGATGGCTCAGTGTGCCAAGACACCTGCTGCTAAGCCTGTTGACCTGAGTTTGACCCCTGTGCCCCACAAAATGGAAGAAGAGAACGAATTTCTATACATTGTCCTCTGGCCTTCATTTGTGTGCTATAGCACACACACATGTACACAAATAAATACAAATATAATTAAACATAAAAATTGGGATGTTAAATTGGCATAGATTATTTTGATTTTTTTTCCAATAAAACATGGAAGTGGTGGTTGATGAGGAACCAGAGGCACACAGGCAGACTATTACCATTGCTCTTGTTTTCCCATCACAAACAGAGGGTAAGACCCTATGGCTGAGACGTCACATACTTTAGCTGCAGGGCATAGAGAAATCAAAGCAGAATTGACCAGGAAATTATCACCTTACTGGTTGGCTTTTACTGTGTCATAAGGTGCTGCTAGGGGAGAAAAGACATCAGTGATCTTAACCAGCACAGGACTGCATGCTACAAATGACCTGCTAGGCAAGATGTGCCCACTGGCGCAATAGTGGCAGAGTGTTTATGGGAGTAACCAAATGTTCTCTTGATTGGATCTGAGGCCTGCTCCACCGCAGGGAATTTATACTTGGTACTGTAAACATGCTCAAAACCATGGCTGCCATAATCATAGGCACTGGGGAGAGCCTATCGATGCCCCCGGAGGCAAGTCTTTAATACTAACTATTTAGCACCATCTGCAATCCTGTAGCAGGCAAAGGAAAGAGCAAAGACTATGATATTACTGGATTTAAAGACATTACTGGATAGGGTTCTGGCTGGGACTCTGGCTTCATCTGTGAACCATAGGTGGGGACCACTGTCCTGAATGCATGGGATGTTAAAATGCATGACCAGGTGAAACACAAACCCAGCACCTACATATAGCACTTAACAGCACTGGGCTTGGTCCTTCTACCTATTCCCTACCATAGTATCCATGTAGACACAACATAGAGAGTTGAGCTTCTGGATGGTAGAGACACTGGGCTGGTTGTGGTTACAGTGGTCGCTTCTTTGCTTCTCAGTAGGCAGGAAGTAAGGGCCGCTACCTGCTTGATTGGGGGGACTTGTGATTTCTTGAGGGGTGGCTCCTCCTTCGCAGGGCCTGGCTTAGGCTTTTTGATCCTTCGTTTTAGCTCATCCTCTTCCTTCTGCCGCTCCAGCTCCTGCTGCAGCTTCTTCTCCTGCATCTCCCTGGCCAGCCTTTCCAGCTCCCTGCGTCGAGCCACACACAGAAAAGAGAGTTTAGGGCCTCCCATTTCACCTGCCCAGGCGGGACCAGCAGGAGTAGGGACCCTGGGCGAAGCTTTCTTGGAAGGAAGGAGAGAGGGAAGGAAAAGAGTGAGGGGAGAAGAGAGGGAAGGAAGGAAGCAAGGAAGGAAGAAAGGAAGAAAGGAAGGAAGGAAGGAAAGGGGCCACAACTATCTTTAAGAGGTCATTCAGCAAATTTCTGATGAGTTGAATGCAATTGGAATTTTTTAATTTATCTGTTTTTCTATTCCCGTCTCTTTTTGTGGGAAAGAGAAGGCTGAAGGTAAGCCTGCTCTCTGAGAAAGAGCGTTCAAGGACAGCGGTGGCATCAGTGCAGGTGCTGTCCGCTCCCCTACACCCTCACATCCGTGTTCAGACATGAAGGAATGTGTGCTTTGAATATCATTCCCAGTCCAGCTGGTTAGGAGCCAGGATGGTGGCTCCAGAAGGCCAGTCCTCTCTTCCTGGTTTTCTTTCCCTTTGTTCTGCGTCTTCAGCCGTGTCTGCCCCTGTGGCTAATAGCAGAGGTAAAAAGTTTCCGGATGTGCAAGAGCCAAAAATTAATTAAAAATCAAATACCATGTAGACGAGGCTGGCTTGGAACTCACAGAGATCCACCTGCCTCGGCCTCCAGAGTGCTGGGGTTACAGGTGTGTGCCGTCATGCTCCATGTAGCCTTGACTCTCAACATACCCACTATCTGTGCACCCCATCACACCATGCATGCAGAGTCAAAGAAGCTGCTTGGCTCACATTCGAGACTGCTGCATGGCATGAATTGCAGTTTTCTTTTTTTTTTTTTACTGTACAAAGTTTTCTGCTTTTAGATAAACAGAATAGCTTACTTATGGAAAAGAAAGACTTAAAATATTTTTCTACCTTTTTTTTTTTTTATCATGGAAGTATCACATTAGCATGTCACTGCATTAGAATGCTTGGTTGATTTTAAACACTGCTGTATGAGTTTCTAATTTGAGATTCATTTTAAAAGAATCCTGAAATGAATTTTGGCTTGAGATTAAGGCAGAACTTCCAGAAAATTTTGGAAAACAAACAGACTTCTGATATTTTGTAGTACATATTTGCATGAAAGTGTTCCCAACAGTTATTACTACAAATTTAAAACAAGCAGTCAATTCTGAAAAATGCTGAAGATACTCTTTGTCCTCCAGTGTCAAAAATTTAATTCCCTCCATAAAAATAAACAAATAACTGGTTGTGGTGGCATACACTTTTAATCCTAGCACTTGGGAGGCATAGGCAAGAAGATCTCCGTGAGTTTTGAGTTTGAGACCAGCCTAGTCTACACAGTGAGACACACCCTGTCTCAAAAGAAAAAGTATATATATCTCATTACTATACAAATTTACTTCTGTATTTAATAATTAGTAAAATTATATGTATACCAATGAATTGTTAAAACAAGATAAATTTTATTCTGATTTATCCTGATACCAGAGAATGTTTGGGTTGAACATTAATTTGTCTATATTCTCTGAGGTCATGCACAAGCATTTCTTAGGCAAGGACACAAGAGCACACAAGCCCAGGAAGCCCTGATCTACCTGTCTCTTCATCTCCTGGTTGCTGTGACTTGCTGCTCACCGAGGCTACGTCTGCATCCTTCATGGTGTGTGTGTGTGCGTGTGTGCGTGTGTGCGTGTGTGTGTATGCGCGTGCATGCATGTGCATCCTACAAACAGCTGCTGATGAGTTCTGGGGCTCAAATGTGCTCTATGAAGCAAATGCACTGCAGCCTTGATGATAAAGAAACATTTCCCAGGTACCAAAGTTAAGCTTGTTATGCATCTTGATGAATAGACAGTTCTCTTATATAGGGGAAAGGATGAAGGTATTGTTAGGCTGGGAGCCTAGGCCCCAGTCCCTGGCATCTATCTCAGCCACCTGGTCTGGACTTCAAATCCCAGCAGGCCGGGGTCAGGACCACTCCCCAGGGTACTTAAGTGATCCCCCAAAAGAAGAACGTGTGGTCCCCCTTTCTTCCTCCCGGGGGTCACGTTCCTGCGGCTTCCCGGTTTCCCCCCTCGGGGCCACCCGAGAGCGCAGATCTTCCATTAAACCTGGATATTTCTTAGTTCGACTTGTTTTGATTTGGCTTGATTGGGAATTTTTGCGTCGTCAGAGAGCTCGCTTAGGAAATATTCCTAACAGGTATGCTGTGGGCGGGGGGGCAGGAGACATACAATCTCTTTCAGAGTCAGTGAGAGGAAAAAATGGGCGTATATCATAGCTGAGTACCATAGCTCTGCACCTTCTAATGTTGGAAACCCCAGACCATAATGCCCATGACCATGATGTCTGAAGACAGGAAGGCTGTTTGTGAGATGGGTAGCCTGAGCTTGCAGGCCCAGCTTTCTGGAGTGCTACATGGCATGGGGAGGAATCCAGTTCCTGCGCAGTCCCTAGAGAGGGACACTGAGGGGCTGTGCTTATTGACTCGAGCTGCCCAGACTGAGGGTCATACAGAGGCAGCCAGATGTGGCCAGCCATTGGTCCCCACCTCTTCTTTCTCTCCCGAAGAGCCTGCCGAACCTCACGGTCAAATGCAATTTTCTCTTCTGGTGTCAGGGCATCATATTCTTCCTCATCTAGGGTTTGGAGACGCTCCTTCTCCCTCGCAATAGCTTCCTTGTGTTTGCGCTCTGTGGAGTGAGGGGGTAGAGGGAGGTCACGGTCTGAGCAGCTTTGCCCACACAGTGACAGCAACAGGGTAGATGGCATCCCAGTCCCTGCTGGGCTTCCTTTCTCTCTATAGTGCCAAGTTTGGGTTCCATCTATGGTTGGCTGAGTAGTGGTCCCCAAAGAGGACCACTTTAAGTCTTAATCCTTAAACTTGTGAATGTGGGGTTTTCCACAACAGAGGGACCTCTGCAGACATGACTGAATTAGCCAGAGTCCCATCAAAAGATTCTTTATAGGAGGGAGACAGGAGTGTCAGAGACAGGGTTAGCCGCAGAAGCGAGAGTGTGATGGGAGATTATTAAGAAAACAATTATTATTATTAATAATAAGCCCTTTTCAGGTTGATCATCATAGAAAAGTGTTCTAGATAACAGGAAGCAGGAGGCCAGAACACTTCAAAGGAGCCTGCTCATGGTTCCCAGGAGATAGTGAGGACGCAGACTGAGTTCTGTCCACGAACGAAGTACTTTAAATATTTCCTTTCTTTAAAACAAAGAGCCAAGAGTTTACAATCCTGCAGTCCAGGCTGGCCATGAGTTTACAATCCTTCCTACACCTACTGCGTACCATCACATTTGGCTATTATGCGATCTTGAGAAGACTTTTGGTATTGTGGGGCTTTACTATCTTCATCTGTAAAATGGGGTGTTGGGACCAATTGGAGTCCTGGCCTTCAGTTGCTCTTCCCTGCTAGAGCCTTCTAATTGGAGTTACTAAAAGCTGTGCCTTCCCTAGAGGATCAGAGGATGGGATTTTCACCTGTTGGCCATTGACTGCTGGGTATTTAAGCCTCCATGGTGCTATTAAAGAAGGGCTTTGTACCAGTGATTGGAGGTCCGTGTATCTGTCTGTCTCTGTGTGTGTTTCCTCAACCTCCAGTCCCTTGCCCGAAGCTCGCAAGCTGAATTCTAGCACATAGAGCGCAGATGGGGGGGCGTGGTGCGCAACAATGGGGCAATAATCTTCACTGGGGAGGACAAAATGACCCAAAGTGAACAAAAATAGCCCCATTAGGTCAAAGGAATTGTGTGGTTGTCTAAACCAGACCGGCAAGCCAAACATCCTAGGTCAGGATGTGCCCACAGTGTGCTCTCCTTAGCCTGTTTACGATTAGAAACAAGTGCTCCAGTCACTTCCCAGGGCAGAGGTAAGGTGCCAATGAGACACAGAAGTAACAACGTCGTTTAAGCCCATTGGATGGATTATCGCACCAGGGAAACAAGTTGAAAAGCACAAAGCCCCATGGCAAAGGAAGCCCTGTAGGGCTTGGGAAGGATGGCCAGGGAGGTCGGGGGCTTGCCTTCTAGCTCCTTTTTGGCCTTCTCCTGGGCTTTCATGACCACATAGTCCTGAGCCATGTTGAGGACATATATGTGCTCCCGGCTGCCGATGGCCTTTAGCAGGCAGAGGAGGGCAGAGGGTGCACTCCGAGCAAAGAGCGTTTCCAGGCTATCGAACACCACGCCTCTGAAGCAGTCACTCAGCTGCAAGCAGAGAGAACAAGACGGTTATTTCAGGCTGGAGATCAGCTGCTCTCTATGAGAGAGAGAAGGCTTGTTCTTGTGTCAGGTTCTGCATACCCACTGGGCTCCAAAATAAACACCATGAAACCCAAGTCCAGGCGCTGATGCGAAATGAAGGAGCTGGTTTTATAGAATGTACTGGTCCCTCGAAACATAAATGAAGACTAAATGCCTAGTCAGCTATGAAGGAGCGTGGTGATGGCAGGCAATGGGAGACCAGGGGATTTATTTCATCTCCATGTGTAGAATAAAGAAACAGCTGGGTGGTGGTAGTGCACGTCTTTAATCCCAGCACTTGGGAGGCAGAGGCAGGCGGATCTCTGTGAGTTCAAGGCCAGCCTGGTTTATAGTTCCAGGACCGGCTCCAAAGCTACAGAGAAACCAAGTCTTGAAAAGCAATGAACAAACAAACAAACAAACAACAACAAAAGAATAAAAGAAAAAAGAAAGTGTCAAAAGTTCTAGAAAGATCCATGAGGTGTATGGAAATAAGATGCAAAGGAAAGAAAAGGGAAGGGTTCCCACAGACAGAGAAACCGGCAGTCAGAGCAGCAATATGACAAAGGCCACCGGCACTTTTCTTTCTGTGTGTGTATGTGTGTGTGTACATGTATGTGAATGCTTGTGTACAGGTGAACATGCAGACATATGCATGTGGAAGCCAGAGGACAACCCCAGGTATTATTCCTTGAGAGCCTCTTTTTGCTTATTTATTTTGAAATGAGGTCTTTAATTGGGACTTGGGGTTCACCAATTCCACTATACTAGCTGGCTAGTGAGTCTTGGGGATCCTTTGGTCTCTGCCTCTCCAGATATTGGATTATAAGTACATACCATCATGCCCAGATTTTATGAGGTGCCAGGCAAATGTTTTACCACTAAGTTGTCTCCCAGGCCCATACTTTTCTTAGTGGTCCCACTGCCTAGGAGAGGAATGACTTTGGCAATGTAACTGGAGCAGAAGGATTCTGGTCATGTGACCACTGAAGAATGATTTCTCCTAAAGTTTAGTATTTACTCAAAAGAGCTCAGTGGAGACACGGGTGACCAGGAACAACCAAGAGGAATGGAGTTGAATCCCCAGCATTTAAGTAGGTATCAGGCAGGTGTGGGTGCTGCTTGTAATCTTGGGAGGCCAAGATGAGGTCTCTGCAGTTAGTTTGCTAACTAGATTAGCCAGATAGTCTAGTAATTGATAATCTCTTACTTCAGAGAGAGAGAGAGAGAGAGAGAGAGAGAGAGAGAGAGAGAGAGAGACCCTAACTCCATAAAGAAAAAGTGAAGAGCAGTTGAGAAAGACACCGGAAATCATCAATTTCAGGTTTCCACGTATATGTGTACCTCTCTCCCCGAACCCATATGCACACATGGATAAACATGAACACACACACACACACGAAATGTTCACTTAATAGTGGCCCAGTGTGAGAAACCAAAGCGAACACAGCTCTGGCCCTCCTAGGTCCTGCTGGTCATGACTGCAGTTTAGTTAAGTACATTTTCGTGTGTACTGATGGAGATCAACCCAAGGCCTTGAGCAGGCAGGCGGGCAGGCAGGCGGGCACTCTTCCACTGAGCTGCAGCTCCAGTCCCCTCAAGTTCTTAAAAAGTTCAACATATTGGTTTTGACTTTAAAAGCAGTATGTCCTTAAAACGAATTTAGAAAGAGTAAAGGAGATATAAAATCCCTAGACCTGCTAAGCAAAGCAAGCGACACTTAAGTCATATGACAGGAGCTGTTGTTTACCATGCATGTGACATTATTTGCAAACATATAAAAGGTCATTTTGTTTTATATACTAATCTTTTTCACATTACATAATGAAAACATTTTTAACAGCAATTTACAGAGAGCCATGCTTTATTTTGGAGACAAGATCTCACTATGCAGGCCAACCTGGTCTCAAATCCACAACACCCCAACCCCAGCTTCCCGAATGCTGGGATTTCAGGTGTATATCACCCTGCCAGTCAAACTCTAACTTTCAGTTGCTTACATTATACTTTTTAACCCACCGCTCCTCTTGCTTTATTTACTCATTTATTTTGATGTGTAATCTTCTGCTCCCTGCATCTTTAAATAGCGGCTTCAGACTGCATGGAAGGGAGAGACCCCATGGGCAAGAGTTGTCAAAGGGATAAGCAAGTGGCTGTTGAGAGACCCGTGGGCTCTGAGCTGCTGAGGGTGGCTGATGGCCTAGCATCTCGGCTCTCAGCACAGGCTCAGCTTGCGAGTTCCAAGCCTGTAGCTTTGGGTGGGCGAGTGTGCACGCACCTGTATCCGCTCAGCTAGGATCTGAACGAGAAGTTCATCTGGGAGCACACAGCTCATCAGCCCGGTCTCACCTCCAACGCTGGCGCTGACACTGAGCCGCCGCTGGGTGGGCCCTATGAGGAGAGGGCTGGAGGGAACCTGATGAGGGGGGAGAAGAGCTGGAAATCAGAATCTAGCTTTGTCTCAACGACTGTATCTACAAGTCACGTAACCACCAGGAACGTCATACAGCTCCTTCTTTATAATCGAGGACTGTATTGTAAAATGAAGGATTCTTTTTCTCTCTCAAGAGTGGCTGGTAGCTTCAAGGAGGATTATCGTGGGAGGTGCTGTTGTATGTGTCTTGAACTGCATTCGACTGTCCATTTACTCAAGAGGTATTTACTGAGTTCTCATCATGCACCAGCCCCTGAGGACTAGGGAACCAACAACGAGCAGGGCTAACACTGGTGCCGCCTACGTGGCTCTTAACATTCTCATGGGAGACACAGAGACCAAGCACCTCTCACAGAAATCAGTCATATTGCTGGCAGGGAGGAGGGGCATGATGGGAAAGTGACCAGAGATGGAAATGAAGAGCAGTGATGGGTGGGGATGACCACAGTGAGATCATATAACTTGGGGGGACACAACAGGAGGCACCATCAAGCGAAAGGCCATTCTGTGAGGAAGCTGCAAGCTACCTTGGCCATGTAGGGATGATTTGGGGGCAGGGCTCAGTGTGTATGGAATCTGGTAAGCAATGGAGCCAGTGGAATGGAGATGGGGGCCAGACGTCTCAATGGAATTGGTGAAAGAGCTTGGGGGCAGCCAAGACAGAGCAGGCCGTCGGCACAGCCATTCTTTGGAGGAGTTACAGTCAAGAAGATCTGCAGGATGAGTTAAGAACTGGGGATGAATGTAAGGTCGTGTAAAAAAAAAAAGAATACATTACAAAGAAGAAAAAACAGGAGAGCAAGGACAATGGTGGGAATTTAACTCCTGAACTTATTAGTAAGAGGGAAAGGGGTGATGTCCAGGGCACAGGTAGAGAGATCAGCTTGGAATGAGAGCAAGGGCAGGAGCTTAGCTGCAGGCAGGGACAGCACTGGGCTATGGAAGCCTGCTGGGAGATGTGTGTTGCTGGCTGAGGATGAAGAAGAGCAGAGTGACTCAGAGGTCAGGAGAGTGAGGAGGGCCATAGCATGGTTCTTTTGAATGGAGGGCAAATTTACTGGGGCAGACACTGGGATGTGTGGTGTTAACTTTCAGGCTACTTAGGAGAGATGAGTAATTATTCTAGCTATGATCGGTTTGGTCTGGATGGAATTGAGTCCACTGGGGCTGGAGATTGACTGCCTGGGGAATAAGATCAAGGAGAAGGCAGAAGAGAGTGTGGACCAAGGCACAAAACTGGAAGAAAACGACAGTGAGGTTGGCAGAGAGAAGGAGGACTGGAGGTTTCTATGGGACCAGTTACTTGAAGACCGTGGCTGGTGTGTAGGCTGTGTGATACCGTTTATGGGTGTGTAGCAAGGTATGTGTGCAGGGTGTGTGATACTGTTTATGGGTGTGTAGCATGGTTGATGTGAAGGTTTGTGTTACCATTTATGTGTATGTAGCAAGGTTGGTGTGCAGGGTGTGCGATGCCATTTTTGGGGGTCACTTATATACACTATCATATCATCAGAAAATAACGAAAGTTTAACTTCTTCCTTTCCAATCTGAATCCCCTTAATCTCCTTATGTTGTCTTATTGCTGGTGTGAGCCATAGGAAATTACTATTATGGGACTCTAAAAATGGTAGGTTGAATACTGGCCATTTTCTATAGTTCGACTTCGTTTCTTCTGTAGCTGTCTTCTGTCACTACTTCATTTCAGATAATTTGTAAGTGTGATCGTCTTCCTCCGTCAGTGCAGCCTGAGCATGAGACCTTGTTTTCTTCACCTTCACTTCCCTGGCATCCAGCTGGGTACCAGGTGACTGCACACTCATTCTTGAAGGAGTGGCACAGGGACAGCAGTCCCCTGGTAAGGACAGCCACAGAAGCAGAGGGTGCTGGCCCAGCTGGAGGATGCCAAGGAGGAGGAGGAAAGGACCCAATCCTCTGCCCAGGGATCCCTGCCTACCTGTAGTGTTTCCACTGGATGCTGATGATGCTGCTTCTGAGACCCAGACAAGTGGCTATCCGCCTTGCCTTTGGGGACCATCACACTCCCACGCACACTCTTTGCAGGTTTAAATTCCTGGGTCACTAGAGTGAGTTCTGAAGTAAACTTGCCCAGGTTCTCAGTGCTGAGTCGTGCTGGTACCCCAACATTTTGTGTCATTGAAGACTCCTGGGCTATTAGGAGAAGGTGGATTTTTAGGAAAAGTCATCTTACAAATATGAAGGAAAATCACAACGGGGATGGTACACCAAAACCTGTGTTACTCTCTTATAGAATTCTGAATCACCTTCCCATACAGCTGACTGACCCGGGTTGGAGGTGGCTCCACCCATCAAGCTCCCTTGGATCTGGGCTCTTTTCTGCCTGCATTAGTTACTTTTTTTTTTATTGTTGTGATAGAATCGTGTGACCAAAGGCAACTGATAGATAAAAGTGTTTATTTTGGCATATGGTTCAGAGAGATAAGAGTCCCTTATAGAAGGGAGGCACGGCAGCAAGCAGAAGGAACAAGAGCCGGGAGAGCACATCTCACAGAGGAAGCTGAGAGAGCAAACTGAAGGGGGAACGAGCTTATAAACCCTCGAAGCCCACCCTCCATGACATACTTCCTCCAGGAAGGCTGCGTGTGCCTCCTCAAGGTTTCAGAACCTCCCCAAACAGCACCACCAACTGGGGACCAGGTGTTGAAATACCTGAGCTATGCGGGAAATTTCTCATTCAAACTACCCTCCTGCCCATCTTTTCAACAGCTCTTGCAATAGTCCGGGCCCACTTTCTTTCCCAGCCCAGAGGCCATGAACTTCTTCAGTTGCTTGTGCATAAGGCCTTGCCTTGTGAATCGGATACTTTACTTTTCTGACATTTTGGGCAGTGGCAAGGCCAAGGAATAGCTAGGGCAGAGTTCTTTCTGCCCTCAGCAGAGCTGTCTCAAATGACAAATGAGTTAAACAAGAAGTGTGTGATTGTTAGCAAATACGGCTTTATGCACACAGTAAATTTCCTCTTTTTGATCCTGAGTCCCCTTCCAAGCAGACTGCTACCCTCGCTCAGCTCCCTCTACCGAGATGCCTTCTAAAACATCAACCGTTTACAATCTGTTTAGAAAAACTCTTGCTGGAGCACCTTAGTGCCCCCTCTGAGCCTCAGTCTTCTGATGCATTCGTTGCCTGACACATTTGCCACGTCTCCTTGTGTCCCCTGGAATCCTGTCTTCAAAGATGGACTAGGCACCCCTGAAGGAGCCCAGGGGTGGAGAACACGTTCTTGGCCTCTTCAGCTAAGAAGCACCTGTGGTTCTCTAGCTTTTGGGGAGCTGTCAATCATCTCAGCCAGTAAGTCTCCAGGGTTCCCTCGCAGTTGCCTTTCACTCTGGCTTACTGTTTCTGGAAACTCCCTCCTCCCCTCTCCCAGGATCTGGAAATATGCAGAGAGAAGCCATATTGTACCTGATGGGGGACTAGGAAGGCTGAAACCCCCTCGTGGAGTAAGCCACAGCTGAGTTCTGCGGCAGTCATGGGAACTTGCTGATCCTCAACGCACCACGCCTTTCACCGTATCTGACACACCCACTCTGAGGGACTCAGCATCTCACCTAAGTCTGGCCTGCTCTTCACTGTAGACTCTGGCTCTCCTGCCCACCCTGATCTTCACTGACCATACAGTTTCTTTACAGCTCGTCCTGTGCCCCAACTGTTTCTTGTCCATTGCCCCCTTCATATTTTAACAAGAGCTTCTAGGTATGATCTTAGTATAAATTTTAATTTGAAGGAATGACTTCCTTTCTTTTTTCCCTTTCTCCTTCCCTTTTCTTTCTGTCTTCCTTCTTTTTTTCTTCCCGCTCCCCTGACATGTCACCATTTTCCCTCTGTCCCCTTTACTGCTCAATTTCTCTACACAGGGATCCAAACCACCACTGTCATAATAATGAGTGTAATTTAAAAACTTCCAGTAGCCAAATAAAAGTTAAAAAATCAACTAAAACGGTATATTTATTTAAACTATTATGTGACCATGGATAGTTCATTTTGTAAGCCAACCGTAACAACTGAGACAGTGTTGTGAATTCTCCTGTCTGTTCTGCGTCCCCAGGGGTCCAGTGTACACTATGATCTTGTACTGCACCTAAGCTTGAACTGGCCGCAGTCCAAGCACTCAGTAGCTTCCTGAAGCTAGTGGCTTCTGCTTGGCATCAGCAGGCTTGGACTTAGCTATCTCATTCCAGCCTGTTGACTGTAGCAGACAGCAAATGCTGGTTAGGGCCGAACCCTTCCACTGAAGCTCCCGAATACATCAGAAATCTCTGCGTCTTGAGAAACCAATGTAGGGCTCATTCCCTTGTAGCTTTCAGCAGAAGCCAATTCTGCTCATTTACTGGGTCAATGACTTTTTGTTTTTTAAAATACATCTTAGCTCTATGCCAGACACTGCTCCCGGGGCTGCAAATACAGTAGTGAGGAAAATTAACATAATTCCATCCCAGAGGCTTCTGTACTGAGAGCTGTGGGGACAGACAACAAAACAAACTAGGCGAAATGAGAATAGTATGTTAATTAGAGCAAAGGCTCCAGAGCAAGAAGGCAGAAGCCTCACTCACCCGTCTTCCTTCCCCCAAAGCTGCTAGGTTCTCTCCTTCTCTCCTCAGTGCCTGTCCTGCCGACTCCCTGCCTTTGAGACCCCACCATTCTAAGTGTCCCCTGGCTTTTCTTACAGTGTTTCCTCCTGACACACAAGTCTTCCCCAAGGATCTCCCTTCTCCTTCTGGGCCTCTCTGGGCCAATCCCACCTCTCCCAGTGTCTGCAGCTCTCACTTCATTGACAGACTCCTCCAGCCCTGTCCCCAGTTGTTGGTACTCAGTTCAGGAGCGCAAACTCATCATTTCGCCAGGATGCTAACACAATCACATGGATCATTTACTCTTTGGAGGAGAAAATTTAAGAGACTTAGAATCATGAGATTGCCTGGGATTTTTCCCTTAAGAACCATTCTCTTATCTACCTAGCAAAGAACCTTGTTTTCTCCCATGAGCACCCCAAGTGGAGGACTGAGAGTTGATCAGCTAGCAGGTACAGTGCTATCAGGAACTATGACATGCTCTTAGGGCTCCATGGAGGGGGGATCCAGCTCTAAGCAGTTGCTTTCCTGACCGGTGGCCCTCAAATGACCTGACAGAGCCAGGATTCTTGGCTTGTGATAGGAAGACCACACCAGACTTCTCTGTGATGAGATCCAAAAGCTCAATCCATCTCCTTATGCTGCCCCTTCCCGCAGGGTTCCTTCCTCAGTGAATGACTCCACTCTCCTAGTTTCTGTGGCTCCAAGTCTCTGCAATCATCCCTGAACATCCCCCCACTCTTCCAATTCTCCACCATGTAGGTAGACACAGACATAGACACAGAAACGGAAATGTCTATGGCTGTGGTATTTCCCCGAACTCATCTCTGCCTCCCCTCCAAGTGTCAGACCAACCACGATATGGGTTGTGTCTCTTACGGTCCTGTGTTCTACTGTGTCAAGCATCCTCCTGCACTGGCCATGGAATAATACCTCTGTATGCTGGTGAAGAGGATTCTGTGGGATAAACTGGCAACAGGTCCCACATCAACCTTCAACCAGGATGTAGGAAAGGAGGATCAAGGCAATGCCTAGAGGGATGATCTTACCAGTAAAGGGTACCACCACTTGACCAGGCCTGAGGACCTGAGTTCAATCCCCAGAACCCACATAAAAAGTCTGGCATGCTAGCATGCATTTGTAAGCCCAGTGCTGGGGAGAAGAAACAAATGGATATTTAGGTCTCACTGACCAGCTAGCCCAGCCTAATTCATGAACTCCAGACCAAGGAGATACCTTATCAACAAACCAGGTGGGCAGGCAAGGTCATCCTCTGACTTTTGTACATACATGCCCTTACATGCACATGTACCTACACATATATGCATGCAGAGATGAGTTCAGTTTCTGTGAGAGCAAGTTCGGGACTAGAAGGTTCTAACAAAAGGTGACTTGGGGAAGTCTTCATGGAAATGGGCTTTGGGTGGGGGTGGGGGACCAAGAAACCAGGGAAACGTAGAGATAGGAAGGCTGGTTGGGTCACACACACACAGAGTAAACCATGGAGAAGGGGGGCTTACCCGACTCCTCTGCTTCCCTCATGGACTGCTCTATGGCAGCTCTGATGCATAGCTCCCGGGCCCGAATCCCTGAGATGTTGTTACTGTCTGATATGGCCTCTAGGACAATGGAGTCGATGTTTAGGCAGGCTGCGTTGTAGTACTTGGCCATGCTGATGGCGTTGGCTGTCTTTCCTGTAAAAACGGCCAGGTATTGACTCTCACGATTCTCATTTGCTCAGTGTCCTAGACAGAAGTCCGGAGAGCAGAGGACCCTACAGAGTGATTTCTGAATGCTTCACCTCCAAGTCTCTTAAGCGGCAGAGGTAGCTCAGCAGAGACGAGGAAGTACAGTCAGAGCTGTGGATCAGAAAGTACTGTCAGAGCTGTGGATCAGGAAGTACAGTCAGAGCTGTGGATCAGGAAGTACAGCCAGAGCTGTGGATCTGCTCCTAACCGTGCCACTGTAGCATAGGGTCATGACAACTGACAGCCTCACTAAGGCTTCCCCCTCCCCCCCAGCTATAAAAACAGTTTCTACTGGGTAGTCTCTAAAGTACTGTGTCACCCCCACCCCCGCCACTGTCGCTGACACTAACGTTGGGTTTAAACAGTAACCTGTGCTGACTTGGTTTTCCTCATTTCAATCTACTTTCGTTAAAATGTAGAAAATCCAGAAATAATAGATAAGAGGGAAGAAAAGGGATCTAGTAATCCACTCATACAGAGATGCTAGAGTTGGCCTACAGCTGCTAAGTTGCATATGTAGCCACGTTATTGGTATTTTTCATTAGGCATAGATGGGGGCTGGGGAGGTGGCTCAGCTGTTAGGGACAAAGTGTAGTTTGTTTCCCATCACCCACACGATGGTCACAACCATTCTAACTCCAGTCCCAGGGGATCTGGCGCCCTCTTCTGGCCTCTGTGAGCATCAGCTACACATGTGCTGCACATTGATACGGGCAGGCAAGATGTTCATACATGTAAAATAAATAAAAGCACAATAAACATAAAAATAACAAAACAAAATGGGGGTCTGAGGATGCGACTCAGTTTTAGAGTTCTTGCCTAGTATGCAGGAAGCCCTGGGTCTGATCCCCAGTGCCACACAAACTGGGTATGGTAGCGCAGATCCCTGATCCCAGGTCTTGGAAGGCGGAGGTAGAAGGATCAGGAGTTCAAAGCCATCCTTATCTATATAGAGAGTATGAGACTAGCCTCTACTAGAGTCCAAGAAAAAAAGAATGAAAGAAAGAAAGAAAGAAAGAAAGAAAGAAAGGGAGGAAAAGAAAGGAAGAGGAAGGAGGGGGAACTGGAGGAAAAAGGGATGGAGGGAGGAAAGGAGGGGGAGAGGGAGGGAACGGGTTATACAGGATGCCGAGCTATAATTCCTAAAGATGTATGCTCTCATTCCTGGAGCCTGTAAACATGCTCCCTTATACGCTAAGAATAATAGGAATAAAAAAAAAGTGCCATCATTTTGCAGGTGGATCAGTTTACAGATTCTACCTCGAATATGACTGGATTGTCTGAGTGGCCTCAATCTCACTACAGGGGTCCCTAGGAGAGAACGGCAGGAGGGCTGGCAGCAGAGGCAGCCATGTGACAGGAACACACAAGAGGAGACTGCACTGCTGGCTTTGAAGATGGAAGCTCTTGCCCTGGGCCAGAAATGTGGGCAGCATTTCTAGAAGCTAGTGAAGAAAATGGACTGCCCACTAGTGCCTCCCAAAGGTATACAGTTCTGAGCCACTTAAGACTTGGGGCATCCAGGACTGTTAAAGAGGGGGCAAATCTGTGCCTCTTCAAGCCACTGCATTTGTGGCTGTTACAGAGGCAATATCAAACAGATATAAATTATAAATCACAAGTTTGATACTTTCTCCTCATGAAAAATGGCAGATCATGAATATCTTTTCTAAAAACGTGTCTCTGTGTCTGGTATCTACAGGTACGCACACCTAGGTTGGCATGTGTGAAGACCGGAATATTGTTCTTCGGTGGCTTCTCCCTCTTACTGTTTAAGCCAGGGTCTTTAACTGAACCCAAAGCTCACCATCTCCGAGACTGGCTGAAATAAGCCCTGGGATCTGCCTGCTTTCGCCTCCCAGCACTGGGGTTACAGGCAAGTCAGGGACCTTAGCTTTTATTTGGGCTTTGGTGTGTGTGTGGGTGTGTGGTCCAGACTCATTTCTTCATGCCGGTCCTTCCAGCACTTTAGTTACAGAAGCAGCTCCCCGGTCCTATCCTTGCCTCCGCTGTAATACACTTGTGAGATGCTGGTTTTCCAACTGCGGCGAAATAGACACGAAACCAGTTAGATCTCTTTTTCGACCTGTGTTTTGGAGACAGGGTCTCTGGGTACATGCCGTTCCTCAGATAAAATTCTTAGGAGTTTTTTGGCCCTGACCAAGCTGATGCTGCCACAGTTCCTTATGGAAGAGACATGGCATCTCTGATCATAGTCTCCCCTCAGATTGTCACATACCTGACAAGGGTGTCCCATGGATGATAATGGCGATGCCCTTCCGGTTCTTGGCCAGGCGGCCTTCTGCAGAAATGTCGATGCCTAGGTGGCGTGCGATTGCCTTGCTCACGGGGTTGCTTTCCACCTCTCCAACCTCCTCTGCAGAGTGGCTGTCTGTGCTCTGGATCTTGTCAGCTGTCAATGCAGACTACACGTGAGTGTGTGCACAAGTGTGCATCCCGGAGCTTACACAGGTACATAGGCATCAATAGAGATAGGAACGAAGTTTTCATTTAAAATATGCTTGGTTTCTAAAACACCCAGTGGTGCAGCAGCCCCACCTGTGGTACATGAGAACGCCTAACTTGGCTAATAATGTGTCTCTGTATTTTAAAATAAAAAGATATTCATTGACTTAAATTCTACTTGGAGGGATTTCTCTTGTTGAAAAATAAAAAGGATCAGTCACTGGGGAAGTTTGCTTTGTTACCGAGTATGTGGTCAATTTTAGAGAAGGTTCCATGCGCTGCAGAGAAGAAGGTATATTCTTTCCTATTTGGGTGAAATGTTCTATAGATGTCTGTTAAGTCCATTTGATTCATTACCTCCATTAATTCTCTTATTTCTCTGTTAGGTTTCTGTCTGATTGACCTGTCCATTGGTGAGAGAGGGGTGTTGAAGTCTCCTACTATTAGTGTGTGCGGTTTGATGGCAGCCTTGAGTTTTAGTAATGTTTCTTTTA